CCGGCATTTTTGGAAGAACACCGCTTGATACCCATTCTTCCCCGGTGCCTTCAGCCCTGCCATATCTTTCACAGCTCGCAACAATTCCTCCTCTGTCAATTCCTTGGTAAGCATCTCCAACTTCTGTCTCTCCATTTCTGGGAAGTGTCCCTGAATGCTATCATGGCTATGCACCTCCTCCGCATACTGGTTCATATGAAAGTCTCTCACAAGATTTTGTAGTTGGCTAGGATCCGAAACCCATAGTCCCTCTGAATCTTTGAGACATTTAATTTTGTTTCTCTGTCGTCTGGCTAGTGTGGAGAGGTGAAAGTAACAGGTATTTTGGTCCCCAAAAATAGTCCATTTTGTTCTTGACTTCTGAATCCAAAGGACTTCCACCTCCCACAAAGTCTCTTCCAAGCGTGTTCGGACTCCATCCTCATCCTGAACTGTTCGGTCTGAGGGTTGCTGGTGGTTCAACATCTCCAGTTTAGAGAGGCGAGACCGTAGCTCCTTCTTCCTCTGAAAGATGTTGCCGAACACTTCTTTGTTCCACGCTTTTAGCTTCACAGTCAGCTCCAGCAAGGGAAAAAGGTACCCCTCTTACGGCTTCCAGCCTCGATCAAGCACATTCGGGAAGTTGACATGGGAAAGCCAAGGAGCAAGAAAGCGAAAAGGACGTACCTGATTCATCGACGGGCACCCTGACTTCACATCAACCAATATTGGTCTATGATCTGATTTTAGCCGATGCAGGTGATAATTAGTAGTTTCCTGGAACACTTGCATCCATGTTGTATTGCATAATGCTCGATCAAGCCTTTCTTTCAGCGCCATTCTTGTCGTGAACCAAGTAAATTTCGGTCCCACAAACCCCACGTCAATGAGACTACAGGATGAGATAAAATTGTTGAAACTCCTGGTCTTGACCGGGTTAAACGCTGCACCACCCTGTTTCTCCGACGGGTGAGATATTGAGTTGAAATCACCCAGTATCAGCCAAGGCTCATGAATTGTTCTTCCAATCCGAGTCAACTCCTCCCAGAGACTTTGGCGTTCATATTCGTTAGTACTACCATAAACTACCGTAATAAAACCCTTCATCATTCCTCCATCTTTCCAACACATATGGACAAATTGCCTATGCATGATTTTCTCTTCCAGATGTATGCTCCCTTTTTGCCATGGTACCCTAATTCCCCTTGAGAAACCTTCTGCCTCAGAAATGGCCTGTGAATCAAACCCCAACTTGCCTATAACATCCTCTGCGTCTTTACCTTTAATTCGAGGTTCAATAATGATCGCCACATATGGTTTGTTATCCAGTTTGTAATCTAAAAAAGTATACGTGAATTTTGGGTGTCGAGCACCTCTACAATTCCAAGATAAGAACTTAACCATGGATAAGAGATAGGTAAGAAAAACAGACCCCCAAAACAGCAGCCCATAGTGGCGTTAACCTTCTACAATAGCTTATGGTAGCTTGCTACTGTCTTGTCCGGTCGAAAGTTCCGGGGAGGAAGTCTGATCCTCTCCCATCGGCACGTCCTCCCGGGTTTTGTTCGAACCTTCCAAGAACACTGCCATCTTTTGCTGAGATTGCGCCAAAAACTCATCAATCGCCTGCTGCGTTATTGGGAATGGAGAATCCATCACTCTCTCCTTGGGATCACGTTTCGATTTGGGATTGCCTTTGATTTTTTCTTCACTCCAATTTTGAGATTGATTCCATTCTTCGCGTCCCCTGCACCTTTCTGACCAGAACTTTTCTTGCGCTGTCAATGCTTGATGGAGGGGGTAGATTGGGCCGTATCGCTCGGGTTCCTTTTCCGCATGTCTGTATTGTGTCCTTGGTCCACGACTGGTGGGCTTCCCGTCTCTTGTTCCTTTTTAGTACGATCCTCCTTTTGGACCTCCTTCGATTTACCAGGACCATTGCTATTTTGGGCTTTGGAGGATGTTTCCCCTACTTTGGCCCAACTGGCCTCCATTCAAGGAGCACTGCTTGGTTCTTTCCCCCCTTTGTTCCTTCCGTGCCACCACCCTTCACTTTCCCCTTAAGTTTGTCATCCCCAAAATGGAGAGAATTGATCAAGGACCTTTAGTTAGCATGATAAATACTCAATCAATATATAAACAATCAGGCCAATCACAACATAGAGTTCGGAATCACAAAACTGCAACATCCTAGACTAGGATTCACATCATCCAAGTGAATAAAAACCTACATCATTCCTAGAGAAAGAACTACAACTATGGAAGGGAAAACCCGTGAAAAGATGGCTCCTTCTCCCTAGTTTTTTGGGATGGTACTGAAGATGGAAGCTGGCCCCCTTTGCTCTTTTGTAGCTCAAATTCTCCTTTAATCTTCCATGGCTTGTTGCTTTCTCTCTCTACAAAGAAGAAGATCCAACTATTTATCTCTCCAAAACTCTTTTTGAAATCTTCTCTCTCTTCATATTTATACCCGACTGTAGGGATGGATATTTGAACCCGTCCCGTCGGGTTTTAACAGACCTGACCCACGACGAGTATCGTACTGACCAGCAATAGGGTGGGACGGGACATAGGTATCTACTTCTGACTTGCCTGCCCCGCCTAATTCATGGCCCATTATGTCTCAATTTCTTATAGTATATATTCATATTTCTCCTATTTTGACTTTTCTTCAATTAGTTAAACTTGATTTTTCAACTAGTTAGACTCAATTACTCATTTTACTATCACTATTTTTCATTCATAAAGTGTTTCCCCTTCGTTTTATAGAAAAAAGAAGAATTTTGTAAGTATTTTTTCAAATAACATGTAAGAGTGGGACGACTCGCCCCGACCCGACCTGCAGTAGCGTGGGGTGGGGAAAAGGTATTAAGGTACCAGCCCCGACCTGCCCCATAGCCATCACTACCCGATAGTGCGATTTCAAGGCTGTGTGTCATGATCATTATATATGCAGTGAAACCGTGATGTCTACCCAACCCGCACCGTTTCATTTACGCACTTAATGGTTTCCTTTCATTATTCACGCCATGAGTCCATGATATGTGCACTACTCGTGAGACGTCCAAAGCCTCCTAGGAACTTGTAATCTTCACGGTTTCTGCTCGTGAACATTTGCTTTGGACTGTGATGTATGACATTGACAACACTTGCTCCCGTTTTCGCTCCCTGGTGTGAGCTACTACCCCCGTGCGGGTTGTGTCAATCGTTTTCATGACCTATCTAACTACCCCTGTGAGCCAAGTATACCTCAGAATGGTATTGCTAGTATATTGGCTACCAAGGTCATATTCCAGGGTTCTCGATACCATAGGCTACTTCTCACTTCGTTGTTATCTAGTCAACCAATAGGTTTAACATATCATGCATACTAGATCGGTGCTCCGATCATAATGTGTGGGGACCTATCTAGCATTATTTTAAGAGGGCATTCTTATAGCAAGGGTTTAGTCGCAACGTCCACTAAAGAACCCTAAGATCATTCATCTACCGTTAATTAGTCATTTGGAGCTACCTAGTCTAAACCTAAAATTCTCATCTAGTGTTAAACTCAGTTGTAGGCTAGGCTAGAAAGGAAGAGTTGGGAGACTTAACCAAATATAATTAAGCATAAATGGAGCATATATTCACAAAAACAAACATATCCATTCATAAATCCAAACACAATTACATCAATATTCAAAACCTAAATCTAGGGTTTGGGGTTTTTTAACCCCTAGTACCTTAGAGAACTACCCCATAAAGGAGGGAAGAAGATACATGGAAGAAAATAGAATAAGTCTTGATGTGGGAGAGCTGCCTTCCTTCTCCTCCTCCTCCTCCTCCTCGTCTTCTCCTTCCTTCAGCTTCTCCCCATAACTTTCTCTCTCTTAAAATCATAAATTCTCAATCAAAATCAACCCTAATGTAGTGGGAGGAACCCCCTATTTATAGAATTCCATGATTCGGGAAAGTTCAAGACCAGAGAGGTAAAGTTCATGGGCGTTATCTTAGAGGTTGAGGCCGCGATCCGTGAGTCGACCGTCGAGACTTTCTGGACCTCCCTCATTGGATACTCATAAATTTTGCACCCTAGGCTCCATATTTCACATCTGTGATCTCGGTTGTGCTGGTTGCGATCTTCGAAGCTTGGTTCATGTCCTCACTTCGTGGTCGTGATCTCCCTGCCTTTAACTATGATCTCTCTCTTTTCTCCGTAACTCTATACTTGTGCACATTTTTTGTACCCAAAATATATATATCTTCTAATACACGTGAATGCCAAATACTCCACCTATTATCTTATATATACTCGAAAAACTCGACGACAAAGAAATATAATGAAAAATAGATGACAAAGGTTGACACAGACTACTGACATCCTAATAAGATGAATACTGACGAGTGATGATGTTGACGATCATGCAGCTCCTCCAAGTGAAAAATCCTACCCTGTTTAATCCCAATTCATATATGCGCCCATTCTTTAGATCTTATATAACACATCTAGGCGGTTAAAACATAAAATCCTTGCTCAATGAGCTAACCAACTTATGAACATGGAGAGTATGAGGCAAAACTTGTAAATTATAATTTGTTGATCTTATGCCAAGAATATTTAACTGCTTCAAATTCTCATATGAGTGAAGCATGTTAAATCTAGAAGGTAGGGAGATTTTTTACCTAGAGAGTAGCAAAGGCTATGCAAATTGTCATCGGTAGCGAACTCTAAAGTGCCGACCAACTTTAACCTGGTGTGGTTTGGAGTCTTGAGATTACACATGCTTGAAACTTTAATGGAAAAGGCTTTTCATGAAGGGCGATCACCAACATGATCGATCATAGCAGTTGAAGACCCTCCTGTTCTAGGATCCCTCGTTTCATTTAGCGAGCGCGTCCTCCAATCCATAACATTGTTGCCTAGCAGCTTGCAGTTGGCACAATAATTGCAATGAGTGTAGTGTTTCTGAAAGTGCCCTGATAACACTATATTTATAGTGTTTACGACTCCCATATTTGATAACTTTTCCCCTTCTATTAAAGCATCTTTAGTAATTTTAATTGGTTTCTTGTCTAAATCACAACTATTTGATCAATGAGCTTTTAATAGACCTAGGCGATGTTTTTGTACTATTCGATGCCTTCAAGGTATACTTTTGATGGTTTTGAAGGTACACGCAAACTAAGTAAGATTGGATCAAGCATTGAAGGACTCTGTAGGACCAAATGAGCTATCAAGATAAGTTTATGGAGTTTCCACGGGAAAGGAGTGGTCCACTGATGAAGAAGTCAACTAGAAGTTGTTAGATTATGTTAGAATGAGCCCATGGGAGGAAGAATTAACCCATTCTGAAGCAAGAAAGAGCAGCGGCCTAAGCAACGCGTCCAACCGCCGCTACCCAAAGTTGCAACCCAAATCGTCTGGAATTAAAGTCCATGGATCAAGAAGCCCAAATCATGAAGAATCAGAACGGCGGGTCAAACCAACGTACCGTATCCACCCTCCATTTTCCTTGTTGACAAAGTTTCCTAAGACTACTAGGTTTAGGAGACTCTTTCCTAGTCGGAAGAAGATCATGGAGACTTTAAATAAAATTTTATGCCCAAGGCTTTCTGGGACAAATGCGTTGAGGCACAACAGTTAACTAAACATCTAGAGGTAAATCGCTATTTTGGTGTGGGTTGCGAGAGCGGTACCAGATCAAGGCAAACTACGAATGCTAGATATGACCTCAAAATAATAGGGTCAAGGTCAGCCAGTGAGACGATGGGAAATAAGCTTCATTGTCGAGAGGGAAATAGCCTTAATCTCCAGCTAAAGCCCTTAAATGATCGTTCAGTGATAAAGGAGGTAGGGGTGCAGAGATAGTCATTGATGCTTACTTATCAAATACTTCACAGTCCCCAGTGAGACCCGATCCTAGGTTTTTTTATGTCGAATCCTCCCCTATTACTAGAGGGCATCACTCCATTGTAAGAGTAAGGCTGCACGAATACACAAATCTCTATAACACTCTACACGAGTGCCTAGTCTAGTCAAAGTATAGGGGTTTGCAGCTAAGGAGATGTCATCATCATCAGTGGTGGTACCTTCCTTCTCCTCTATGTAGCTAGTCTAAAATGACTATATGAGAATGTGATACAAGCACGGAGCCTGTACTCGTAGTTATCACGCATCTTCAAGAACGAACAATAGAACGTTTGTTTAGGGGTTTTTGTTTATAAGGATAGGGTGGAATTGAAAGTGCAATCTCAACACAAATATGGGAGAAGGCTCAATCAATATAACAGATAGAATCTTGGCCACAATCAAGGGGAAAACTTGATTGATACAGAGAAAAAGTTCAAGCCTCAGGCTCAAAACCAAGATAAAAGTCAATATTCTGTTAAAAACTAACCCTAAAACCTGAGTTTCGCCATTTATATAGGTCTGGACAATTAAAAATAACAAAAACTTCTTAAACGGACAAATTCCCGTCACCCAGGCAAAATACCCGGTCAGAACTCAAATTACCCGGTCGGGTATTTAGCCTCCACGACCAGGGGGACTTCTGCCCAAAATGCCAGTCTGCTACAAAATACCCGGTCGGGTATTTAGTATGCTTGGTCGAGTATTCCCCCTCCGCCAACCCTTCTTCCGCTGCTGCTAGGGCCGCATCAATCCCTCCCCGTTGGAGAAGCTTTGCCCTCAAAGCTGGTGTTTTCCTACAAGAGACCACATCAACAATATTTCCAAATGAACTTCTCCTCAATGCAATCAAAATGTTCCTTTGCACCATCAGATACGTTCCACTTCCGTCCTCTGACTTCGAACAACTTTAACTTCCTTCCTCCTTGGCCCAGTTCATGGCCAGCTATTGTTGATCTTCCCGGACTTCAGCTGGTGACAATGGATTTAGCAGGAACTTCCGGTCACCTCTCTTGAACCGGTAGTTGTTGTGCCTTCCAACATGAATATCTCATCGATCATATTGCCACGGACGACCCAATAAGAGATGAGCAGCCTGCATTGGAGCAACATAATACCGAATCTCCTCTGCATAATCACTTATATGAAAACAAACCTTAGCCTTCTTGATGACTTTGATGTTCCTATTGTCGTTCATCCAATGCAGAGTGTATGGTTGAGGATGCTTGATTGTGTCCAATCCCAGCTTATTGACTGCATCCAGGCTAACCACATTGGTGCAGCTACCATCGTCGATGACCATAGACAACACCTTCCCGTCGACCAGTAAATGAGAGTGAAATAGATTATCCCTCTGCTCCGTCTCTGTGTAAGCTTCAATAGATAAAGCTCGGCAGTTCACCCCAAGAAATTTACCTATTGGAGGTTTCTCAGCCTTGATGTGCTCATCCACATCATCATCTTCAGAATCAACATCAGAACCAAATCCATTCCCCATGAGCTTCTCTTCATACTCCTCCTCAAAAAAGTACTCTCCATCTCGCAAGACAAGAGTTTTCTTGTTGGGGCACTAGTTAGCCTTGTGACCTCGGCCAAATCACTTGAAGCATTGGATGTTTCCAGTTGATTCTTCATTCCTAGCTTGAATGTATGGGGTTGTGTTCCTTGCAGCTGGCTTGTCACCTTCTGGGTTAGGGTGATTCACATTAGCCTCGGGAAGGTTATCTGCAACAGGTTTTGGTGAAGGTGGGTAGGGGTGAACAAAACCACCCGCAAACCGACCTAACCGTCCAATCCGATCCAACCCACACGTATTTAGTGTTAAAATTAATTATTTAAGGTTGGTCAGGGTTTTAATTTGTACAACCCGCCTCTATTGGGTTGGGTGCGGATTTTAGGTTACGCAACCCGTAGAAACCGACCCAACCCGTGTTCCAACTATTGTCATAAATGTATGTATACAAAACAGATTTGTGTAGTATATAAGCATATTCATAAGAAAATTAAAATACTTTATCATACTTTTCTCTTGTGGTTCCCCTTGTCTAATGCATTATTCTACTTTGAATTTAGACGTATATTTAATATAGGCTACAATTCATATAATTTATTGTGTGTACGATTTTAGAAGAATAATATATATGAATAAGTTCACTTATGTTTAAGCAAATGTTTGTGGGAAAAACTAGACTTATGTTTAAGAAATTTGTATTTCATTAAAATTCAAACACTATTTATGCATTTTGATACTTTTCGGTTTGATTTATTTGTTTAAGATTTTAATTAGTTATATAATATTTTGTGGTGTAGAATAGTTGTCTTTTTTATGTTGGGTTGGGTTTTTAATTAAAAGTATCTCCAACCCGACCCAACCCAACTATAAACAAACCGTAGGGTTCTAAATTTTTTGGGTGGGTTTGGATTTAGGTTTTTCAAAAACGTAGTGTATGGGTCGGGTGATTAAAATGACCAAACCCGAACCATCCGACCCATGTACACCCCTAAAGGTGGGTACCTTCTTTCCCAGCTCACATTCAGCTGCCTCTCTACCTCCATGGCCAAATGCACCGCTTCCTCCAACTCCACAAGCTGACGAAGCTCCACTTAATCTTGATTTCCCTGTTGAGCCCATGCAGAAAGCGAGCAATCGTTGCTTCCTTGTCTTTCCTCACATCTGCTCTCATCATGAGCAGTTCCAGCTCCTTGAAGTACTTATCAACAAAGCGAGTTCCTTGCTGAATTCCCTGCAAGGCATCATGGAGATCTCTCTGATAGAAAGGCGGAATAAACCGATCACGCATCAAGCCTCTGAGTTCTGCCCAAGTAGAAACTTCAGGCGGCAGATTCCTCCTTTGTCGTTGTTGAATCTTTTCCACCAAACTGCTGCACAATCTGTAAACTCATAGGTGGCTACAATAACTTTCAGATGCTCTGGGTAAGGATTGCAATGGAAAAACATAATCATCTTCCTCTCCCAATCGAGGTAAGCTGATTGATTATTAGTGCCTGAAACAAGGGGATTGAGAGCTTAATCCCTCGAATCAGTTCAACGCCATAACCTCCTGCTTCCGGTGGCCTTCCTACATACTTATAATAATCATTCTCATAGTCATTAAATAGAGGTCTGTTCTGCGGGATTACCTGACGACGTTGCTCCGTGTATTGGCGCCTCCACATCTGCCAATATGGGGTCTCGGGAAAAGCTTGGTACACTCGATCTGCTCTTAGGCCCTCTCGTTTCGCGGCTCTAGTTTGAGTTGCGACAACTGTTGGATTCTCTAGTGGTAGTGGATTACCCATTGGTTGAGTCTCCAACCTGGTGATTAGGGTATCCAGTCTCTGATTCGTCTCAACCAACTGACCTTTGGTAGTGTCCTGCTGGGCCTGAAGCAAGTCTCCCATCTGCGCAGCAAGCAGCTTCATAGCTTCTGCAAGGTTCCGACTCTTCTTTCCCACGATTGCTTCTTTGATTGGGGTTTCTTCTTTAGATAGCAATTCCTCCTCTTCTATGCGTTCTGCAATCAGATATTTGAACCTCGTTCGACAAGCAACAGGTCCTCTCTCTTTCGATCATGCCACTGTGTTGAACCAGGCTTTGATACCACATAATAAGAGCACGGAGCCTGTACCCGTAGTTATCAAAGTACGCAGCTTCAAGAACGAACAATAGAACGTCTGTTTAAGGGGTTTTTGTTTGTAAGGATAGGGTGAAATTGAAAGGGCAATCTCAACACAAATTTGGGAGAAGGCTCAATCAATATAACAGATAGAATCTTGACCACAATCAAGGGAAAAACTTGATTGATACACAGAGAAAGTTCAAGCCTCAAGCTAAAAACCAAGATAAAAATCAATATTCTGCTAAAAACTAACCCTAAAACCCAAGTTTCAGCCTTTATATAGGTATGGATAATTAAAAATAACAAAAACAGCTTAAACATACAAATTCCCGTCACCCAGGCAAAATACCCAGTCAGAACTAAAATTACCCGGTCAAGTATTTAGCCTCCACGACTGGGGGGGCTTCTGCCCAAAATGTCAGTCTACTACAAAATACCATGTGCCCAAAATATCTGGTCGGGTATTTAGTATGCTCGGCCGGGTATTCCCCCTCCGCCAGCCCTTCTTCCACTGTTGCTGGGGCCGCATCAGGATGTGATCTTGTTTATTGTTATATTAATGAATGTTAGGATTTCATATCATGCTTGTATTTGTCTACGAATTTTAATCTCGATCATGATCATTGATTGCTTTATGGTTTTTAATGCTTGTAATGGTCATTGATGTTTTCTATAGTATGAATTCTATTAATACCATCGATGCTCATGATTCTATTGTATGATACTATATTCATTGTTCTTAGTATTACCTAATAGGGATACCCCATTGATCCTACATTAATATGGGAGGATTGATCGGCCATATATGCATCGAGTAGTGTCAATGCTTCATTGTTAGATCATCAATGCTATAGCTCTAGTTATGGTTTGAAGAAGGCCTAATTAACTTTCTGCTATCCTAACTTCCTTATTCTTTATTGATTACATAACGACATGAAGCAAAAGCACGCATTAGCTAGTTAAATCTCTATCACAAGAGGCGCATGCACGGGTAGAGAGTGGTCTTAGAGGAAGGGATAGGGTGTTGCAATAGATGAACCATCGATACATGATATTAAAGAGCCAAAGTTTTCATGATTATCTTCAAGTTCACAATCTAGTACAATAACTTATATTTACTTTCATGCATCTATAAATCGAAACCCCTAAACAACTTTATTCTTCTTGCATGCTTGTTCAATTCGTGTATGTCATGATATTTGGTGAGAGTAGATATGCATTAGAAGACCTCGAGGAATATGACCCTAGGCACATATAAGATTATCACTCGTGATTTCTACATCATTTTTTTGGCACACGAAGATTTCTAATCATATATAAAAGCATCTAATCATCTTATGCCTAGTATAGAATCTTTTTTGTTTTTTTTTTAGATTTTCTTATGAAACCAGTACTAGAAGTTAAACTAAAAACCTAAAGATCATGGAAGAGATACTTCGAGAAGGAGGAGTTTCGAGTTCACCCATCTTGAAGACAAAGGAAGGAGCATCTATCTCAAGAGGAGAAGAGCCCTCAAGCCCCAGCAACTTTAAGAAATCCTTGGAAGAGAAGGACAACATAGACGAAGACAACTTTGATCGGGAAGAAGAGGGAGCATCTTCAACACCTTCAACGCCAATAATGGGTGGAGAAGAAGGACAAAGACAAGTGGTCATTCCACCAACTCTTTATGAATACCTGAAGCATTGTTGCGCCACCAACAACCATAGAGATTATAACTCAACTCATCCAAATGGTGCAACAAGCAGGTAAGTATGGTGGCAGGAATGATGATGATTCAGTGTAACACTAGAAGACATTCTCAAAGATCATCGATCTCATATCGAGAGATGATGCTACCAAAGATGGGACTCGACTATGACTTTTTCCATTGTCACTTGGAGGAGGAGCAATGTAGTGGCTCAACTGCCATCCACCAGGAACCTTCACCACATGAGACACCCTTTCACCAACATTCATCAAGGAGTACTTTCCATTGATCATAAAATTTAGGTCAAATGCAGGCGGATCGACCTAAATCCGTGAGTGACCCGCCCGCATGCCCAGTCCTACACGAGCCAAAGCCACATGATCTTGACTAGGTATTATGGTCTAAATTGAAGAGAGTATCCACACATATATATTTCTTGCAAATTCAGCTACCTTCCTTTCCTCTCTTTCTATCCGTCCTTTGAATAGTCTTATCTTTTCCACCATCGTTCGTATTGAGAAGTCATCGAGAAAGAGAGGAGGCAAGCCTTTCACGTGGAGGTGGGCTGACGAATTGCCCTTTTGCATGCAACTGCAAATCCACCACCTAATTATATACTGCCCCCTTGCACTTCTACTACTACTTGACGTGTCTTTCAATTGCGTGACTTCGATTTTAATTTTCTGTTTTTTGTCTTTTCCCTTGTTCCACAAACAAACCCTTCTTTTCCAACTCACAAATATTATTATATATAATTCACAAAGACACATATACGAGGGGAAAAAGGACTTTGCAGCTACTAATTAGTTTGTCCCCCGTGAAAATAAAAAGTAGAGATTCATTCATATTCGTGTTTGCTTTCCAAGTTTCCAAAGGCCTCATTTTGGTTACACCTTAGCTTACCATGAATGAGGAAAGGAAACAAACATCCCAAGCTAAATTCATGCAAACCCACCACGTGGCGCCCTCAGAATCCATTCCTGTGTACAGTTGGATGTGCATCTCATCCACAATCCCAAAACCTAGACCATATGATCATATTCCTGCCACAGGACAGGGTACGATGTGAAAACGATGGCTAAACAAACTGACAAGACCAATGACATTATTTATATCCAGTTGAGCAGATAATTTTACTTGAACAGATTGGATGTATAACCAAATTATGTATTTTTATAAAGGACTCTAAATTATATAATATCTACAAGAACAGTTTAATCTAAATAATTTAATATATATAATGAATTTATATTGTATACTAATTAATTAACATGCTCATATTAAAATAAAAAAACTCATATGGATTTAATTTTTACAAATATGAATACTACATGCTTATGGAAAAGACGGATAAGATTATATATGTTATTTGAATCCCTTATGCATCCACTTAATTTGTAGATAAGGATAATGTGGGTTGATGTGACTTGAATCGGACTACCAGCCGCTTCGATTGGTAGTCGGGGGGGCCCGCGGTGTATGGGCTCAATGTTATTTGGGTTCGGGTTTCGGGCCTGGTCTGTAACCTCCTTTGTCAGATTGGGTTAGGTTTAGACCCACATGTAGAAGTACTATATATACTTGTCATACTCCTTTGTAATCTGTAATCTCCTCGATATAGTGAAACTGGCTCTCTCGCCCGTGGACTAGCTAACACACATCGTGTTAGTGAACCACGTAAATCGTGTTAGTGAACCACGTAAATCGTGTGTCTGTATTTTTTCAATTCTCGCTTTCGTATTCTTGCTTTATCGATTCCGACAATTTATCGATCCGTAGCCGCGCGTTTATAACATTACGATAGTTTGTGAAAAAGAGATTAGATATATAATCATTCTAAGGATCATTTTGAATGACTTTTGAATTATATAAAATAAATTGGATATTGATTTTAAAATATTTATTCATATATTTATTGCACTGTCTTGGGGGCAGTTAGTCATTAAAAGCTTTGCAGGTACTGTTACTAGTCAAGTTTATTAAAAAAGAGGATTAAGAGCCGTAATCAAGCGGCTTGGCGGGGAACAACGGAACGTAATAATTGAGCAAAGGAACCATTCAACCAGAACCAAAACCCATCCTATCAATTGTCAAATTTCATCAGATCTCTTGAAATATTATTATGACAATTAAGTTCTGATAAGGATGTGTGCGTGTCTTTCTTTCTCTAGATGATCAGTTAATTTCTTCAAATTGAATTTTCCGTTTGATTTGTTGTTTGTGATGTAGTCAAAGTTGTCAATCCGCATATTGACCCACTTTGACTCTGACCCGATAAAAAAAACATGTTGCACGCACTCGGCTGGTCGACCACTACAAGGTATCGGATTGGAGGTCACATTGTGTCATTTTTTTTTCTTTAGTTTGCGAAATGCGCCTATTTTCCAATTTTTCTTTTCGCCTAACTCAATCTTTGTAATCCTTAGTTGAACATTTGAATATTGATGTTATGTAAGTGTGTGTGAATTTTCACTATATGTTGGATTTAAGTACGACATGTTACTTTGGTTAATGTTACAAGTTATTACTCATATGTTAGATGAGATTTTATATAATTTATCAGAATAAGTATAATATAATGACTCTTTCCATATTTCCGGACTAAAATGGGTGATCCATTAACCACTGACCCACTAGTTTGACCGGATCCGGGTCAACCCGCGGATTGACAACTTTAGTGTTTTATTTTACGTGGGGTGGGCCTGAGAAGGGGAAAGTTCGAGGACAATTTAGTCATCCTGAAGATGATAATGAGAGGCGGTTTTCTTAAACCATTTTTCTGAGAATCTTTTCTTAAACCATTTTTGTTCTCGTTTTTTGCAACTTAAACTCATATTCATGTGAGAGATTTTTTGCAATCTTATTGTTATATCCATGTTTTCGGGTACTAATACATAGTATTCGTTTCATATATTAAATATTATACCTAGAATTAACACCATGAAGATGAAGTGTGTGGTTACTGGGGCTGAAGATAGGGTGCATAACCATGGTTATATTCATGGTTATGCACCCATCAATAACTAAATTTGGACCCTTTATTCAGAAAATTCAGATATAAGGATGGAGAATTAAAGATCATTTTTATTTTTCTTTGTTTTCTTAATCGGCTCATATCTTCTTCGTTTTAACTTGGATTTCAATTTTTTTGCACAGATGGAACGAGTTCCTTGTGCTCTACAAAACGAGATCCATTTTCAATATTTTTTTAGGAAAAAAATTCTTGCCTCTCTGTACCATCTGCATACCATATGGTATCTTCTTTGTTTTTAATTCGTTTTTGAAAACGTTCATCGTGATTTATTGGATCTACAAATTTCTGGGTGAACAAATTACAGGACCAAAAAATACCACAAAATACCACCCTGGTACGAGGTGGTATCTTGTGGTATACAGTGTTAAAAGTGGATATCATTTTGGTAAAAAACGGCTAAATATTTTTTTTCCAAAAATATATCAAAGTGGATATCATTTTGAAGAGCACAATTAATATGATCTAACTGTGCAAAAAAATTAAATTTCGACTTAAAACGACTGAGAAATCGTCCGACAAAGATTAAAGAGTGGAAAATTAAAGACTTTCCAAGAGAAATGCTGATTTCATGCTGATATGAGCGAGTTACTCATGATTACTCACCACAAAATTACTCACATTGTGTCCGTTACTAGTTATAGTTGCTTGATTGTTAAATAAATAACTGCGTTATTTAATTAGTAATTTAGTTTTCCGTGTCCGTTTTGGTTTGTGTTTTCTTGCTTGGCAAGTCATATCCAAATATACAAGGATTAAACCCAAGTTCTTTCACTATATATGCTAAGCTATCTAATTTGTGACCGAGTAAAGTAATAAATCACAATAATAAATCGTCGGTCTGTGAGCTTTTTCAAACTTATCATGGATTAGTCTTGTTCTGAATAACACTCAAAATTTTGTGTTTTATGTTTTCGATCTTTTGTATTGTCAATTTTTCATGTAAAAAACCAACTAGTATCAATGACTCGAGTTACTAGGATCATTTGTTTGACAACATGGCAGCAAAGTTGTTTTGATTATGAGGTATCGTGTTCAAATTATCACTGTCAAGAACCAGTTGATCCCGATAATTCGAGTTGTTGGGAGAGTAACCATAATGAATCTTATACCACACACTAACACACCCTCTCAAATGAAAGCCAGACAACTCATAAGTAGGGCTGAAAATTTGTCTGTCCCCTCCCTGTCCCTGTCAGACCCGTCCCTGAAGGATCAAGATGTATAACCGTCCCATCCCGTCCCTGTCTCCTTCTTGGTCTGACCCTCAAGGGTTGGGACAGGACGGGCCGGGTCAGTGGGTCGATCCTAATCAACACACTACTTTTTTACAAATTACGTTTTGGTACCCAAAATTATTTTTTCTTACAATTTAGTACCTAAATATTGTTTTTTTTACAAATAAGTCCATAAATTTTGATGGTAAAATTACTTTTTGGCACCAAATTTTTTTTATTTTTACAAATTAGTACCTTAACTTTTAAAACTTTACAAAAGGTCCAATGAAGTATGAGATATTTGTTGTTGCTAAGGGTCACAGGGTCAAAACGTGACCCGTCCCTAAGTTGTCCCGACCCGTCCCGACCCTTACAGGGTCAACAAATGACACGTCCCTAATCTGTCCCTGTAGACAAACTGACCCGTCCCGACCCTTAGGGACGGGTCGGGACGGGTCAGTGGGTCTTCCGGGACAAGCTTTCACCTCTACTCATAAGGGTTTTCATTTGCACAGGTCTGAATACAAGAATACCATGTGTTTCACAAATGGGGTCACCGGGATTCGAACACAAGACCTTTCGGTCAAAGAAGGCTCTTATACCATGTCAAGAACCAGTTGATCACAATAACTCGAGTTGTTGGGAGAGGTTCCATAATGGATCTTATACCACACACTAACAATCATGATCCTCAATATTGACCATTGTCTTAAAGCACATGATACGACGGGCAGTGGTGGAGCCAGAAAATTAGTCAATGGGGGGTGTTTTTTCCATACCACAAAAAAATCAAATGCATAATAGAAAATAAAATCTATATGAAATAAAACGTCATCAAAACAATAATGAAGATTCGCAATAATAGTTCAACGCATGTCACTCACAAACGAACCAAGGAATTTCATATTATTAAAAGCATTATAAAATACATTTCATGTACAAAGTAACACACAGTTCTTGTTCAATATATGTCACTAACGAATCCTTCATTTAGTTATTGTGACGGTAGAATTTAGTAAATATTCTAGGCGTCCATTTGAGAAGGCAGAAGCTATTTAAGGAGTGCTTCTCCTCACTTGTAAATACATTCATAAACCATCCAAGTGTTGGGTAACACAACTCTAACGAGAGCTCTCTCCATTCTAGTGAGTCGAGCGAGTGTGAGTGTAATTTGACTTAATTCTCTAACGTTGCTTAAGTGCTGAAACCACTTGAAAAGATTTTAGTCTCTGACAAAACTCGCAAGGCAAAAAGTAGACAACTCCATCAGTTTCTCCTTTTGCAATTGAGTTTTGTGGATTTAAACAAGTCATAGATGACAACAAGTGGCAATTGAGTTTTGAGGATTTAAATAATTGTTTAAATAAAAGTGTATTGTTGTTAATTGGTACAACACAAAACGTCTCCGGTGTAGATGGTTAGATGGGTGGTATGGGATTAACAAGTAAAGGCTCAATTATCTTGCAATTGTTTTCTCCAAGGGGCTGCACGCACCCCAACTCTCTGAGTGGCTCTGCCATTGACGACGGGCTTGTCCCTACTTCAAATCTATGAGTTGACTTTTATATGAGGGGTCATGTAAAGGAAGTGGTTAAGATTCCTGCATTGGCATCTTCGAACAACTCGAGTTATTGGGACATGTTGGTTATTTTAAGGTCACGTGTTTAAGTTCTCAAGGACTCCAACATTAATAGTTGATTTAAAACACATGATATGATGGGTCTGTGTAAAATTTCAGCAAATGAATTGGATTTGGTACATGTACGGAAATGGTTACTAGAGTTATTTCTTCATTCCCTATCTCAATTTGGAGTTATCAACTGAGATTCTTCGCCTAGGTATTTTAGTCAGGTTGTATTCAATTTATCGCTCCACAATTTCAGTGAATCAACCAGTGTTATTAAAGTTGAGCCGAGCCGCTCGGCTCGACCGGTAAAACCGCCACCCGATCATAAAACCGGCTCGAAACAGTCTAAAAGCCGCTCCGGTTTATGTAGCGGTTGGCGAGCGGCCGAGGCGGTTAACCGTTCGAGCAGATTGAGCCGCTGGTCCGGTTTTTGCCATTCAGCCACTAAATTTAATTAAAAAAATTGCAGAAAATTGAAAATTGAAATAAACAAAAAACGTAGGGCTCTCAAACTGAATCCTTATTTCCATTTCACAGTTTCGAAGGAAAGAGATGAACTCTGATTAATAAATGTCCACTATTTATACTGATAACGTTTATTAGGTACCGGTTCTCTAACGGTTTTAAACGGTCTAATGTCGGTTGGACCACTAAAGTGCGAGCCGTTCGCATTACCGGGTCATGCTCCGGTTCGGTTATGACAGGAATCAACACCAAACTGAATATGATAACCCACCTCTAGATTAGTCGTGTGGTTTCTGTACTTGGTGATCTAAGAGCCAAAGAGACTATTTCTAGTCAAATCTTCGATTTCCAACGAAACCTAAGACTAGCCTTCTTGGCTTATCTTGGAAGAAGAAAAAAACGAAACCTAAGACTAGGCATGCACTCCCGGTTTTAAGAATAATCAAGAAAGAAGACATTATTATATAGATATAAACTCAATCAATTATATAATTGCATTGAATTGAAATTTTGGAACCCCTCTGGCTCTGGGTTCCTATTTATCACTAAAACAAAGATTTTGAGTTGGGTGAGGGTTTTTTTTTTTTTTTACAACCCACTTCTTCTGATTTGCTTCTCCACTTTGTATAGGAGCTTTTGTCACATGTAAGGTTACTTCACCGATGATAGCATCAATTCTTGCTCCATCAATGGCGAGGAATGGCCTTCGAAAGAGGATTAAATACTCTTTGCTTGTATCCATGTCGATCACAAGGTAGTCTGGGAAGAAAATGAGCGGATCAACTTGGGTGCTTAAGCCTCAAACGACTCCAAGGGCTCTGCAACAGGTGTTGTTGGCTAACGGGATCTGTACATTGGCATACTCCATGTTAGCTATTCTCATCTATTCAGATTTATGCAGTGGTAGCTTGTACACTCTTAAGCCAAGGTCACTAGACCTTTCTCCATGTGACGGTCATCCAAGAGACATTTGCTGATGATATGCCCGGAATGCTCCTTTACTTCATTGATTGGGATGAATTATTTGTAATCCCAAGGGGTATTCTTGATCGTGTTCTCCTTTTCTTTGAGCCTATAATCTTCCTCCATGAAAATTTCAAGCTTTCCTTTAAGATCCCTCCATAGAAATCATCTCCCCCTATATTGGCACTGCCACTTCTGCTCCTCCAAAAGATTATATCAAAATTCTAAAGATGGATGGATACTCAGCTCTTTTCTTCTCTTCTTCCTTTTTCATGCTTGGAAAACTTATGGTTGCTCCCATCCGTGTTGAGATGACTCTGACTTCCTCCTTCTTTGGATTATTTTCTATATTGCTCACCTTGCCACTTCTCGCACGTCACGAGTACTGATGGCGTTCGTAGCTCTGCCTTTTTTGTGATCGCTGTAATGTCACAGTCACTCCAGCATATGGACAATTTTTTGTGAACCAACGTCATTTTAAAAGAAAAAAATTCACCCAAAATTTAAGAGAGAAAAATATATGGCTCTTACCATGAACTGATAAGAGTTAGTTTAATTAATATTTTTTATGGTTACAACTATTCATTTGACTTATATCTAATATAATATAGGGCTAATACCATTATAACACCCGAACTATTGCAAAAATGTCACTTTATATCATGAAGTATTTTTCTGTTAAAGTTGACTCGTTTTGACCGTTAGTTTTTAACAAAAAGTCCAGTCAGCGTTGATGTGGCACATGACGTGGAATTTAAATTTATTTAATAAAAAAATCATTAAACACTATTACAGAAAAAATTATATAAAAATCAAAACATCAAAAATCAAAATAAAAAGCTTCATCTCGCTCATTGCTTTTGAGTTGGGTGAGGGTTTTTTTTTTTTTTTACAACCCACTTCTTCTGATTTGCTTCTCCACTTTGTATAGGAGCTTTTGTCACATGTAAGGTTACTTCACCGATGATAGCATCAATTCTTGCTCCATCAATGGCGAGGAATGGCCTTCGAAAGAGGATTAAATACTCTTTGCTTGTATCCATGTCGATCACAAGGTAGTCTGGGAAGAAAATGAGCGGATCAACTTGGGTGCTTAAGCCTCAAACGACTCCAAGGGCTCTGCAACAGGTGTTGTTGGCTAACGGGATCTGTACATTGGCATACTCCATGTTAGCTATTCTCATCTATTCAGATTTATGCAGTGGTAGCTTGTACACTCTTAAGCCAAGGTCACTAGACCTTTCTCCATGTGACGGTCATCCAAGAGACATTTGCTGATGATATGCCCGGAATGCTCCTTTACTTCATTGATTGGGATGAATTATTTGTAATCCCAAGGGGTATTCTTGATCGTGTTCTCCTTTTCTTTGAGCCTATAATCTTCCTCCATGAAAATTTCAAGCTTTCCTTTAAGATCCCTCCATAGAAATCATCTCCCCCTATATTGGCACTGCCACTTCTGCTCCTCCAAAAGATTATATCAAAATTCTAAAGATGGATGGATACTCAGCTCTTTTCTTCTCTTCTTCCTTTTTCATGCTTGGAAAACTTATGGTTGCTCCCATCCGTGTTGAGATGACTCTGACTTCCTCCTTCTTTGGATTATTTTCTATATTGCTCACCTTGCCACTTCTCGCACGTCACGAGTACTGATGGCGTTCGTAGCTCTGCCTTTTTTGTGATCGCTGTAATGTCACAGTCACTCCAGCATATGGACAATTTTTTGTGAACCAACGTCATTTTAAAAGAAAAAAATTCACCCAAAATTTAAGAGAGAAAAATATATGGCTCTTACCATGAACTGATAAGAGTTAGTTTAATTAATATTTTTTATGGTTACAACTATTCATTTGACTTATATCTAATATAATATAGGGCTAATACCATTATAACACCCGAACTATTGCAAAAATGTCACTTTATATCATGAAGTATTTTTCTGTTAAAGTTGACTCGTTTTGACCGTTAGTTTTTAACAAAAAGTCCAGTCAGCGTTGATGTGGCACATGACGTGGAATTTAAATTTATTTAATAAAAAAATCATTAAACACTATTACAGAAAAAATTATATAAAAATCAAAACATCAAAAATCAAAATAAAAAGCTTCATCTCGCTCATTGCTTTTGAGTTGGGTGAGGGTTTTTTTTTTTTTTACAACCCACTTCTTCTGATTTGCTTCTCCACTTTGTATAGGAGCTTTTGTCACATGTAAGGTTACTTCACCGATGATAGCATCAATTCTTGCTCCATCAATGGCGAGGAATGGCCTTCGAAAGAGGATTAAATACTCTTTGCTTGTATCCATGTCGATCACAAGGTAGTCTGGGAAGAAAATGAGCGGATCAACTTGGGTGCTTAAGCCTCAAACGACTCCAAGGGCTCTGCAACAGGTGTTGTTGGCTAACGGGATCTGTACATTGGCATACTCCATGTTAGCTATTCTCATCTATTCAGATTTATGCAGTGGTAGCTTGTACACTCTTAAGCCAAGGTCACTAGACCTTTCTCCATGTGACGGTCATCCAAGAGACATTTGCTGATGATATGCCCGGAATGCTCCTTTACTTCATTGATTGGGATGAATTATTTGTAATCCCAAGGGGTATTCTTGATCGTGTTCTCCTTTTCTTTGAGCCTATAATCTTCCTCCATGAAAATTTCAAGCTTTCCTTTAAGATCCCTCCATAGAAATCATCTCCCCCTATATTGGCACTGCCACTTCTGCTCCTCCAAAAGATTATATCAAAATTCTAAAGATGGATGGATACTCAGCTCTTTTCTTCTCTTCTTCCTTTTTCATGCTTGGAAAACTTATGGTTGCTCCCATCCGTGTTGAGATGACTCTGACTTCCTCCTTCTTTGGATTATTTTCTATATTGCTCACCTTGCCACTTCTCGCACGTCACGAGTACTGATGGCGTTCGTAGCTCTGCCTTTTTTGTGATCGCTGTAATGTCACAGTCACTCCAGCATATGGACAATTTTTTGTGAACCAACGTCATTTTAAAAGAAAAAAATTCACCCAAAATTTAAGAGAGAAAAATATATGGCTCTTACCATGAACTGATAAGAGTTAGTTTAATTAATATTTTTTATGGTTACAACTATTCATTTGACTTATATCTAATATAATATAGGGCTAATACCATTATAACACCCGAACTATTGCAAAAATGTCACTTTATATCATGAAGTATTTTTCTGTTAAAGTTGACTCGTTTTGACCGTTAGTTTTTAACAAAAAGTCCAGTCAGCGTTGATGTGGCACATGACGTGGAATTTAAATTTATTTAATAAAAAAATCATTAAACACTATTACAGAAAAAATTATATAAAAATCAAAACATCAAAAATCAAAATAAAAAGCTTCATCTCGCTCATTGCCCCCCCCCCCCCCCCCCCCCCCCCCCCCCCCCCCCCCCCCCGCGCCAGATCTGCAGCGCATACTTCTACTAGAATGAGTGTGAGAGATCTTTCTGCAAGGATGGGAATGTGAAGCGAGCGATAACCATGATTATTGGTGGGATTAGACTGGGAGTTCTCTCCGAAGTGCTCCGACAGTCATTCGCCGCCCGCAAGCTTCACAATGACGACGGCGGAGATCAAAAGACTCGCACAGTGGCCTCTCGTTCCCCTCCTTATATCGACGACATCGATTCGGCTTCCTCGTTCCCTACTCTGCTCGGTGGCTCCCCTTGCCCGCAACTGCCGTTGGCCAAATCCTTCCTCCCAGTTGCGCCTTCGTCTACGCCTCGTCCGACTCAGGCATCTCCAGAAATCCAGATCTCCGTCCTCAACCGTTCTACCGCAACTGCCAAAAATTCTATCGGAGGAAGATTTCTCACCGCCCAATGCAAGCCATTGAGCAAAGCTAAGGGATAGCTACTGGTAGTAATCATGTTTAGGAAAGTTATTGATAGAAGCAAGAAATGGGGGAAACAGGCCTCCACTGGACCAATGACGAGTTATTTACAGGGACTACATCTCGGCTGGGAGTTTTCATGGTAGGATTTTTTCTTATCGCCCCATATGGCCAATCTTCTTCTTCGTCCAATGAAAACGAGCAGCGAAATCGACTTGGCAATTTTTTAGAGAAAGAGAGGACGAATCCGTAGGGAAGAAGAATAATGAGATTTTTTTATTATTTTGTTTTATAATTTTGGCAATTTACAGTTTTTTTAAATTTTAACTCAATTTTTATTTAATTTGAATAAAAAAAATATGAGGTCGGTGACGTGGCATCTATGTGGCAGCCACATTTTTGCCACGTCAACAAAAGACAACTTCGCGTTGACCACCGTTTGGTCAACCGTTATCTTTAATCGTCAACGAAATTGACAGGATACAAATGACACAAAGTATCATAGTTGAGGACATGAATGGAATATTTGATACAATATGACACAAGTGACATTTTTTCGATAGTTCGGGTGTTATAGTGGTATTAGCCCTATAATATATTGAGTGACTCGCTAAAACTACATTACTAACTATTCCAAGTGTAAGAAAGACATTATCAAAGTACAGTAGCACAAGTGATAAAATACTGAATCCACGGGTCTCTAGATTTACTATTACTCAACTTCAATTTATTATTCAGCAAAACATATTGAGATAAGAGAACTACAACTAATCTTACAACTAATCTAGCAACGTAGATTTAAAGTTTATCTAATTACAGGTTGAGAACTCGCTTGGGTATTGGTTCTCCTTAGCCACTAACCAGATTGAAGAGTGAAGATTTTCTAACTTGATTCTTTGTCATTCATAATATGGAGAGTCCTTGACTAGACCTTGAATCTCAATTAAAGCAATCAGGCCCTTTTGAGTCGATTGCCCTAGAGGGGCGTATCTTCTATAGCACAATCGACCAAGGTTAGACTCCCTCTATAGGGTGAGATCCTCGCTTAATACAAAGCAGTGAATCGAATCACTTTCGCACAATCGATCTAGTACTATCAATCTATGGTGCTCTATGGACCTAATAAGCTATTCCCTCTCATATAATCAAATCAGAATCAATACTCGACTAAAGCAGAATTGAACATCCAAACATGCATATAATGAATATGAACTCAAGATCACATTTGATTGCAGCAAAATCTTGGAAAGGAATAGTCTTCCCTCTATTCACGGACCAACGTAGACTTGACTCAATTATTCATTTAACATAGTTACCATGCATAAAGATCAAGCCATCAGAATAAAAGACCAAATAGTCTAGGTCCTCACCAGGATCTATAATGTGGAAAAGAATCACTCACTCTCGACCAGTGGGGTCAAGACAAATTGATACAAAAGATGTGCATACTCAAACTCCATCCTATCGTCTCTTCGCCATGATGGCAGCTTCTAAATGTAGAGTTCACAGAATGAGTGTCACCGCTAACTTGTCAGGAGTACTTGATTGGGTTGTAACTAGCTATATTCTAGGGCCTGAGAGGATATTTAGGTGGTGGAAACACTTATAGCACACGGTTCCACAATTCCCTACCAAGCCAATTAACAATCATTCACATCAATCTTCCTCTGCTGCAGCTGCTTTTATAACCTTTAAGCCAAGATTGAAGGGCATTACCAACATTTAGAGCATAATCAACTTGGATGGCAACTCTCATTCTTTTTATTTTTTTCATTTCTCTTTTTATATATTTTTTCATTTCCTTTAAGAGACAACAACATATGCCACCTTTTGAACCTTATGAATGCATGCTCAATTCCAATAATTTATCTCTATACTTAATTTCACAATCAGCAACTATCATGTAAGAATTGTTTTGTGAAACCTTTTGGTAAGCTCAGATGAGCTTCAAGACACATATATAACTCTTCTCTAATGCAGACACAAAAAAGAAGTGTACACGGCTCAAGGGAGCTGACTATGGGTATGACACACCGGGACATTCAATTTTTTTTTTTTTACTAATCTTATGCCTCCATCTTCCTCATTAGTGGCAACATGAATGCTACACATCACGGTAAGAGGGATCTATCACACACGAAAGAAACGAGCAGGCATAAATCTCACATGTATCCACTAGAGGGATCAAAGGTGGTGTGATCTTGGTCTTGGTCTTGCAAATGGGTCCTTTCCAAGTAGCTCCTCGAAGTTGGGTGAAGATAGCGCATGAAACTCATGACTGGTGGAAGCTTCATCCACCACAACTTCATCCCTAACTTGGACACCAATTGCTTTATTAACCCCCCCCCCCCCCCCCCCCCCCCTTTAAAATTTGGTTCTTCCCCTTGTGGAAGAACAAGAAATTCCTCTTCATTTCTTTCTTCCTCCTCCACAACTTCACCTCTCACCCTTTATTCCTTATCTTCAAGCACGGATTAGAAAGCATGTCTCTATGCAAGCTTCTTGATAGGATTAGATTGCATCTCCTCGTCCATCTCCATCTCTTCAAAGCGGGAATGGGGAAAGGTGTGGTCTGCCACAATAGGACATTCTTGATCATGATCATCACGATAGCTCTCTATGACAACTTCTGTCTACTTCACAGTATTATCTTGATATGAGGCTTCATCCTCCTCTTCTGCTTGTATGGTAGCAAAAAAGAGATTTTTGAGCAAGTTGTGCACAAGATTACTCAACCCATTTTGTTTGTTTCGCTAAGCGTTGAACATCATCCTCCATTTCAAAGAGAAAGGAGTAGGGATGGACAGTGGATTGGAAAGCCATATTGGAGCAAACTCTGACAATATTCTTAATTGATCTGTCAGTATCCCGAACAAACTGCTCAACAGCAAGCTCGCAATGGCTCTTCGACTCCGAATGTTGAATGTAGCATGGCTCTGCAGAATGCCATGTGAATACTGCCACGACTAACTCCATATCATATGGCCTCACTGGTTGTGGAGGGAAATCTTCTTGATAAGGAGGTGGTTCTTGAAATTCCCAAGAGTCTAGTTGTGCATTGTAGAAAGGCGGTTGTTTTCCCGGACCCTGAATCTTTAACCTTCTTTGTAGTGGTTATCGGGGTAGTACCGACCGGATGTTGGTTGATACCCCCACTACTCAGAAAAGACATAGGGATTCATGATTTATATCGGCACAACCAAAGAAAAAACACACAAGTGAAAAGCAAGGGTGGAATAGAAAAATAAAATAAATATTGGCTAAATTAACAAACTACAATCTTTCCTAATAATCTAGAAAGTCCCTGGCAACGACGCCAAAATTTTAACTTGCTGAAACTACACTCCTCACATGCTAAGTGTAACAAAGACAAGATCGCAGTATAGTGACACAAGTGATAAAATATCGAATCCATGGGTCTCTAGATTTACTATTATTCAGCTACAGTTTATTATTCAGCAAAACAAATTGAGATAAGAGAACTACAATTACTTCAGCAAACAATAGTTAAAATTAATCTAATTAAAGGTTGGAAACTCACTCACGTTGATTCCCACTAGCCACTAACAAGAAAAATGATTGATGATTCTCTAACTTGATTCTCTATTCATTCATAATGTGGAGAGTTCTTGACTAGACCTTGAATCTCGGTTAAAGCCATATAGTTATTTCCCATTAACGTTAGCCTTAACTGAATTACATGTAAGTTAATCATCATTCCACGTGTTTGACACATCAGCACCATGTCAATTAAAAAAAAATTTTAAAATTTATAATGACAAATACTATTTTTATCCAAACCTTTCACGGATTATAAAAGATTAGCCAAACCTTTTATAATGCTACAAACATGTTAACATATCTTGGTTGTACAAATATTATTTTCAATGTTCCTTCGCACTACTACTAACATGTTAACATATCTTGGTTGTACAAATATTATTTTCAATTCTTGAGTTGGTTTCCCTATAGGGACGTATCCTTCTCTAGCACAATCGATCAAGGTGTTCTGGTCTAGACTCCCTCTATTGGGCGAGGCCTTACTCAATACAAAGCAGTGAATTGACTCACTCTTTCATAATCGATCCAGTATTATCAGTTTATGATGCTCTATTGACCTAATCAGGTATTCCCTGTCATAAAATCAAAGCAGGATCAATAATCTCGACTCAAGCAGAATTGAACATCCAAACATGCGTAGATTGAATATGAACTCAAGATAATCAAGAGAGAGTACTTATACAATCATCCCACCAAACAAACAAAGCAAGGGTTCCTCAAAACCTAAGTGAATGGAAGTTACTCCATAGAGAAGAGAGAGAATGCAAAATTTGACCTAGATCTTCAATCTCCATCTCCAAATTTGATTCTCGAGGTCCAATAGTGAAAAAATTCTCCAAAACATCTCCAAAATGTCCCAAGTCGTTCTCTCTCTCTAGGCCTCGTCCAATTGGTGGTTGGGATCCAAACCCCAGCTCTCCCTCTCCATAAATCGCAAAAACACATTTATACACATAGCAGAGGACAAGTTACGGCCCCATGTTACGCCTGTAACGTTTGGGGCCGAGAAATGTGAGGACAAACATGTGTAATTATGGTGCTATCATTGACACTCTCTTCGCACTTAATATCAAATTCTCGAGCAATAAGCACTTTCATGTTCTCGCTCTCACTTCGCGAACAGGTTACTTAGTTCTAAACTACAACTTTGTTTGATTGGATCCGATGTGAATTGGTTGATGGTTATCAATCCCTAATGTTAAGTGATTGAGTATGTATTCACACGTGTGTCATGTACAAATGAGGAATAAGAATCGAATAAAAATTTTCTTAAGACTTCTTCTAACAACTCAAATTACATAGTATAATTAAATTGAGTTTTTTACATGTTCGGACTTTAATTTTATGGTAAGAAGCCCGCCTCCTCACATCAAGCAAACTTTTCATTGAACCTGGCAAATTACAACCCCAAGCCAAAAGTTCCCATACAATGAATTCCTTTGTTTGCGTACGGAATCTGCTACGGTAATTGCTTTGCTAAGGAAAAGGGCAAAGAAAGAAGGTCACATAAGGTAGTGCTTGGCGTCCCACTTCCCACGTCGTATTATTAGTGATAAATATAATGTGTGGAGAGGGCAGAGTATAAGTAATCTTGGCTTTGACATTATATATGTATGAGGATGAGTGGTCGACATCTTCGATGGATTACCCTCTCCCCTTATTGATATCCCATCTAAATTCTCATCCCTTGGAACTTTATAACTCTCTTATCATCATCATCATCAACAACAACAACAACAAATCTAGCTCATTGGGGAGATATAGCTAGATTTTAGGATATCTCTGCTTATGGCCTCCAGTCAATTTGCATGTATGGTCACTAAACTTTGTGTCACTCACAAATCGGTAGCAGCAAAATCTAAGGAAAAAAAACTTAAAAAGTCGCTATGTTTGGTTTTCGTCTCCACGTCATTTATATGAAGAAAAAAAAACATCTAATTAGGAGGGGGGGCACGAATCTGTTAGAATTTATGAGGTGATATTTTCTTACATGATTGTAGATAATACTAGTTCTGAACTGGGTTGGCATGGTTAAAAGCCACAATTTAATTGTTGTGCTCACATTACAATGTGTGAGAACGTGCGCTTACAAGAATGCATGATTGTTGGAGTGTCTAACATGCGATCTGATGGTCCGGGGCTTTGTAAGTACGTTCACACAGGTGTTAGGTGAGCATCATAGTCGGGTTGAAAAATGGGGTGTGTTATGCAATTTGGGTAGGATCTATATGTAGTGACTCTTTATTGTTAATCTGACTAGTTTGCTTATAATCCAAAACATTTGGAAGGAAAACCTAACAAGATGAAAGGAGTCACGTATGTTATATTATAGTTTGTTGGACAAACATGTATTTTGATTTACCAATAAAAAATATTGGGGTAAGCTTAAAAAATTCAAGAATACATGCCAATTGTAGCAAACCATATATTACATTTTTTGTTGTAATCTCACAATCCTTCATGTAAAATACTTTTTTTTTTCAATTAATTTATTCGACAATCTATGCTTGTCATTTGTTAATAACCCTAAATTTTATGGTATTATGATTTCCCTTGCTTTAAGCACTAAAATTTTCTATCTTTTTTTTGCGTGTACTATATTAAATTGTACGTTGTTCATATTCAACAACTTATACTGGAGGGTGCTCAAAAACTAGTTGATGGGTTTGATTCGGTTCATATATTTGGCCGCATTTTGCTAATGAATACTTAATTAAATGGTAATTAATGTAATCATGTGATATGTACCAAACTCATGGTATGAGTTGTAACAGTTAGGGGTGGGCAACATATCAGACCAAATAAGTTCGAATCGAAAGTATCGAAATTTACATTGAAATTAACCAAATAATGTCATTAGTTTTTATTCAATGAATGGTCCTAATAATTCCGGTGGCAACCGATTGAGTCAAAATTGTACTTCTAATCCAATTTTATTCCTTAATTACCTTTTACTTTTCGATCCAAAATCATTTCGATTTCGTGGGGTTTTGGATCTAATTGAATTGCTACAACCCTGCAATATAGCAAGAGGAGAGGAAATTAAAAGTAACTAAAATGTGGAGAACTAACATCAACAAAAATAAAAATTACAAGCAAATCGCTACATGAAGGTCCATACCATAGAATCCTACCAAAACATTAGTCGACCCACTTGACAAAATTTCGTCGTTGTCAAGAATATCCCTCAATAATTACTAAAAGCAAAAGCTATTACTATAGGTATAAAAAGACCCAAAAGTCCCTTCTCCTTTTTCCCTATGGTTTGACCCTCTTTCTCCCTTTTTCTATCGAAAATATGCATACTTCTAGCTAAAATCTAGTCCTAAAAAATTAGCCTAAAATTAATTTTTTGTCAGCATTTTTGTTAGGAATATTGACTTAACAATATGATATTGACTGAAAAGAGATATATGGCGGTCAACATCCAATTTAAAATTTTTGAAAATTTTGGCTAATAAATTATATTTACCTAAACCCAAGTAGAACCATTGATTATGGGTAGGGTAGGAGAAAGTTAATCTGCTAACTTGAAGATTCGTTAGCAGATACTAACTGATATCCAAAATATATGAACTAGTATCCAAGTACTAAAATATCTAGAGAGCACAAACTAGTATTCAAAGTTTGTTAACTGATATCCATCATGAATCAACTATTATCCCAAATTCACAAACTAATATCTAGACAGCACATAATAGTATCCATATAGCACATAAGTAGTATCCAGATAACACATAATAGTATCCAGATAACACATAAGAGTATTCATATTGAATACTTGTTGGTTGATTGTGGATATTAGTTTGTATCTGCTATCTGGATACTAGTTTGTGATGTTTTGAATACTAGTTGTGTTATCTAGATACTCAGCAGACTTGGATATTAGTTCATACATTTTGGATATTATTTAGTATATACTAACGAATCTTCAAGTTAGCATAATAACTAGGCTGTGTAGGGTATGGGTGACGTACATATGAGTTGGGAAGTTTGTAGATGGATTTGGGTAGGGTATGGATATTTACTTTCATAATCTAAATGTGTATGAGTTGGGTATGGATACCCATTTATTGTGTTTTAATTACACATACAAAAATTAGACTTATTTGTAGAACTTCAAAAGTTTAGGTACTAAAATGTAATACACAAAAAAGTTTAGGTAATAAAATGTAATGTTCCATCAATATTTTGAGGACTTATTTGCCAAAAAAAATAGGTTATAAATCTAAAGATCTATTAAGTTGAGATAGCGAACTGTAATTTGCATAGTTGAAGCTTAATTCATTTTATGGTGATATATTTAAGATGATAATTATTTAATTTTTATGAAAAATAGGAAATTATTTATTTGATATGTATGGTTATTGAAATTTCATGTATAATTGTTAAAAATCCTAGCCCGTGTGAAAAAGAAAAACACTTGAGAGAAGCAAAAGAAATACAAACTGGAACTCGCTTAAAATTTCATGCCTTCAAATCTCATAGTAGAAAATGATGACTTTCTAATAAGTATTAACCATATATATTTAAAATTAATTTGACTCGACATTGAGCTAAAAAAGTTAGTGGTTCATGGTTCAATTATTAATTCTCTATACTGTTGGTCAGTCGGGTATAGACTCGTTCATACTTGTGATTAGAATACATAAAAATAGCATACTAATTAGGGTTAGACGAAAAAGAAAAGAAAGAAATAATGAAAGGGTTATAGAAGGCGAGTGAAAAACGAAACGAAGAGAAAGTAGATGATTGAAAGGTTTTGACCAATTATTTTAGTTGGCCGTCAATACAACAGTCAACCCTTTTTATTGTAGCAATTTATCGACACTTGTTTATGTAGATGTCGTATATTTTGTTACATGTAGTTAGTAGAAGTTTGTTTAGTAGCCGTAAAGGTACTAAATGAGTTTATAACTTCGCTCTTGTAATATTTTAGAGTCGTCTCTCTTTTATAATTTATATAATGTTTCACGTAATGAGAAAATATAAAATGGTCGAATCTTCTCCTACATTTGAGTGATACAACATCTTGTATGGTACAAACTAAATTTATATTTTTATGTTATGGTGGATTGGATTCATGGATTGGTTTAAAAGGATTAGTGGATTGGATTCATGGATTCAAGTGAAATCTAAACATTGGACCAATATATAAATTTAAAAAATCGTAGGTACGAAAATCTCATAAAATTTAGATACCAAAATATAACTGTTTAGTAATTTTACATTAAAATTAAATTTGGAGTATCAACATGTAAATGTACATTATAGTGACTAAGTTGTGATTTAATTAAATTTGGGGTATCAAAATATAAATTTCATATTATGGTGGATTGGATTCATGGATTGGTTCAAAAGGATTGGTGGATTGGATTCATGAATTCAAGTGAAATCTAAACATTGGACCAATATGTAAATTTAAAAAATCGTAGGTACGAAAACCTCATAAAATCTAGATACCAGAATATAATTGTTCGATGTTTTTACATTAAAATTAAACTTGGAGTATCAAAATGAAAAATGTACATTATAGTGACTAAGTTGTAGTTTAATTAAATTTGGGGTATCAAATGTAAATTGTTATGCATAAGTAACCTCACTGTACCTTTATATATATATATATATATATATATATATATATATATATTAATTAATTAGTAGTTAATAACTAATAAGTAATCAACAGTATAATTTATAGCTGAAAAGTAAAACTGCACCCCCCATTCAAAATTTCCTGCCCATAGAGTGATTTTAGGAAGCTGATGTGGCAGAGTGTTAAGCGGGAAAAAAGGAGTCCCGCCTGATTTCAGAACCAAAAAACTGTCCACTACCCACCTTTTCTCCTTCCAGGCCCACGTTCTCATTTAATTTGTATTTATTTTTTATTTCCCAGGAAGGAAATGGTCCACTGAAGAAGCGTGCAAAACAACAAAATCCAGAGGCAAAGCTCCTTCCTCTTCCCCTTCGCATTAGTTCCTTTGTTTTTTTCTACTGTTATTAAGAGAGAATCGGAGGTGGGAAGAAGAAGAAGAAGTTGTTGTCTGTCTGTCCTCTTCCCTTATCGATTGCGCCCGACCATCGCGTTTGATGGTCCTTATCTGTTAAATTGCTCGAGTTCGAGGTCTAAGTCGGTTCCTCGAAACTGGTGATTGGAGATGACGTAAGAGAGCCCATCTTCGCCGAACTTGAGTTGAGCCGGCTGGTCGACGGGTTGAGGCTGTGCGGAAACCTGGGGGTTGTCTTCAGATCTTCGAGTTTGGAGTATTTGGATCTCCGATCAAGTATCACCGGGCGGAGACGGCGTCCCCACAGGCCTGAAATTGCTCCTGGTATTTCGGGGCGGCGACATTCGGGTCAATTCAGCGGTATTGAAGCATCAGGCGCGGCGGATTTCATCCTCGACTCCCCGCAGCGAGCGCCGCTGCTTCGAGTATTCACTCACTGGGATAAGCGGAGCTTTGTGGGAAGGCGGTGATTGGAGATCCCAAAGACAAGATATGTGAAGTTGTGGAGAGTCTTAATGCGGATTTGCTGGTGATGGGCTCCCGAGACTTTGGTGCTATCAAAAGGTGCTGTACTTGAAAACTAAGTCGTTCATTATTGGTTGATGGTGTTTAGTGATTGGGGATGCCATATACTGGTGTCCTTTTGAGCTCTAGATGTTGATGGGTTTCCTTGGGATAGATTATGTTCTGTGGACGAAGAGTTGTAGAGATAATTGCAGGGTCACAGGTTATGTAGAAGCTAATGTGTAAACAAGATTCAATGGTTTGGTAGAGACAGGCCTTCAAATGGTAGATTAGGGTAGATCATGTATGAAGTTATCTTAAATATGTGTTTATTTGTGAAAACATCTTAGCTTCACTAGGACTGCTGTGATCTTATCTTACACAAGAACACAAGTGATGTGCTAACATCTGGTGTTCGTCGACAGGATGTTCTTGGGGAGTGTAAGCAACTATTGTGCAACCACACACAATGTCCTGTCATTATAATCAAGGGAAAGAGCAAGGAGGAGGAAACTTCTTCATACACAAATAAGGTATATCCATATTTCTGGGTCGTTACTTCTAGGCCATCAGGTTAATTTCATTGTCACAATCATACTCTAGGGTAGAAATATATTCTCTATGCCACGTGTTTGTTCTGTTTATTAGTTCGAATGTATGACTTTGTTTACTTTCAACAACCATTCTGGCAAGTCTTACCAACGGGTTATGCTTTCCGACCCCGAGTTATCTGTTTGAGCTGAATCACCTTGCAACTGCTTTATATTCTTGACAAAGCATCCTTTATGAATCGGGCCTTACCTCTCTGTGCATTGTTTCCGGTCCATTCTTCTCCTTTTCTGCAAAATAGCTTCCTAGCAGCTTCATCGTCGGTTCAGGTGTGTAGGTATCTGGATGAACTGGATATTCTTTTTGAAGCTTTGGACCATTCAAAGTGCATTAGCAAAGTTGTTTTTGACTTGAGCCTTGCCAGAGGGCTTGATTACTATACTGGAGTCATATACCAGGCTGTCTTCAAAGGAACTACACAAGTGCATTATTATCATTGCCGTTCTGTTACTCCAACTTTGATCTGGGATTTTGTTTGTCAATAAGTCTGGTCTAATGTATTGATCCTTTCAGGTTGGTTCGATTGCGGCTGGTGGGCGTTATGACAACCTTATCGGCATGTTTGGCACCAAGCAAGTCCCTGCTGTTGGAGTCAGCCTGGGGATCGAACGTGTGTTTGCTATAATGGAGCAGGTTCAGAAGGACACGAACCAAGTAAGATGATGAATGTATTACCAAAAATAGAAAACCTTCTCGCCAAGATTTTTTTCCCCCAATTAATCAAACTCTGGGAATTAGAAAGCTAAAAGTGAACGGGCTAGAGAGTGGTTCTGACTTTTGAGACATCTCATAAGTGATTAGGAGCTGATGTTGTGAGGTTGATATGGCATAATTGACAATCTCATGACTACAATTAGTCCTGGTTATGATCCAATGTACAATATGTGTATAAGAAACATATTTTTGCAGAATTTAGTTACAATCTAACAAATATCATCAACTTTTAACTATTACATTCACAAAATAAAAAACAAAATTATTTTTTTATTAATTACATTAATTATGATATCACTTTGCTTATGGAGAATTTAACTATTATCACACTTGATTTGCGAGATTTTCTTCTCATTTACCTACAATAATTATTTTATAAATTAAGCTATATAAAATTATTTAAATTCATTCAGTAGTGACTCGAGATTAATTAATTAGTGATACTTTAAGCATGGTTCAGTTTTGTTTTTTTTTTAAGAAACCTGATTTCATTATGAAATCGGAAAATGATAAAGAGTTGGACCATGATCCTTGAAAGATAGAAGTCTAAATAAATCGTAAAGTTGAGCCCACCCAAAACACAAAATGAAAGCTCACCCACAAATACATAAATCAGAAAAAAAACACAAGAAAAAAACTCCAAAGCCCACCCCAACACCCACGGTAACCCAACCCAGAAAAAACCCAAACACACCAAACACCACAACCCAGCCCACAAAACAAACCAAGCATGGTTCAGTTAAATAAAATATTGTTAGAGAGGGAATGCCCAGCCGGATTTGTTGAAACTAAATGGCCAACCTATTCCCATAAAAAAAAAAGGCCAACCTACACTACCTTGGGCGGATCCTTCTCCACTCCCCCACCTCCTCTACTGCCCAGTATCCGATTTTTTTGGATCTTCTATGAGGTGAAGGTTGCCGCATTCCAAGCCATTATTTCTTTATTAAATACATTCATTATGATTTTCATTTCATGTTAATTAGTGGTGGTGTGGGCCGGGCCGGCCGGGTTGGTGCATCAAATAATAATTAGCAACTTTGAGAGGCAATTTTGGACAAGAATTGTTGACACAGTTGCAATTAGCAATGTTGTTAAAACGGATCCGGACATCGATCCGGATTAGTAAAAGGTTCAAGGTTTATCAAATAACCGGTGGTTAATCGATATTAAAAACCGATCATAAACCGGTGTTGACTTACTTGGTAGACTTAACAATTATTTTTTTTTACAATTATTGTTTCACTTATTGGAGATAAAAGAATAAAGTGAGAATTATTAAAACTGAAAAAGCATAATTTGGGCGGCTGTTAGGTTTTTTTTGGGAAAAGTGAACTGATTTTTCTTCTCTTTCTATTTTATTCTGTACTTACCTTCTTTTGTTTTTGAATTTTTAATTGCAACAAAATAAAAGGAAGGCGCATGTTTGATTTTAAGAAAGTGAGTCGTTTCCCTCAAAAAAAAAAAAAGGTGGGTCGTGAGTTCCGTGACCCAGCCGCCTCTTGAACTCTAAATGGCCAACCTTCTCTACTCCCCCACGAGGCCACAAATCCTTCTCCACTCCCCCACTATCCCACTTTCCACACACACGTACTCCACTGCATGCGGCCAAGTAAATCACGTGTGTAGAATCACTTTCTCTCCTTTATATAATGGAGATACCACTTTCTCTCATGTTACAATTTCAGTTTACTACTTCCCATACAAAACACTTCGGTTCCATTGACCGTGCGAATTGCAATATGGCGGGCCTGCCTCAATTCAATCAGTAGGTACTGCTCATGCATCCAACAAATACTACATCATGTAATTTCGATTCTTTTTCACTACTTACTGCCAAAACTTACAGTCCAATATATAGGCTTCCCCATGGTTTTATTGCTAATCTGCAATATGATGATGCTCTTGAAATTTGTGAGCGTGCCGACACCATCGATCTCATTATGTTGCAAGTGGATGTCGAAAATCAGGTAACTAAACAAATAAATTTCTTTTTAATCGTACGCCTTTTGTGGCATGCTGCATTTATCGATTTGCTTTGACAATATTCGTTTCTGTGTTTACATCAGGGCACCTCTTTTTTGTTATCCGGACGTGTAACGAATTTGACGACGTCCTGGTCCCCTGCATCCAGAATCCATTTCGTCCACCTCACAATTGAGGACGAATTCATTGGTGTTGACATCGTCTTCCCGTCATCACAGTTACGAACGATTGTTGGATCTGTATTCAGTCATGCAGATGTTGTCAATGCTGACTATATGGCCCTTCTGAACATGCTTGGAGAACAGACATTTGAAGTCATGGTCACAGTCGGTCCCTGGAACGATGCATTTGGTTATTGTGAACTTGTGTTGGTGAAATTATTTTTGCCTTTGTTGAATTGAGTACCATGTCATGAACAATGATACAATGTCTTGAGTTTTCTTATTTTGGACTTGCATGTTATTTGTCGTAATACTCAACTAGATTAGATTTGTGATTAGTAAAATTTCATGTAAGTATTTTTATCGTGATTAGCTAATCTTCAAATGTATTTCTAACTTATTATGAATGTTCATTTAAATTACATGTTCGTCTTCAACGAATTGCAAAATTGCAATAATCTTATGATAATATAAAACAAGACTCATTTCTCGACACTATCATTATAGATATTGTAACTCTATTTCCTTAAACAAATGCGGCCAACGGGCCGGGGTATAGGCTAGTAATAACTACTGGTTAAAAGTGATAGTGTAACAAACATTAAAACGTGAACACAAACAAGTGCCAAAATTCAGTCCAAATGCAAAGCCAAACAAATTTGGTGACTGGTAAGAACGTACGTGTGATTAATTCATTCAAAGTTGTGATGATGATGGATGGCCATCTAGAACGGTGGACGGAAGGAGGGGCCCTTCTTCCCTTTCTCAACCAACGGCGGCGGCGGCGGCGGCGGCATAAGACGTGTAATGAAGTTATCATCCCACTGTTGGCTTCTCATTCGCAGTGATCGAACGTGTTAATTTATTTTTTACATTTCCATTAGAGTATAGGTAGATTATGATTACTTGGGCGACCAGACAGTAGCCCGTAGGGGACGCGTCCACGTTGAAATTGCAGATGTGATGTGACAGACAGACAGCCATTTGTTCAATTTTACGGCGACGGTGTTCACGTTCCTCACGCCACCACGATCTAGTAGCTTAGGGACTTCCCCGCCCCACTAATCTGTTTTTGGCTTCCCTTCCCTTCCCACTGTTTTTATATATCTCTTTATTATTATTATTAACACAAGTGCATAGGACGTATAACTTACAAGTGTACTCTGGCTTGGAGCCTTGGATTAAAATTGATCTATTTAATTAAGTACACATAATTAGGTAGAGCACTTCTACCATGCTATATAGTATTGGTGCTTTAACGTACAACTTGAAGTTATATCATAACATTAAATGTATAAGTTTAGGTTGTACCATAAAGGAATTTGTATCATTCTGTTATGGTACAACTTTACAACTTGAAGTTGTACCATCACGTAAGGTACAAGTTTAAGTTGTAACATAAAAGAATTTGTACAAAAGTATAGGTACAATCTAAAGTTGTACCATAACGTTAAAGGTACAATTTCAAGTTGTACCATAAAAGTAAAAACCTATAGCACCAATGCTTTATAGCATTGTAAAATTCCTCAATTAGGTAATATATATCATTTCACTAACCGTCTTCCATCAAAACATAGCGGGTGAGTTAGCACATCTCTCGTTGTAAGGTTGTGTGTTCGATTCTCAGTGACAACATTTCCCCTTCCTCCTCATTGTAAATAGGAGTGGGCATTCGGTCGATTCGATATTCTCATGTATGATGTATATACAATAGACATATAAAATATTGTTTTTATTTCGAAAATCATATATGTATTATAATACAAGAAAATCTTATTGAAATACTTATGATAACAATTAAAATGATCTCATGAAATACAAAAATTAGAGAGATAATTGATAATTATTTTATTTTAAAGAATGTTAGAAAAGATATTACATTTTAATTTTATCATAGTTAAAAGTCAATTTGAAGCACATCTCAATTTTGGAACAGGGCCTCCACGATCCATTTGACAACCCTGCTTCTTTGGTTGGTTGGGGAGGCTACTCGGTGTTTTCTCGGAGTTTGGTGGCTCTGCCATGATCTTCTGCTCTCGTTGTACTTTGATCTCTCTGTCTCGGCTCCCTCTGCCTCTCTAGTTCGGAACAATTCACTTCACATCCTTGTCGACCGTCATGTAATCTCATTTATGAGATTCACTATGATGGATGTCTTTTGAGCAATTCTAGGAGGCGGCATATGACATTGGACGTCGCTGTGATCGGACGAGCTAATGTTGGTCTTGGTGCTACTCTGTTTGGTTTGGAAGCAAGAGGTATTTTGGATGTTCTAAATTTGAATCAAGTGTTCATATCCTTTGAGTGATTGATTTCATTCTTTGTTTTTGCTCTTCACTATGTTTGCTTTCAACTGATTACTTTGGGATGCTTTACTCTAGGTTTGAATTCAGTGTATTTCTCTGTCCCTCTCTGTAATTGATCATTCATACTGCAATGCAAGAGCCCCTTTGTAAAAATAATTCCTTCGACCTAATTCATACTTTTAATGTGGGTGTTTCCACATTTTTGTTTGTTTCATAATAAATAAAGAATAAAAAATCAAATTAAATTTGAGTATTCATTTTCATTGGATATCCAATACCATAAGCCTAATTTTGATGTAAGCTAAAACAAATTGGATATAAACCAGCCTCAAAAGTGATATTACTCAAATTTAATTTAACTTGTAATGATTCATCATTCAAATAACTCCATCCCGCTACAAAATCATTGACTTGTAATTAATGGTGAAGCCATGAGTTGAAACTAAGTGTGTACATTTTTCATAATATAATTGAATAAAAACAAGAAATGAGTCATATTTTAGGGACAAAAATATTCTTTTATCACCTCAAGGGTGATGAGATCAATCCATTTCTTAAGCACATATGCAGACTTTTTTTTTACCATAACTTATCGTATGTCTCGTGAGAAAGTCAAAACTATCCTATTCTATCTATGGTTGTAATGGGCTCATGAGTCCTGAACTTTTCTTCGTTTCTTGTGGAAACGGATGGTTAGAGATGGCAACAAAATCGGAACCAATGGGTGTCCTATCCTACTCAACCTGATCGATGTGGATAAAACTTGTGTTGACGGGTTTTGAGTCGGGTTTGAGTTTAAACTCTTTCACTATTCAACGGGTTGGGTTGAATTTGGGTTTAGGTATACTCGCTCCATGGATATCCGTCCACACCCATATAATTAATTTTTCTGGTATATTTAATATTCTAAGCAACTAATCTTCTTTATGTTTGTGAAAACAAGTCTAATTTTTTTTTCTAATTGTGTAGAATAAAGATATTATCGAGTGTAGAGTGAAGAATTTTAATTGACAAGGAGGAAGAAGCTTTCAATTAATTATGTTGTTTATGGATAATTTGCGATTTGCTTCAATTTTCTTGAGTTTTCAGATTGGTGTTGAACAATTTGAATGGTTAATTTTTTATTTGCTTGAATTTTCTAGAATGGTGTTTTACATATGGATGATCTGTATTGAGATATTTATATTTGACTTTTATTTTGATAAGAACTTGTCACAAATCGGGTTGCTCCATTAGTACGATATTGTCCGCTTTGGACCAAGCCCGCACGGATTTACTTTTGGGTGTCCTCCCCAAAAGGCCTCGTACTAGTTGGGTTAGGTGGACACTTATATACAAGGGTTTCTTCTCTTGTATTTCCGATGTGGTACTTGGATTGTTCTCATAACAAAACTTGTCATTGTAAAAAATTTACGATAAAAAACCATGGGTACCCATGAACTCGCGAATACTCAGCGAGTTGGGTTGAGTTTGAATTTTTCAAACCCAGTAAATTTTACTCCGAATTTTTTTCACGAATAAACCCATGAATTTAAGTTTGAATTTGACAAAACCCGACTCATTACCATTCTTAGATGGTTGGGAGATCAAAGAGCCGGGAATTAGGTTGGAAAGAAAGAAATTAAAGTGATGTAAGATGGTTTGTTGGGGTTTTTCGTACATTGCCGTGCCGCTCGAACTCTCGATCGTCCTCTTCCTCTCTCTCTCTAACTCAACTGTTTGATGATCACCTTTCAATATACGTACGTACCCTGTATTTTTTGTACGTACACTTTACACATATATCTACTACACGTCAACTAAGTAACCAACTCCATAATTACAAAGCCCCTTTTCTTTGCTTTGTTACGTACCAAATCGTGTGTTATTGTGTATCCTCCATCCGCCATCTTGCCTCTTTGATGGGGGGCAGCTTTCTACTCTCTTCTTCATCCTCATTTATTGGTTACTATGCTTATTTTCTGGATCATGTGATAATAAATTCTATCTCCCCTAAGCAAATAATAATAATAATAATAATAATAATAATAATAATAATAATAATAAACTCGTCTCTATCTAACTAGACGAATTTCACAGACATGAGAATTCGCGGTAATTTCAATCAAATCTCACATAACTTTTTTTTTTTGACGAAAACCTGATTTCATTACGAAATAGGGAAGTGATACAGAGTTTAGACCATAGTCAAAGAAAGATAGAAGCCTGACCCAAACGACAATGCAAAGCCCAACCAAATACAGAAGCCCACCGAAAAACTAAAACCAGAAAACACACACAACAATCACATTCCAACAAACACAAGAACCCAACAGAAAACCCAACAACCTTTCCACTCCAATGAAGCGTACAAATACAACCCTAGCCCAAAGCAATCCCAAACCACCAGCCACCTACTTGTTGCCCCAAGTAGCCGCCAACAACCAACCCTGCCTCAATCTCCCACCACCGCGCCGCCACCAAACGGAAGGAAAAACAATCCACCACCAACAAAGTCAATGGGATCAAAGAGGGGAAAAGATCCACTCTCTCAATCCCATCGACACACACCGCCACCGTCGCCCCCAAACCACGCACGTCAACCACACCACCTCAACCACCGCAAACCACAACCACCACCCGCAAAAGGAGAAGAACAGAGAAAAAAACAACACCCCCATCACCTGTGACTCACGAACACCACCAATCCAAGGCCAAACAACATACATGAGCAGAGCAGCAAGAGATCGAAAAGGAGGCAGCATCCCTACACCCCCACATGACAGTAGAATCAAGAGGCATCAAACCAAACCACCGAATCACTACGCCATTCTGAGTGAAGCAAGGTGGACAGCTTTAAAAGTCACGAAAGAAGATGTAAATTGCAAAGCAATTCCCTCTGCACACAGAGAACGACCACAAGATCTGAGACTCAGATCTGAGGTGTGGAAGAAAACCATCTCAAGAGATAGGTTTTTGGCAAAATCCACTTAGGGGTAGCAGTCTAGAAATTCATAAATCCACAAAGGGATTGGCAAAGCATGAAAGAAAAGAAGATGAAGCAAAGGAAAAACAGAAATGAAACTGGATTGGGTGGCCGCCGATCACCTAAAGGTGAATCGACGGCCCCCGATTGGAGATTGGAAAGGGAAAAGTTTAGAGAGAAGTGGGAGAATTTGAAAGTTGAGAGAGAGAACGAATATAATTGATCTCACACAAATCTCACATAACTGAAAATTATAACTACGGCACCCATTCTCACGTATTCTTTTTTTTTTTCTCGACAAATTCTCCCTCTTCTCCCTCTTTCTTTTTCTCTTCTTTATTTTCATAATTTTCCTCTTCCATCTCTCACAAAGGGGTAAATTGGTATTGTAATCAAATCCCACATTTTAAAACTCATTTTACACATGACATTTTGGCCAATTTCAACTAACTAAAAAATATATATAACCAAAGTTAAAGTAAATTCTCACATTTTTCAAATTTCCACACACAAACAAACACTTATGGAACATCATGAATCTTACTATTATTAACCACGCACATTATAATTTACTATATTATGAATAGGGGTGAAAATCGGTACGGTATTGTATCCCAATACCAAATATCGAAATCCCGAATACCGAATTACACCCTAAAGTCAATTCCAACCCCAATCCCTAAATTATTTCGGTATCCCAATTCCAATCCCTAAATATTTTGGTATCCCAGTCGGTACTTCGGAATCCCAATCGGTATTATCGAATACGAGATTAATTATCTTTGCAATTAATAATTAAATATATAATTAGATTTTATTGTTTAATTTAGGGGATAAAGACTAAGCAAAGAGTTTTGAATTAGGATATTATTAAGGAGAATGGAGGAGATGAGACATCTCAAGTTCTTGTCATTGATAATCTTTAATTTGACGAATTGGAGGTTGAGAGACGACTATTAATACTGATCGAATGATCTATGTATAATTAAATGACACTTTTGGTGGTTGATGGTCATGTAGAGAGTCTAGTTGAGAGGATAAAATACAAACTAGCTTATATTTCGGTATATCCTGATCTCAATCCTGTAATCCCTAATACCGAATAACAATTAAAATTCAATCTCAATTCCAAGAAATAATACTTGCATTCGATAATACCAAATATAGACAAATTCGGTACGGTATTTGGTATATTTCAAATACCGGTACCAAACTTCCATCCAATTACCAATTTTGGATATTGTAGCATGAGAATAAGTAATAAATGGGGGTTGAAACAGTAGCAGTAAATAGTAATAGTACTTTTCACCCAAAAAAAAATAGTATTAGTTAGTATTATAGTACTAGAGTAGAGGAGGTAATAATTTTATGCGGTTACAATAAGAGGGTCGGGTGGGACCGGTGAGATCTAACATTTGACTAGAAAGAATTGTAAAGATTGATTGTGGGGTAAAACCGTAAAACTGATTCTGGCCTTTCCCTGCTGTTATGATGCTACTGCTGGGGTTGGGGCTTCATGCTTGACCGCGCCGGATCCCATCAATTATTATTTGCCGTGGGATTACTATATCGTATTCGTACTTGATTAACCGGTTGAACCGAAAATAGTGAAAATCGGACCTAATCTAGAACCGTACGTGTGTTGGAAAATCGATTGAGCCAGCCAGCATCGGCAAGAAGTCGAACAAGCGTACTGTGATAAATCGGTATGTATTGATTCAACTGTCCGCATGCTATTTATAATGTAAAAAATACGCCCACATTAAAGGAAACGATGCCGTTCCAGTTAAAAGGAAACGAGAGAAAAAAAAAAAGCATAGTGCAAATTACTGAAACCCTAATAGCCTTGTCTATCTTCATTTTCGTCGTCTGTCTGAGTTCGAGACGAGTAGCGGCCAATACCTCCAATGATACGCTCTTACGGACAAACTTTTTTTTGCAATTCTAATCAATTGCTACATGTTTAAAAGGTGACCCAAATGGACAGTAGAATAGAAACCCTCTTGTTGAGAACACAAGCAATCGATGCTGTGGAATCATTCCCGCACAAGTTGCAGAGGAAACTCTTAAGTATCGATAGGATTAAAGCTTTGATGATTTCGTAGATTTGTATTCTTGGAAATTAAGTGAATAACACAGACAAATTCCACCAACCAATAATTAAATCAATGAATAAAATACTCAAAATGCCGTCCTTGATTTTTGGTTAATCAGTAGAAACCAAGTGGGAAAATCAAAGAGCCGAAACTAGTAGTAATCAACAAAATTATTCTAATTACGTCTGGGTTTGGACCACTAATTAATTTCGTTAACTACGGAATCTACTCTCTGTCTCTCTCTCCCCCTCTCGAATCACTGATCTGTGTAAAAAGAGACTGGAAATTTAAGATTCGCGTACAGGAAAAAAAAGAGTGGAAAATGTGGAGAGAGAGATAAACTGAAGTGGGAATTTAAAACAAACAAAACAAGAGTAACTGAAGCAAGCCCTGTGGGCTGTGGTGTGTTACTGTTCCTGCTGATTCACAGCTTTGACCTCTCCTCTGTTTCCAGTTTCCTTTGGATTCTTTTCTCATCTTCTTGTTTTTTTTCTCATCTCTCTCTCTCTCTCTCCCCACCATTTGAAATCCACAACAACCAAGACCGTGGAGATATGGGATAAATTGGAGAAGTAAATTTTTATGCATGAGGTATATAATATATATCATCTCTTTTGTCTTGTTGGTTAAGAAGTTTTATGTTTGGATTTTGACATCCCTACTAATATGAATTTTTCAAAAATAGCACTGTTAAAACTTTCTTTTTACAAAAATAGCACTTAGTCCCGAAAAATTCCAAAAATAGCACCGTTTCTAGAAAACCATCACCCAGCGGTTTTCGATGAAAACCGCATGGTTACGGGGCGGTTTTGAAAACCGCTCGGGCTGGGGGCGGTTTGGTCCATGAATTTTTTTTTCGAAAAAATCATAACTTAGGTGGAAACCATGGTCCATGAAACCATACCGGGAGAGTCATCGTTAGGGTATTTTATGGTAAAACTGTGGTTTAATCGTAGTTCAACCGTTAGACCGTTGAATACCGCCTACCGATTTAGCCTTCAAGACTGATATTTCTTGGTTGAACCGCCGGTACGGTACGGTTTCATGGACAATGGTGGAAACTTCAATCGAACGTATCTTTGTGTTCGGGTATCCGATCGTCGCGATTTTTTTTATTCCACATAACTTTTCGAGATCTTGTAAGCCGCAAACCGCCGAATCCCACCTTCGTCCCAAAAAAAATATCGTTTGCTACCGCCGGGTGGGGTGGCAGTTTGCACCCAAACCGCTCCGACCCCGTGCGGTCAGCAAAACCGCCCTATACCCGTGCGGTTTTCATCAAAAACCGCGTACTTACCTTGCGATTTTCGAGAAAGGGTGCTATTTTTTAAATTTTTTCGAGACTGAGTGCTATTTTAGAAGGAAAAAATTAAACAATGTTATTTCTGAAAAAAGTCCTAATAATATACATTGGTCCATTATTTACATTATTAATTTGGAGCATTTCTACTATGCTATTTAGTATTGGTGTTTTAATGTACAACTTAAAGTTGTACCATAACATGAAATGTATAAGTTTAGATCGTACCATAAAAGAATTTGTATCATTATGTTATGGTACAACTTTACAACTTGAAATTGTACCATCACATAAAGGTACAAGTTCAAGTTGTACCATAAAAGAGATTATATAAATAGTATAGGTATAATATAAAGTTGTACCATAACGTTAAATGTACAATTTCAAGTTGTACCATAAAGGCAAAAATCTATAACACCAATACTATATAGCATTGTAAAATTCCTCTATTAATTTGTGCACTCACGCGATAAACTTTAAGTATGACTCCCAATCTTAATGTGATCTAGAATGAAAATAGGCATACTAGTTCAGCCAATAATTTGTTTTGAAATTAAGTAGGCTCCCACTAAATCCCTAATTGAGTGGGGTGAAAAGAAACTAACATAATGGTCCATGCTTCCCGATACAAAAATTGAAAGTAGATGAAGAAAAATAGGCCAAAATTAGCACCTGGAATTCAACGACCAAAAACAATTAGCTCCTGGATTTTGTTGCACTCCATGCAGTTTTATTTTCCTCTTCCAAAACCGTATGATACCCGCCTTGCGTATCATTCACTCCCTTGCAAGTCACAACTTCACAATTCATTTTATTTATGATGTATATATAAGCTATTTTATTTTAATACTCAAACGTAACAGAAAATAGTAACAAATAGAGAAATTAATCCCACTCTCAAAACACCTTATTTTTTTCAATTGAAAAAATCCATTACAGCAACAAACAAGAAAAGAAAGAAAGAAAGAAACGGTAAACACGCCACACCTGAGTCAATCTCGTTTATCAACGACTTTAACCGTTTGTTTCCCCTTCATAATTTTCTTTTATATATAAATACTAGAATATTACGAGAGTCAAGACACAAGCGGCTTCATGTTCAACCATGCCAACTTCGACATTTTTGGATACCATCTCAAGCCACAGTTAATCTCAATATCTTCATCCTTTTCTCTTTGTGGTTTGTAAAAACCAATCCGGAAAATTTTCGTAATTAAACTGAAAGAGTTAATTAGGGTTTGCAAAAACGGATGCCTCGTACTTATTAATATTGATATTTTAAATAATAAACAAATGCACGAGGAAGGACGAAGAAGCGGATCTGGGTCAACCGCCTTTGACCATCGAAACGACAGTACAGAAGGCTGGAAGCGTAATTTAGCAGCACTGCCGGACGGCCCCACCTCACTCTTACACAGATAGGTAACTTATTGTAATTTTATTATCATTTTTCCTTTTTATTATTTATTTTTCTGGGTTTTCGTGTTTGTTTAATGGGAGAACTGCTCTCTTTCTCTCTCTCACTATATTTCTTATGCTTTTGGCTTTTGCTCTGTTTTATATAAAGCCCGCACTCGGCCTTTTATTCTTTCGTCTTCCCTCTCGCCTAAGGGGAAACTCAAAGGATTTCTGGGAAAAAGACAACGCTGAAACGGTTCGCCGGAGCGCTGCCGGAGGAACGAAAGAAAAAGGAAAGAAGGGGGGGAGCTTCCGTGATTTCAGTCTGTTGGAAGAATGAGGACGAGAAGAGGCGTTTGTTACCCGAGGATGGAAGTTTGTGGTGTGGAGAAGAAAGTTGTCAAAAGAGCGAAACGCGATTTCTCCGCCACCGCCGATGAGAGTCTTGCCGGAAAGAGGCAGAGACTATCGCCGGAATCCGAATACGGAAACCACGGCGGCGATATGTTCGACGGCTTGCCCGACGATCTTGTCCTCTCAATCCTTGCCAAGCTTAGCTCATCCGCTTCATCGCCATCGGATTTCATCAACGTCTTGATAACGTATAGCCTCTATTCTCTGGCTCCGGCCCTTTTCTTCTTTTTGGTCCTCCGCCGCTAGAGATTCGTTTTCTCATGATTTTTTTTTTCTGGATTTTTTTTTCTTCTTCCCTCAGATGCAAGAGATTCAACGGTTTAGCCCTCAATCAGCAAGTACTGGCGAAGGCTTCACAGAAGACTTTCGCGATTAAGGCGAAGAACTGGTCGGATTCCGGTCACCGTTTTTTAAAGCTTTGTGCCGACGCCGGGAATGTTGAAGCTTGTTATACTCTTGGAATGGTAAGCGAAACTGATTCTTTCTTTTTCTATTTAATAATTGAAAATAAATTCATATTTATTGTTCTCGAGATTTCGATGGACTCTTTCCTTTTCCTCTTAACAATTTTCCTTTTGGCGTAACAGATTCGGTTTTACTGTCTGCAAAATCGAGGCAACGGCGCGTCGCTGATGGCCAAGGCGGCAATCAGTTCTCACGCGCCGTCACTATACTCGCTTGCTGTCATCCAGTTCAACGGCAGTGGCGGGTCGAAGAGCGACAAGGACCTGCGAGCCGGAGTAGCTCTCTGCGCACGCGCCGCCTTTCTCGGCCACATCGACGCCTTGAGGGAGCTCGGCCACTGCCTGCAGGACGGCTACGGCGTCCGCCAGAACATCGCCGAGGGACGGCGGTTCTTGGTCCAGGCGAACGCCAGGGAGCTAGCGGCGGTGCTTTCCAACCCGAACAACGGGCTAGCCACGCGCGCATGGCTCACGTGGAACTCCCACGCGCATCCCAACAACCCCAGCCGCGGCAGCGCCACCGCCACCGCCGCCGCTTCCGGCGGCCCCGGGTGTCCTCTTCTGAGTGACTTCGGTTGTAACGTCCCGGCGCCGGAGGTTCACCCGGCCAGCAGGTTCATGGCGGAGTGGTTCGCTGCCAGAGGCGGGGCGCCGGGGGCAGGTCTGAGGCTTTGTTCGCACTTCGGATGCGGGCGGCCGGAGACGCGTAAGCACGAGTTCCGGCGGTGCTCCGTTTGCGGGACGGTGAATTACTGCTCCAGAGCTTGCCAGGCTTTGGATTGGAAGCTGAGGCACAAGGCGGAGTGTGCTCCAGCGGAACGGTGGGTGGAGGAGGACGGTGAGGGGATGGACGTCGACGGCGGTGCCGACGGTAACGGTGACGGAATGGGGGATAGCTAGGAGTGTTCAGCGGGAGAGAGGTTAACAAAAAGTGACGGCAGGTGGAGTGTATTTTTGTGTGGCCTTGTCGGGAAACGGAAAGGTAGTAAGTAAACGGCGTCAGGAAACGGCGGTGTATTGGGAGATACGATGAGGCCATTCCTTGGTTGGAAAATATTAAGGAAAGGAAAAAAAAATAGAAAAAGAGGGAAAGTTAGAAAGACAAGAAAGTCCTTTGTAATTGTCGTAGAAGGGCAGAGGAAGTTGGTTGTTTCTCTCGTTTGTATAGAGGGGTAAATCGGAGAAAACGATGGGAATTCTTTTTCCAAGTTCTCATCTCGCTCTCTTTTTGCGGTAATCTCTTCTCTTCTATTCCCTCGCGTCATATTTTCACCCGTCCTCTTTTTCATGGTTTGTGAAACCATATCGGTGCTATAAAAAAATTAGGGATGGTAATGAGGGGGTTTGCTTAAACCATCCTCATTCCCATCTTCGAATACCCAAACTCATACCCGCCCCATACCCATGCGGGTGAATGTTTTGCAAACTCATCTCCATCACCGTGGATTTCGGGTACTCATGGGGTAATACCCGTACATCCAACATTATTGTACTTAAAACTTACAAGGAAAGTTTTAATTATACCCAAATCACAATTGTTTTTTTAAAACGGTTCAAAGAATATGATCCTAAAATATCTATTAATACATAATATAGAGTATAATATTTTTCAAATTATTATGTTATAATTGTGATAATCTACTAAGTAATAATTAACTAACATAATCTCGTTGACAATGGGGGAAGTGAAAGAGTGAAAGGAGAATTGAGGGAAATAGATTAGGTTTTGATTAAGGTGATCACTCAATTGCATTTCTACTATTTATTTTCTCAAGTTATCCTCATCATCATTGATAGATTACAATTTGATCCACATATTTTTTTTATATGTGAAGAAAATCTCTTGGTGGTGCAGGTATGGGTAAGCGGCGGGGGAGGCTAAATCCATACCCGCCCCATACCCATCAAATTTTTTGCGGGTTTTACCCATACCCGCCCCATAACCGATCAAAGCGGGGATTCTTGATATCTCTAATAAAATTCCGTACAGAAAGTTAAACTTGTAGTTAGGGATGACAACAAAACCCGAACCCACGGGTACCCACCCGACCCAACCCGGTCAACGCGGGTAAAACCCGTGTTGACGGGTTTTGGGCCGGGTTCGGGTTTAAACCCGCTACACTATTCATCGGGTCGGGTTGGGTTTGGGTTTAGGTAAACCCGCCCCATGGGTACCCGCTCACACACATATAATTACTTTCCCGGTATATTTAATATTCTAAATAATATATCTTCCTTAAACAACTAATATTCTTTATGTTTTTTGTGGAGACATGTATAATTTGTTCTTTCTAATTGTTTAGAATGAAGTTGATATTATGAAGTGGAGAGTGAAGAAACTTAGTTGACGAGGAAGAAGCTTTCAATTAATCTTATTCTTTATAGATGTTTATCTTTAATTTTGAACAATTTGTATTGATCATTTGCGATTTGCTTGTATGCTCTAGATTGGTGTTTTTTGTATGAATAATTTGTATGAGAAAATTGATGTTAAACTTTTATTTAGAAAGAAACTTGTTATTGTGAATTTTTTACCACAAAAACCCACGGGTACCCAGCGGGTTGGGTTGGGTTTGAGTTTTTCAAACCCAGCGGGTTTTACCCCGGGTTTTTTTGACGGATAAACCCATGGGTTTGGGTTTGACAAAACCCGCCCCAACCCGACCCATTGCCATCCCTACTTGTAGTGGTATTTAGCCGTATTAATGGTTAAGCTACGGTTAAATCATGAATTCATCATAAAATATTCAACTGCTGAATTTTTCGATATAATCTCTGGTACAATCTCACAAACATTGTTTGTTTCTCACCTTTTGGTGTACCATGGAGTCAACACTCAACCCTAGGTCTATGAACTCTTTAAGATCAAAAGGAGTAGAAGAAAATTTCCAACATTTACATTTTCAATTCTCTCATGTAGTGTGGTAATATGAACGAGGATAGAATAAGCTTGGACCTTATTCCAAACCTTAATGGCTTAGTACATAGAAGTCATAATTTCCGAGTATATGTTCTATTCGAAACAAATTAGGGTTATTGTACCAATCGAATGCTAAAATTTTAGTTGTATTTATGGTCTTAGATATCTTTATCACCTATGTTGAGAAAATGAATCTGATTCGGATTCACCAACTCGAATAATCTTGTCACCAAGGGTTAAAACAAATGGGATCAATGTGGGTGATTAGGGGGAGAGTAATTGGAGGATGTTGGTTTGGGCAAAAGTAGGTGTGGGGGGAATGGGATGAACAACCAAACTCCCCAAACACACACCCCTCACATGCAGAAAAGAAGAAAAAACCTGCAAAGTTAATATTATTGGTTAGTTTGAAGCTAAATTGGCTTAGCTTTGGGGTAAAGATTGGAAAACAAGAAACAAAGCCCTACACCAATTATATAGTTTGATGTTCAAGAAAAGTCAAATCCAAAGGAGAAAAAGAGTAATCCTTGGAGAACATGGATTTATGGATGGGCAGTCCTTTTGGCTTTTTATTTGGAGGACTGGCCACTGGCTAGGCCAAAACCCAACAAATAGCACACCACAAAAAAAAAAAATGTATAAAAGAAAGAAAAAGTGGTAGTAGTAAAAAGTAATAGGAATGATTTTGTTTGATTATTGTTGTTGGGTTTTTTTCCTACACTGTTATTTGGTCAGATAAAGAGAGCAAATTTTGTTTTAAAGAAAGGAATTATTATGTGGAGAAGTGATTCTCCTCATTCACAAACAAACCCATCAATGGATTGACCAAGAACAGTAAAAGAAGAGGAAATGGTGAAGGAAGAAAGTGGTGGGGGAGAGAAAGAAAAAGAAAATTGTGAGGAAGAGAAGAAAATGGGGGCAAGGCAAGTGGTGGTGTGATGGGGGAGAAGAAATTCTTGTGCTAAGGTGGTGGAGGAAGTGGTTTGTGTCTTGAGCTTTTGAAAATGTAACTTCATATTTTTTTTCTTGAATTATTGGTAATCCACTAATTATCAATGAAGCAAATCAAGGAAATAAAATTATTTTGACAACCACATTTTCAGATGGATTTGATCGGTTTAATCTTGAAAAGAGATTACGATATTTTGAGTTTTTGTAACCAAAATATTTTATGTGTCTGATAGTCTTCTTGCTAATTCAAATTTATATTTAAATTAACGATAGAAAGAATTGGCAAGGTGATTCAATTAAGAAGGAAAATTGTATAAATTTTTTTTTTGGTAAAAAATGTATACTATCATTTGTAGTAAATAAAGTGAAACCCCAAAGAATTGGCAAGGTGATTCAATTAATGTAAAGTGAAACCCCAAAGAATGAGGAAGGTGAAATGGATTTGTAAATGAGTAAACCATCATTTTGTAGTAAATAAATTGGTGCCCATGATTCGATGGACAAATGGGCCAAAAAAAGAAAAGAAGCAAAGGAAACGAGAGAGCATCTAATAAGGGCGAGATATTCATGTCATATATTATTCTCTTTCACTTTCTATATTTCCCTCTTATAGATTACTTTCCCTTCTAAAATCTCAACTACAGTACATATTTCGTGTTGGTTTCTGAATTGGGTTCGCCTTTTAATTTACATAGAGCATAATTTTTTGGGACAATTGTTTGGTCAATAAAATGATTGTATTTGTCATTTGATTTACATACTTTTGTTTGTTTTCATATCATTATTGACTTTGGTATGATATTATTGAGATTGAAAATTTAAAATGACGTGATAACATTATAAGAGAATTACAATAAGATAAAACCGTTGATCAAAATATAACACACTAATATAACGGGGCAACTATGATGTGATGATGATCTTTTAACGACACGAGCAATTTGTCTAACCGATTTTGTGAAACTAATTGTATAGTTTCTGTTTTTAGTTTGTACATCATACCATCATCGACTTTCATTGGTGCATGAACCGTATATTTATTGACATAATAATACCCGGCCGGTTTCAAAAGATTAGATGGTTGGGGCTTGTGAAGGTTGGTGGTCCAGGCCCAGCCCATTTAATGAGATTAGTTGGGGAGGGTTTCTTCTCAGTCCAGCTGTGGCTGAAAAGGAATATAGCCACTTTATGCACACCACGCCTATTTCCTTTTCCTCTTGCTTTAGGGCAGAATATATCATCATTGGTTATTCATTTGTGTCTAACTAGATTTAGCCTCTTGATTTAGAACTAGGTTTAAAGAATGAGATAAAAAATATATTATATTTTACAGTATTTTTTAATAGTCTTGTATCGTTTTTTAACTCGAATTGTAATTTTTTTTGTTCACACGAGGAATGAGTTCATTGTGATCTACAAACAGATTTGCACTTGCGAAATTACTTGGAAGATATTAGGAGTTGATCAACGGTCATGGCTCACCCGGTATCCAATGAATGGGTCTGGACATCCGTCTGGTAAGGAAGAAAGAAGTTAACTGGCGAAATTTATCTATTTGCGTAAGTGATTTAAGAGTCAGTGCACAGATGATATTCATTTCTGGCATATTTTGAGAATTTTTTTCCGTCCATCCATTACCACTCATACCACCATAATAACACGTGGTACCACTTTGTATCACCTTCGCATTTAACTCAAATTCTGTAATGTATTGTTGAGAAGGAACTGATTCATAGTGATCTATTCTACAAATTTATGGATAAAAAGTGTGAGGAACACATATATCACCTTTTACCACTCTGGTATAGGGTGATACCTGGAGGTAGATAGTGGTGAAAGGTAATTAGTATATTCCTATTATCATGCACACAATTATTCTAAATTATGGTATATTCATACCACTATGATAGAATCTTGTGCGGTAACTAAACATTATCAGCATACCATGATATACACTGATAATATATAACCTCAAAGTTGATATCATTTTGAAAAATACGATTAATTTTTTCTTATGCAAATTTTTTGAATTCCAATTTAAAATGGAAAAACATCCCATGATAGTAAATTTTATATATATATATATATATATTAAAATAGTCCATAATAAAAGATATTATAGATCGGAAAAGGTACAGAAAAAAGTACATCCAACCATAAAAAGCAACCCCTAAAATACCTCTCATAAGTTAAACTTAAACTAGTAAAAGCAACCAATTACAAAATGAAATAAAACCGTATCGAAGGTTATATTGGAAAAGTAAGTCGTATTAAAATTTATGTTCAACCGTTTCATACGCTAAGGGTTGCCTATCAATTTAACTTCCAATAAAATTTTTTTGGTCAGACTGTCAATAAGCTATTATTTTTCAATTGTTGTTTAAATCTTCAAACAAAATATTTGAAAGTACGTAGTACGTACTAAACATTTATCTGCCCTCCTCCGACAGCCTTTCTTTTTACCCCTGCAAGTTCCCTTTTCCACTAGAACCTCTCAAAAGAGTTGGGAGCACCGGGTGGGATCGAAAATTGGTTCAAATAGCGAAGGCGAATTTCTTGGGTTGGATTCACCGAAAACAAGAATTTGTTGGGTTGGTCGATGAACGTACACACGATAATATTTTTATAAGATCTATCTATTCGTTTATCTCTGCCAATATACTAGTAAATTTCGTTCAATATCAAACCGTTCAAACCAAAACGATATTTAAATTGAATCGAGCTGATGTTTAGAATAATCCTGCTCCGAAATAGACGCCTTTGTTAAAGCAAAAAGAAGAAAATCATCTAGGTATATTTTGATTTTGTTCTTTTACTTTATTCATCAACACAATTTGTTAGACGTTTGTAAGAATATTACCACCCAAAAAACTAGTAGAAGTATAATCCAGCGATTGAACCCTTCATTGGCACCCATCTACATTCTGAAAATGAAAGCTACAAAAAGTAGGAAAACAATCATTATAATTAAACAAGGTAATTAATTAGTACTAATTATATGAAAAAATCCTAAATGCTTTGAAGATAATTATCGATGTATATTATAAGTGCTTAATTGTCCGTATTAGATTTGTCTTTCCTAAGTGCGTTACGAATCAATCACCACTTACTTTAGCTTTCCCCCTCCCCCTGGTTTTCTGAGCAATGAATGGCAAATCCACTTGCAAATTCTCTGCCCTTTAATTTCCTGGCTGGCATCAAATCTCAAGGGGAGAAAAAGAAAGGGGGAAAGAAGAATAACGAAGGACAAGGGCACCTTTGATCTTGTTTCCAAATCTTCTTTTATCACCCTACCGTTCCTTCGAACTTTTCATGGAGAAGGTGAAAAATGAAAGGAAGCTAGGGAGAATATTTTTATTTATGACGATAGACTTCACGGTTGCAATCGTTTAAGATTATCTCGATTTTGCTAATATAATATAAATTTTGTGATATATGATATAATGAGGATGTATAGTTATGTTGATGGTCATTATTGTAGACATTAGGTTGTGATTATCCATATTCATTAAGTCTTGTCAGTTGAGTTAACTTTTCGTTGCTAATAAATAATGGTTACAAGAACCAAAACTGAAAACACAAGTATCGTAACAATATCCAATACTCATATCTTATCACTTGAGTTAACAATATCTAATACTAACCGTTCAACCTCCTAATATTCTGTTACTACCTCTCATCTCTCTCAACTCTCAAGCCTTATGTTTTACTTCCATTTTTCAGCTAATTAAAAAAAAAAAAAGAACTAATCTAACCTCATCATCATCATCATCTAATTCTTACCAAGCATGAAACGGACTCGACAAATTATCTGGACCCAAAAAGAATGTATGAAGCCCATTGGACTTAACTTACATTGTTAGCCTTTATCCACGAAGAAAACCTTTTATGTTAGGCTTTTGAGTACTGGCCCATATACCAGAAAGAAAATGGGATTCGACCAATTTTTTAGTAGCTAAAATTCTGGTTTATAAGAGTTAAAATTTATGTTGACAAAAAAAAAAAAGAGTTAAAATTTATGTAGGGGAATAGTTGAACGCTATTATAATGCTGAAATCTTAAATCTTTAAATTATTTCTTAAAACTTTAATTAAATAAATCACTTCATGCCATATACACACACTTGCTGTACAAATAAAATCGTCTAAAAAAATTCATCATTTCACAAAAAAACCTCAGAATATTTAAAAACTAATGTATGGCCCTTTGGATAATGAATTTTGTGTCAATGGAATGGACATGATTACTTAATATTAGAAAATACGTAAATATTTTAATAGATTTTTTTTAAATTCATAGATATACGCATTTGCATGAATATACCGAGACTGAATAGTATAACCCCACTCACTAGTGTCCAACCAATAAAAAGATACGATTATGATTATTTTTTATTAGCAGGTTGACCTATTGTAAAATTAATGAAAGGGTATAATAGTCATTTGATAATATTATGTTTTTTTATGAATCAATGAGTTTCTTATTCATAAAAAAAGACGATGCTAGCAACAACCTTGCTAGCTAGGAAAAGTCCAACCAGAAGGCGGAGAGCAAACAACGAGACTACAAGAGACTACTACTACTAACTACAGCCTATGAGACAAAAATCACCCCATCCAGAACTGTCTAACACGCTGACTTCCCAACAAACATTCAACTTCTGTCTTAATCATCTTCGGAAGAATAGGAAGATCATTTGCTTTCTCTGCATACAAGCGCCTACACCTCTCACGCCATATATGGCTTACCCATGCCTGCCATATAATCCTCCCTGTTTCAGTAGCCTCCGTTGCAGCACTCAACTTTGAAGTGACCAAGCAAGTTTATCTTCCCAACTCTGAAGCATAGGGATATGCATAAATCTGCCAAAGAGGGAAACAAAGATCTGCCTTGAGAATGGACAGTGTACATAAATGTAAACTCTATCCTCCACCCCTGTACAACATAAACAACAATTCAGACTCCCTGAGAATCCCCATTTCTGCATTTTACCTTTGTAGTAATGTTGCCTTTTACAATCAACCATGTTAAGATTCGGTTCCTAGGAATGCCTTCGCACTTCCAAACGAGTTTCCACCAATTCATAGTCATCATAGCAGGGCGGAGAAGCTTCCAAACTTTCTTGATAGAAAATCGAGGCATAGGAGAGTCGTCCAACAGAAGAACTCCCCCCTAGTTGATATAAAAGGTTCAACTATGCTCCTTAGCTTCAACAATTTACGCAAATTCCAAGAGCCAGATGAACAAGTATATGTCCAGAAATTCCTGCCTTTCAGCTTGTATCTATTGATCCAGGCCACCCAGATGGAGCCTTCCTGCAGCAAAATCAGCCAAATGTGTCTGGTCATACATGCCTGATTCCAACTACATAAGTTCCTGAAACCCATGCCTCCTTTTTTTTGGGAAAGTCAGATGCTGCCAAGCCACATCAGCCCTGAGTTTCACACCAGCTTCAACTCCCCATATGAAATTACTGCAGATTTTCTCCACTTCTTTCATAACAGATTTAGGCAGAAGAAAGACAGACATCCATAATTGAGTTAGAATGTAGAGGACAGTGCCAACTAACTCAATTCTGCCTGCATAAGAAAGAATCTTTGCATGCCAACTCCTCACCCTTGCCAATAGCTTTTCAATCAGTGGTCTGCAAGAATTTAGACTAAGCTTACCAGTAATCAGAGGAACACCTAAATAATGAACAGGGAAGTCTCCCAATTGGTAGCCAAACCTATAAGCTCGCACCTTCCTTCATCTTTAGCAGACCCCCAAAGAAGATTTCACATTTACTAGGATTAGATTTGAGACCAGAAACCTTCTTGAACTGAGACAGAATTCCTTGCAATTCTTGAATACCAGCATTTGAAGCATCAGAGAAAACTAACAGGTCATCAACACAACATAGATGAGTGAGCTGGACCCCTTTACACTTAGGATGATATGGAAATAAACCCTCAGAAGCTGACTTGTCAATAAAATAAGAAAAAACCTCCATAGCAATTGAAAAGAGATAGGGAGATATGGGGTCTCCTTGTCGAAACCCTTTCCTGGCGGGGAAGTAACCTACTAACCCTCCATTGAAACAGACACTAAGCATAGGTGTGCCCACACACCTACGAATCCAATTCACAAATCTCTCTGGAAATCTCATACATTTAAGGACTTGAAAGATGAAATTCCAATCAACCGAATCAAACGCCCTCATCAAGTCTATTAGAAAGCACATCTAGGGGAAACATTCTGATGAGAGCATTTACTGACCAACTCGTGAGCCAACATGATGTTTTCTCCAATTAACCCTTAACAAAAGCTGTTTGATTCTTGCTGATTAGGAAAGGGAGGAGAGTACAAAGTCTTTTAGCAATGAGCTTAGATATGCATTTGTAAAGAATGTTGCAACAGGAAATTGACCTAAAATTTTTCATCTCATCTAGATTGGGAACTTTTGGGATCAAAGATAGGATTGTAGCATTTATAGGCCTAGGAACTTTATCTTGTAGAAAACAGAATTGAATGGCTGATATTACCTCAGGACCTATAAGTGGCCAGACATATTGAAAAAATGTTGCAGAAAAACCATATGGACCCGGACACTTATCTCCATCCATGACAAATATTACATCTTTAATCTGCTTTGCTGTGAAAGGTGCACAAAGCCCCTGAGTCTGTTCTTCAGTAAGCTTTCTTCTCAGCAAAGTATCAAAAAACTCATATGGCTGAATTTCTACCTCAGAATCTGTTACTCCGAACAACCGTTCATAAAAGTGAATATTACGTTTAAGCAATCAATAAAAAATAAAAGTAATGGTAGAAAAATAAAATAATCATAAAATTTTTTTTGTCTAAATTTTCAGTCGCTGGAATCATGCCGCTGTTCATCGGAATCTGGCCGCTGTTCATCGGAATCATGCCGCTGTTCATCGGAATCTGGCCGCTAGAACACGGTCAGCGTGACCGAAATAAGCTCAATGTTGCCGAAATATACTTAATGTCATCAGAATCTGGTCACTGTGACCAGAATATACTTAACGTCGTTGGAATCCAGTCACCGTGGCCGGAATATACTTATCGGCGTCAAAATCTAGTTATCAAGGCCTTAATATGCGTACCGAAATACCAAAATCCCGAATACCCCAATACCAAATCCCGAAAACTGAATTACACCCTAAAATCAAACCCAATCCCAATCCCTAAATAAATTCGGTATCCCAATCCCAATCCCTAAATAATTTCGGTATCCTAATCGGTATCTCGGTATCCCAATAGGTATTATTGAATACATAATTAATTACCTTTGTAATTAATAATTAAATATATAAATTAGATTTTATTGTTTAATTTAGGACAAAGAAACTAAGCAAATAGTCTTGAGTTGCCTAGAGCTAACATCTCAAGTTCTTGTAATTGGTAATCTTTAATTTGACGAATTTGAGGTTGAGAGACGACTAATACTAGTGTGAAATAGTGATGTAATGATCTATGTATAATTAAATGACACTTTTGGTGGTTGAGGGTCGCATAGTAGTGAATGAGAGAGTCTAGTTGAGAGGATAAAATACACACTAGCTTATATTTCGGTATTAATCGGTATTTCGGTATATACCGATCCAAATCCCGTAATCCCTAATACCGAATAACAATTGAAATTCAATCCTAATCCCAATCCCCCAAAATAATACGTGTATTCAGTAATACCAAATATAGACAAATTCAGTACGATATTCGGTATATCCCAAATACCGGTACCAAACTTCCAGCCCTAATCTTCATCACCGAATCCCTTTCATTCAGCAATCAGCACGTTCAAAATCCCCCTCCCTTCACTAATCACTTCCCAATTGAAACACACAAAGCAAAAATAAATCCCCTAAAATTCCAAAAACAAGTTTATTCCCTTCACTCTTGCCGCTTTACTCTTCAAATTCTTTGAGCAGTGGGTGATGGCGGCGAGATTCGGGGGAGGGAAGATGGCAATTGAGCTCTAAAGATGTCGTATGCCTCCACCGACAGCGGCTATGAAACCTTACTTTGCTCCCATCTCGAGTCTCAGCAGCTGCGATTGTGAAGTGGAAGGGAACCGAGGTGACCCAAGCAGCGACCAAGCAAGCCGAGCTGGAGACTAGCCTGAGGAAGGCGGAGGCAGAAAGAGACACGTGGTGGAGGGCGGCAACGAAGACAGAAGCTACAGGCTTGAATCTGATATGGAGATATGAGCATTGGCGGATCCAAGGGGTGGCCACCCCGGGCCCCGGCCCAGCACTCTTTTGGATCCGGAGTTAGAATAATTCTTATAAATTTATCGGTTTTAGTCATTCAGTCCAGTGTTATTTTTATAATATGATTGTGTATAATTAGAAAAATGATTCAGATGAACATATTCAATTCACTACTCTAAATTTATCCTAGAAATTCTAGCCCAAAGGTTTTTCGTCTAAAAAAACAATGTGAAAACTAAAAATCCTAAAGTCTAAAGCGTAAAAGACTAAAAGAAATATGAGGTTTGTTCTCTTAAAATTTTACTAGAGCAGCATGGTGGATATAGGGATGGACACACAGTGCAAATTGATTAGTCAATTGATTTGTCTAGTGTTGATGCTTCTCGTTTCAACAGCTACTACGGAGAGAACCTCTTCAACAATGAAACATGTGAAAACTGATTTGCGCAACAAAATGAGCGATGAATTTCTCGCTGATTGCTCAAATATTTTATTTGAAACATAGTTGGTATGGATGTAGATTTCATTATTGATGCATTCGCTAAATTAAAAGACCGTCGTGTACAATTGACATTGTAAAAAAAAAACTATAATCATAATATTTTTTTTACGATATCGGATTTTCTAATGAAATGCGGCCCAGTGCTCTACTGTGTTCTGGATCCGCCGCTGGATATGAGGAATCGTCGAAAAAATGAAGACCACGAACCTAGCCAGCGGCAATGGGAGCGGCGGTGGCGGAATGATGTAAAAGTAGAGGCGGGGAAGGAAGATGAAGTAGATGCCGCGATTGAAAGAGATGAGGTCGGGTGATGGGAGGAGAAAAGGGATTCGAACGGGTAAGGGAGACTTGTAATTTTTTACATTCTATTTATTTTTCTGTTTTTATTTTTTAAAATAATATGAAAAAATTAAAATATTATTTGTCATGCAACATAAAGATTTCCATCTCAGGCTTCTCACCACGTCAGAGTCAACTAACGGTCAAACGGATGGAAAGTTAACGGATTGGTTATTTTTTTGTTTTTGGAAAGGTTTGGCTATTATATTGTATTTACCCTTGTAACTAAGAAAAGAATTACAAAATTATTAAAATGGCTAATACTTTGATGCATTACGAAAGATTTGGCTATTAATAGCATTTTAATAGGTTTGAATAATATAAAAGAATCTAAAAAATGTTTGAATAAAAAATAGACATTACCCAAAATTAAAATATAAAGAGAGGATGTGGAGATAAGTGTATATGTAAAAAAAAAATACTATGATAAATAATTGAGTTTCAATTTATCAACACTATGTGAACAAATAACATGTATAATAATTAAAATAAGATATTTGTGATGGAGGGATACATATTAAATATATAATGTCGTATCACGGGTCTGTTTGTATAAGTTAAGATTATAACAATGCAAACCCAAACCCAACCATAAGGCTAAAGTTTTTAAAAATAAAATCGCACCCACCCATCAAATTAGATATTCATGGATACACACAGATAGGTCGGTTTGGATTGGACGGGTGTGTCAGTATTCTCGGTTTAGTTTGTTCACCCCTACTAAAAGCCACTTATTTTTTGGTTGCGAGTATGTTGAAGAGATTTTACAGATAGTCTTCACTCCAACATGGAATTAATTATGCACCTGAAGGAGGAAGCGAGTATAAAGACCCCATATTTTTTGGTTGTGTGTGTGTCCAAGAGATTTTACAAATCGACTTCACTCCAACATGAATTTAATCACGCACCGACAAGAGGCTGGTAGGATTAATGATATTAGCGTTGAGTTCTGTTTCCTTTTGGATTGTCCTGTTAGTTTTAATCGTGGAGCAAAAGTAAGTTTAGTAGTTTGATGAAATGGAAATGGAAGGTCATTTTTGTGTTGAAGTACAGGTTTGTGATTGGGTTGCGACGAAATAAAATTGCTCTTTGTGAACATTGCCGATTGAGAAGATTGGAACTATTATGCAGAACTGTAATCAACTACTAAGCTAAACTCCAGCAGTACGATTTCGAATACTACCCAACTAAAACAAACTCTACTTACACGAAAACATTCTCTCGCATTATCATTTCACGCCAAAGCAGTTCTTGGAGAAAACATTTCTACACCGACTCAAGAGATATAACCATCAGTTTCACCATCAACAACCACGGTCCAAACATTTCAGAAACATTCCTAATCCGAATCCGACGACGAATCGCTATCCTTCTTATGCTTAGTTCCTCCATTCGCATGTTCTTTCTTGACTTCACCCTTCTCCCGCTTGAACTCCTTCTGGATCTCATCAACCGGCACCAAGGGAAAGTAACCGACCAGAGGGTAACCTTTCTGGCTCCAGCACTTCACAGTCTGATTATACTTCGCCGACCACTGTGCCGCAGTCGGCAGTGTGGACTCCGCAATCGAGTGGACAGAAGGATACCTGTCGAGTATGCAGTACACCTTTACAGAGTTGCTCACCACGACGTGCTTGGTCTCCGTCACTGTGTAGATGAAGGCGGCTTTGGGACCTTTCGTCCGAGCCTCGTTCACAAGCTTCTCGGCCTTCTTGGCTGCAGAGTGAAACAGGGACTGGGCTTGGCTGACTACCTGCTTTGCTGCTGGTGGTGCCTGCTTGTTGAACTTGGCTGAAGCTTCGTCCACCTGTTGAATCGAAGAGAACTAATTTGATCGGTCCCCATTATCAAGTAAGGATTTGCTAATTTAGTCCATGACCTACTGAACATTGCATCCAACACAAAGATGAATGCCTCAGTAAATCAAACTGAGGATGGAAATATCGAGCAACAAACAGAAATTCAAGCTCAACCCAATTCTCCTAAACCGTCCCTAATTGAAGTTCTACAAGAACTCTCCACAGAATTTAAGAGCGGAAGCAATGCATAGAAATTAGAAAGCCATCCATGATCCTCCGAAAACCCTCTTAATTCAAGCTCAAGCTCAAGCTCAAGCTCAAGAATCCCAGGTTAGTTGAACTAAGCAGATATATTATGACTAAACAAATGGACATTATGAGCAGAAACATGAACAGAAAGTCAGCTATCGCCAAATCCACCTAAAACCTCTCTAATTCAATCATCTCAAAAAGAAAACTCCACAACCACAGGTTATTATAACGAATTCCCGATTAGGTTTTGCACAAATAGAAATCCCCAAACGAGGCGAGGGGCGGTGATCTGAATAGGAAAAACAACCGATAGCGGTGAACCAAAAAGGACACCGTCCGGCTTACCTTCCTGTCGAAGAAGACGAGGAGATGATCGGGAACGCCTTTGAATTTCTGGTAGACAGGTTCGACGACGGACGCGACGGCGCCTTCGACGTTGCCGACGGTGGATCTCAGCGGTCCCGAGTTCTGCTTCGCGTAGCCGTACAGACTGGAGACAGTAACCAGCGCCTTGATCGCCGCCAGCCTCACGATCCCCAAGTGCTTCAGCTCCGGACCGCCACCGCCACCGCTCTTCGCCTTCTTTTCCGACTCCATCTACACACACACCGCCAAACAACAAGCCAAGACGGAAATGAGAAATGAATGAATTAACAAAAACAACGAAACGAATTTCCCAATCACACGCAAAACGAGAGAATCGAAGCGAAGCTCTCTCTCTCCCTCTCTGTACGTACCTTCTCCACGGCGGAAGCAAAACGTAAAGTGCGTGGGAAGGAGATTCCGGATTCCGTTTTTTGTCTCTAACTGAGGGAGCTTTCTTTCCTTTGTTCTTGTTGCGAAAGTGCGAGTATTACTACTAACTTCCAGAGAGATCTGCAAGTGGCGCGGGTTTTATAAAGCGGGAGGGTGGTTTCGATCGCAGCCGCTGGAATGATCGGAGGGCTGAGAATGATGGAAGAGTGTTGGGAGTTGGGGTCCTTGGGTCACTTATAGTAACGAAGATTGTTTATTGGGCGTGGGGCTGGTTTTAGATTTGGTCCGGGTGAAAGTAGAGGTTTCGGGAAGGACACGTGTATGGTAAAGTTGTCAACCACGGTTGGCTCCACTTTGATAATGCCCCTCAAAATTGTGTAAATTTACATGTAAATTTCACAGCAAATTTGGATAATAGAGTAGGTGGTAAGACTTTAGCCCCTCGTCGGTTCAAACCTGTGAACGTAATTTTTTTTAGCCCCCTTTCATTCAGATTTCTGGTTCCGCCACTGCCCTGATCCAGTGAGAAAAACGGGTTCGCACACACCCTACCGAATCGACCGCTGCAAGCTACTGGGTTGGAGGTCAAACGATATTGTTTTTTTCTTTTGGTTTGCAAAATGTGCATATTTTTAGATTTCCTTTTTTTGCCTAACCCAATCTTTTTAATTCGAAGTTGGAATTTGAATATTGATGTCACATAAATGTGTGAATTTTCACTATAAGTTGGATCCAAGTACGTCAAGTTATTTTGGTGTAATGTTATATGTTATTATTCATATGTTTGACGTAATTTATAAATTTATGAACAATATAATTACTATTTTCATATACCCGGGTTAAACTGGACTAAAACGATCGACCTATTAATCCTCAACCCACTTACTCGACCAGGCTAGGGATGGCAATGAGTCGGGTCGGGGACGGATAGTGCATATCCGTTATACCCAAAGTAGTTCGGGTTTTACCCATACCCATACCCACATAACAAACGAGTAAAAAATCCAAACCGTGCCCATACCCGTTCGGGTTTCGGGTATCCACGGTTATCCATAGGTAATAGTTTCTCTTTATGACTCCAACCAATATGCTTATATTCACGTGTATTCTCACGTTACGTAAGAAGAAAAGTATGACAATAGTTCACTAGAATGAAGAAAATTAATTAAAATAACATAATTTCATAAAAATAGTATATTTATATGCTAAATATAAAATATATTAGAAAAAAATATTGATTATTTATAGACAAAATACATATGCATGTGTATAATCGGGCAGGTTCGGGTTGGATAGTGAGAAAATCATGCCCACCCATTACTTGCAATATTCGGCTTCGAATTTCACCCGTACCCACTAAAAATTCTTCGGGTTCGAATTTTACCCTACCCGATTATGTCGGATATATCCATAATTACCAATATTTTTACCGGCCATGGACCAGGCCAACAAGCTAAACCAAATTGACAATCTTGGATATTAGGGCTGGAGATCGGGTCGGGTCCTAGTATCCGGACCGAAATATGCGGGTACCCGGACCCAAAAAATCCCAGTTTGAGGAACCAGACCCGACCCAGACTCGGTTCTTGGGTACCCGAGACCCGAAGCCACGGTTCTCGGGTATGGTTCGGTCCCCCGAATTCCCATCAGCCATCGAAGACAACCTGTTACAACAGCTTTATTCAAGAAAAAAAATGGAGGGTTGCTTTCGTTGGCTGCTGGAGTGGGAAGTGGAGTGTAGAGATTTAGGGTTAGGGGTCTAAGGAGGTCCGAACTTCGGCTAGGCTTGGGGCGTGAAGGCTGGGTTGGCCCGTATGTGTGGCTATGGGCCATATGATATTTGGCCCTGTGGGCTGGGGATCGGTTCCACTTCGGGTCCTTTTATTTTCGGGTCCGGGTTCGGTTTACCCAAAACCCAAAAAATAGCCACATGCGATACCGAGACCCATTTTTCACTATGATATTTCGGTTCCCGGGTACCCAAAACCCAGAAATTTCGGTCCAATTCCGGGTTACCCATAAAACCGAACCCGAACGTCCAGCCCTAGGATATGGTACAATGTGGGGGAACGTGGGACGGGTGATGTTGTCCCGTTTCCTTAGCCAAGGCAACCAACCCCACGCCCTTTTTCCTCCCTTCTTGTTTGCGTTGTGAATTCGGAACGGTTAGCAGTCCCAAGTGTAAAAAGTGGAAGAGCTCTTCGAGCAGAGAAAATGGATGAGATGATTTAGGGATTTTGACCAAGCTTAATTCAATAGAACGAAACGTTTCAACTTCGTCTGTTTTGAGTCGGACTTAAGTGGGCCGAGTGAAAAAATGGACCACAGACCAAATAGATCGGAAACTGGGCTTAATTTCAACCCGAGTCCGAACTTAGGTACAGAGAACCAGAGGATGATCTTCTTCCTCTTTGCTGAACCAGAATTGACAGAAACAGAGGAAGAACGAGCAGGGGAAGCGAAAGCAGAGAAAAGCAGAAAGTAAATGACACAACAGGATTTTAACGAGGTTCGCCACAAGGCTACTCCTCGTCCCGGAATAGTAGACACTATTCCGAGAGACACTTTTGATTTTCTTTGACTCTATAACGAAAAGAAAAGACCCAAATACAGACTCGAATGTGAAAATCAAAAGCAGAAGAAACAACAACCGAATTCGCGCAGGAATTCGTCACAACGCTTGATAATCTGAACCTATTCCTCAGAATGATCAAGGCCACTGATAATCCCCAACCCTTTGCCCTATTCCACAAAGAATCCCAGAACCAGTGACCAAACGAACTCTATTCTTCCTTTAAATAGTCGTCAAGAAGATAGCTGTTGGACAGAGGCTTTTTGAATCGATCCAGACTTGGAAGGTTTGGGACTTTCCATAGGCAGAAGCTCCCCCTTGATTGCGGTTGCAAATCCCTTGATTGCGGCTGCAAATCCCTTGATTTCTCTAATTCAGACCAAGCAATCTCGTGACTTGATATGATTGAAATCTTTCAATTCAACACCAAGTGCATACCAAAGGTGCCGACATCACATGGGAAATGAAGTTTTGAAACTTTTCTCTCGACATCCCTCAAAAGATTGGTTTAGTGTTCCGGTAATTTGAGGATGAGATTATCGACCACAAGTTCGAACTTTGAGGCCATAATAATTTAATTTAACTATTGTGTAACCTCCAAATCAACATGAAATTATTATTGTATTAATTACCATCATGATAATGTTATTTACAAATATGTAATCAGTTATCTCACACATATAATTACGAAACCATATCGTGTGCCCCAACTCCAACCCCCTCATCGGCATAGCAGCAAGATTTTGGAGGGAAGAGATGGTCCAGCTGACTGCTGCCAATGCACAGCAAAATTGCTCTGACAGATTAAGTGAAAGGCTTAAGGGAGATAAGATCAGCATACTGCGAATTGTCAAACAAGGACAGCATTGAGGCAGCAAATTTCCAAATTTTGTAACTATGGTAAGAAAGAAAGGTTTACCAGCAGTTCACTACAATAAAAAGGCAGCCGATAAGCTATCGACAAGAACGTTTCACCTAGATCGTTTTTAATGGTCAGCAGTGCGCAAGATCAACTCATATGTCTAGACTCTTGACTACTTATCTGTCTACAACTATGGTCGGAATCAAAGGCTTGGAATATGAAACAGGAGCAAATAAATTTGTCCGAAAATTGAACCGAAAAAAGTAGTCATCAATACCACACTACAAAACAAACGTAACTATATGAAGCATCTCATTCCCGAGTCAGTCAGGAACTGACTATATAACCTGATCAAGCAGTAAAAACGAACTTCCCGTATAGGCCATTTTTGCAACTCTAAAGAGCTGCTTGTGATTTCAGACGCTTGAACTGGATTATGGGATCCTTAACCTGACAGAGGAATTAATTAAGGAGAAGAAGATTCAAATTCGACACTCCAGTTAAGTATCGGGAAAAGGCAAACGGGAAGACGAATGCCGCATTGAGCTGTGGGAGGAGATATGGGTATATACGTACCGTGCTGGATTTCCTGCCCTTCCTGTCCTGAGAAGATCTGCTGCAGACAGCACCTTCCACATTTCCGCTCTCCCTCGAAGCAACCGGCTGTGCAGAAAACCCAGCAAAGGTGAATGCATGATGTAAAACAACCTCATTAGCCTAACCATATTCAACGAAACACACAGCGGATGGGTTATTTCCTTGGAATATGCAGTGTTTACTCTTTACCTCAGCAGCAGCCCTGCTAGTTGGGGTGTTCCCATGTTCCCTAGGCTTCGAGACAGTCTGCTCGGTCCGGATAGATCCCAGCTTCGTCCGGGTCAAATCCGAACCCACCGAATGGACACCTCCGCAGGTTGAGTTATTATTGTCTCTATGTTCAGTTCCTGAAACCAGACATGACAGTTAGTTACTTAGGAAAGGAATAACTCGATAGGTGGATAGACTTTGGCTAACCGGATGTAGGCACTTCTGGTTGCGCAGCTGTCTTCGTTTGATTTTCAATAGCGTCGAGATCCTGGCAGAGATGCAAAAGAGGGGTTTTGTCCAGTGTTTAGAATGTAGTAAACGAGAACGTATCGATGTCATTGTTACTGCAAACAGTAGTAGGTTATCACCATTGGGTCGCCTTGGAAAAGGGCTTGCTTCACTTCCATGAGCTTCTTCTCAGTCATCCAAGAGTGGATCACACGCTTGCCTACGAGAGACAAATGACGAGAATTCGATCAGTACATTGTGATGAAGCATGTGGAAGGGAAACGAAGGGAAAAAATAGAGGTGGTATTATGGCTACAGAGTATAGACAGAAACCTAATCTGCAGCTGCCTTTCGCTTCAAGGTAACCGTCGTTGGTCATCTTGTTCATCAGTTTTCGCACGGTAGTCAGATTGCAGCCTTCTCCTTTAAGTTCACTCTGAAGCTTTGGTACTGTCACGTAGGTCATGGGAAGCGCGTGGTACAGAGCCTGGGATGTGAGGAAACAAGATCACAGATATAGGCTACGTATGTAATTCCAACCTAGCTGCTGGTTTCTGGAGATTGGAGAGAGAACTTTACCTTCATGTATAAGTAATCATTGGCCTGTGTGGTTTTATCTCCGAGTTGTGCTGCTTGGCCTTCCATTTCTTCTTTGACCATCGTGAAGTCGAACTCAGATGTCTGCTGTGCCAAAACAGATAACTGGATCAGTAAAAAACTCAAAACTAAACTGGGAAAGACAGTGGACGGGAAAGCGGAGAAAGAATTCAACCTTCAGCTTGTTTATGGTGTAAAGATCCTTTTCTGCTTTTGATAGAACACCTTGGTTCACAAGCTTGTCGATGATTTCTGAGATAAATAAAAAAGGCGGATAAGAATCAAGTTTAAAATTAGTAGCTCAAGTACTTGAAAGGGCTTAGCAAGCAGTCTTTTAGCCTTAGTGGTTTTCAGGCAATTTACCTTCGGTCAACGCCTGCATTGATGGATCAAATATCAAGAGTGAGAACTCAGAGAGCAAGGGTTGAAAACAGTAAACTGCATCAGCTAGAGAATTTTAGTACCACTGTGATATCTGTGAAATGGGAGAGGATATCCGTTAGTTCAATGGTATTACGATGGTAACTATTAACCCAGTCCTTCACCCTAGCAAGCTGTTGCTCATCTTCCTCCGGATCTTGAGTATCATCTGGGAACAAGTAACGTATTTAAAATGAGAAAAGGGCTCCAGTACTTACAGCTAATTATTTTTCAGTTCAATCTATGTTAAGGTGAGATTTTATGGTAGAATATATTATTGGTCTGCCCATAGTCTAAACTGAAAGGATTACCTTGATCAGGGATGCCAGAATATATTTCTGTTTGCTGCTGCTTGCCTGTTCATATGGACCAAACATTACATTCTACCAACATTCTTACTAAGGGACTGTGAGCTAACAGGAGTTTCTCTGTAATTACCGGCTGGTGCTACTATGTACCGGTCTTCTGATACATTACCCTGGAAAGCCATGAAGTTAAGAAGGAATATTAGACTACATAACTCTGATCAGTTTGTTTATCCAGGAGAAACCATTAAGGAAGGCTAACTTGAAACATAAAGGCCAAAAATATAACACTTCACCTCACTGTCAGATTCGTCAGAAGAGTCGCTGCCTGGATCAGAATCAGCTCCTAAGTTCACAGCATTTTCTTCCATGTCCTCATTTCCATCGTCACATGGATCGAGGACACTTCTTACCTATAGAAATTTGCTTAAACCACCAGTTCAATTTCCTCTACAAGATGAAGCGTAACCAAAACACTGAGTCTTACCTTGAGAGCCAACACAAAATGCTTGCTGTTGACGTTTCCAACCTCCAACTTCAGAGGACTTTTAGTCCATGGATTGTGGGCATCTTCCTCTGAGCTTCCCTTAAAGAATGGTGGCTCGTAGTCTGGAGGCTGCAATTTTCAGAATAATTTAGTGGCACTTCTCTAGTCTAAAACAAGTTAATTGTGAAGTGAAACTTTTATTATGGAAATCCTTAGGATCATAGAGTTACTCATATCTAGAAGTACAAACAATGGATAGAGTCTTCTAACAGCAGGCATACCGTGATATCGTCATAGTAGAGGAGTTTCATCAGTATAGTGCGCTGAAAACAGAAACATAACTAGAAGTCAGTACATAGATTGATAAACCTGCAGACATCTTTTTCATCCACTGTACCATTTTATCAAGAACAACTTACCTCCTCCGGCATCTTATCAAGAGTTCTCATCAACTGAACAAGCGTGCGCACCATTTTACAAGCTGAACTCCTCATCTGATTAGGAGTGCATTCAGCCACGGAGTTACACTTGAAGCTTCCTCCCTTTTTCTTGTTGCCAATTCGGTTGATGTTCATGGAGACCTCTTGACTATCAGAATCAGAGTAACTGAAGGAAACTGCAATACGAAGAGAACCATTATAATCTCTCCTTGAAGACACTTACCAAAACTGACAGATGCAAAATGCAAACGGTAACAAAAGCCAAAATTGGACATCACTCAGAATCACCTCCATGGAGTTTTACTTACATGTGTACTCCTCGATCATTGGTCCGTCTATTGCCTCGCATACACAGAACAAAAGCTTCTTGAGGTACTTCTTCTGTAATGCGTCGTAGACACCTGTGGAAGAAGAAGGTAAACGACAGAGAATTTAGGTTAAGCAAGCCGAAACCAGGTGAGCAAGATAATTCCGTCAGAAAATTGCCAAATCTGGTGACTACCTTTCTCCATCCAGTCAATCAGTCGACGAGATTCAGCATCCATAGGCATCAACTTCTTGATCTTCATCTCTATTCAAGGAGCCATAGTTCGCAAAACGGGGAGGGGGGATTCATCGACATAATTTTTCCAAATTCTGAAGGGAAAATGGATTTGAAGCAGAGATTCTAGTTACCTAAAGCAGGAACGTTCTTATCGGTGAAATACTTCTCTGGAAACAAGCCTCTGATGTAGCTGATATTGAAAATCGCTATCCGCAACAGATTTCTAGTCTATTGTAAAAAAAAAAGTCAAATAAGGGCACTGCGTGTCCAGCAGAGAAGCTACAGAACAGAACAGAAACAACGACGATTCAACAGTTTCTCTGGAATAAAGCTCGAAGACAAGCAGCAGCACCATATCACACAATAATCACCTGCTTAAACGCGACAATAGAGAAGGAACCACACAAAATACAGAAGGAATACGAGCAAGGATACCGCAAAATCATGATCGAGATTTCAAATGGACTCCAGTTTCCAATCCATAATCATCGAAAACCGAAGGAGCTAGAAATGGTACTAGAGCTTTCACTGCGAGCCAAAGAAAATTCTCGCAACTGAAGCATCCGAGCAAAACAACCGGACGAGAGCACACTTCCAGTAAATAGAGTACCGATTCCATTACTAGCTAGAAATTACCACAAAACCTAAGAAATCGCAAGTAAACTGAGCATCAAGTAGTACAGAAGAAGAAGAAGACGAGATCTGTATTCTACACAAGACGAAGCTCACAATGCGGGGTTCACCGAACAGGACTATCTTCTACGATATACATATTCTAATTGATATAGACAGACGGGGAAGAAGAAGAAGAAGAGAAGCAGCGACGGGATCGGAGTTTGGATACCAGTAGAAGGGAATCCTGCTCGGTGATCTCCGCTTCTTTCACCTTCTGCGCGACAACCTGAAACGGGAAGTATCAAACAAAACGAAGTCAGCTCGAGAGGAATTTGAGGCGAAGAACAAGCACAAAATCAAAGGGACGGAGTTCTCTATGAGCTAACTACCATGGCGGTGGAGCTCTGAGGAAAGAGATTCCGTCGTCGACAACGAGATAGAAATTGAGAGTGTGCGAGAGAATATTTGAATTTTGAAATGAAAACCAATGGTGAGTGAGAAAGGCGATGTTTGGAGGATACTTGGGTTAAAAGGGCCGGAGTGTGTGAATGAGTGTGTTAGACTTGGTTACAGTATTGCAGGCAGCCAGACATGGAAGCTTGGGGGACACGCACTAAAATGCGGGAACGGAAGAAGGGAAAACCACGCGAGACGGCCAGGAGGAGCGATTTCGTCCGGGGCAGTGGACCCCACCGAGCGTCAGCGTCCCTCAGTTCTGTGGACCCGGGACGGGTTAGCATGCTAACCCCTTAAGGGGTTGGTTTTTTGACACCCCTTTTAATTGGTCAACTTTTTATTAATTATTGACAAGTATTAATGAAAATAAACATAATAAATGTTTTGTTATTAAATACAAAGTAAGCATTAAATACACCACATTAATTACCACTTTACTGGTATTTGTACCACTGCACTGATACTCAGATATGACATTGCTACCAGTGCACTGATATCGCTACCAGTGCAGTGGTATATCTACCGGTACAGTGGTACACCGTATCAGTGCAGTGGTATATTTTTTGGAGGTGGTCGGAGGGAGTCTACCGATGGGATTTTCACCGGAGAAGTGTGGCGGTCGGAGGAAGTCTAGTGGTCGGAGACTGCTGAAAAAGGAAAAATCAAATATAGTGAGAGAATTCCTAATGTGTATTTAATGTGTATATTTAATTCCTAATGTGTATTTAATAGTGAGAGAATTTCTAATTAATATGGTACATTTAATTCCTAATGTGTATTTAATGTGTGTATTAAATTCTATAGTTCTATTTAATATACTACGGGGTGTCATTTTTCCAACCCCTAAGGGGGTTAGCATGCTAACCGACCCCTGTGGACCCCGCCATATTGTGTTCCCGTTGGGCCTATTGGGCCTCGTCCATTTCTAGAAACGGAGGGGCTTTCTTGTAATTTTCTTATTTCGTTCCAACGTTTCCATGAAACATTATTAAATTTTTCTCTCTCCCCCCATAGATAGAACTAGCGTGTGCCCCGGCCAGTTGGCCGGAGGAAGGTGAGGTATGAAATTTGATAATGGATAGCTTATTGTTGTATAGTTTTTTTTTTTGGAAACACGTGATAAAAATAGTAAATTTTAGCAGGAAAGAGACATGAATGATGCAACGAATCAAAAATTGGCCTTATGAACCAAAATCAAGTACATGTTACCTTGTGAAACAATATTGTTTCTGGTAATATGATGAGGTGGAGTAAGTTTTATAGAAACCGAATTCCAGAAAATCGAATAAAAAATCGCCTATCCCGTCGGTTTTCGGGAAATGAGCATCTCACAATCGTTGCTAGCTTTTACTCGGCCCGTTGGCCGATTAATTTGCTTTATAAACCTTTCATCTTGTCGTCATTGTGCTTTCCGGTTTTTGTCAGACTATGATAAAATCTCAGGAAATCAAGAACGAACAACACGATTTGGGATAGGAACCGTCGTTGTCGTATCCCTAGAAAATGGTGGTAAACACGGACTCACCTTCCAAACTGGTTTGGATTGAGATTTTTATCGGGTATCAGGGAACCATGTGATTATAAATTAGACTTGATCAAAACGGGCCAAAACTTGAAATTCAGCCTGTTTGACCGACTCATGCCAAATTCTAATTATTCTTTACTTTTAAACTTTCTATTTGAAAATAAAAAATAGTGAAAGAAAAGAGATGACTGCAATTCACCATTTGCACATCACTTATTCGGGAATAAAACCATAGAAATTCAAAAGGAACTGAAAATGTTTAGGATTGTTTTAATCTTTAAAATAACCAAATAGATCTTTCTGTTTAGTTTTTTACTAACAAATACCAAACGATTCCCTATAAAATACACTATAATTTGATCATTATGATATCAAATAATTATATAATATATATTGGAAATGATAAAAATTGGACTAATTGGGTTGGTCGAGGTTGAACCATTGAATAACTTTAAAATACATTATATTTTAGCCACTAAGATATAAAATAATAGCATGATATATATTATGCCAGAGAAAATAGCTTGTTTTAGAATGGCAAACCAATGATTTTTTTTATGAGGATGATGAACTTTTATTAAATAAGAGAAAGGAAAAGGTACAAAGATGGGATCATCAGTTCACAAGCAGTGAAAGTGATCGGTAATAAGAGAATGACAAACCAATGATGTTCATTTGTTTACTTGATGGTCAAATCCCGTGTAGGTCAGTCCCATTCAACTCTTTTATTTTATGGTTAGCGATTAGCCCATTGGATACCATGCATTAGTTTATTGTTAAATTTTTTATTTTTAGCAATAAAAAGGAGTATTGTTTTTGCCTTTTCATATATATTTTATCACCACGGAGAAATAAAAGAGCTTAAAGAAAAAAATTGACACTCCTAGACTCGTTTAAATCCGCATGTGTACGGTAAGTTGGCCCGTTCCACAGAAGAAAAAGAAAAAAATTGACACTCCCTATTCTACCCGTCCTACAAACGCTCATGGAGCAGGGAATTTGAAATGGGGGAAGGTATTTTCCTCCCTGCTATTGTATGTTTTTAATTTAAAAAGATACAACAAATGTATTTAGTGTGATTGGTTATCATCCTTGTTTTCCTTTAAAATGGTCATGGTTCGAATCCCAGTATGTGTCTTTTTAATGAATAAAAAAAACTAATTGTGAAGACCAAAATGTCCTTCCTACTTTCACTCTCGTTGTAGAAAATTTGAATATTATATTATGTGTAGATATAACAGGCAGTAGATTAAATTTAAAAGTGGCTCAAAAGTAAACTGTGGTATTCAACCACCCTACCGATGAAAATGTCATTTTTTGTTACGAAATAGGCAGTCATGTTAGTACGATGATGAGTATAAACAATCGAATAAACAAAAAAGAAGTCTTCAACAATCGAACTTCTTCTAGAACCCCACCCTCACTATCATAGTGAACATCACCATTCGATGCCCTGCGAACTGCTAGTTGCCGAATCCCCACAGAAACATATATTAGAGAATCATGGGTCAAACACCAAACCATAGCATCTCTTAATGCTAAGAGTTCCAATAGGAAATGATCTGTCATACCTTACCGAACACGAAAGTGAGAGAGGGGGCACTTGTGAATCCCCGCAAAGCTAATACTGCGAGTCTGCGACCTACATCCTAGCGAAGGGCAACCATCGACGGGCACCAGGAGTCTGTGGAGGGTGATGTCGTGAAGCCTCAATCCACTCATCAATTTGAGCACTAAACTGTCAAAAAAATAGTGCCTGGAAGATATTGGATGTGATCATAAGTTGAACAGCAATGACCCTTCCATAATCACCTTGCTAAGAATACCAACTCAACCACTTCTTCTGTCTATGATAGCTGCAAGGCAAAAATGATGTTATACCAAACCAAATCCGGGTGGAAGAGAGAGCAACGCAATTGTTGCATGGAAGCCTTCCACTCTGGCAGCCAAACTTTGCATGCAACTCCGAAAGGAAACAACCAATGTGATACATTATCAATTCCATCAGGACAGTCAGGGGCATTCGCCAGAGGAGTAGAGAGTTTTCGATTGAAGCATTGCTCGGAAAGGAAGGAAACCACCAACAATTCGCCATAAAAAGAACGAACTCCACTTTCTCCTGAATCAAACAAATTATTCTGTGCTGATGAATGAAGGTGATATCTTGACTTGACGTATATATTTCCAGGGCGGAATTAAATTGTAGCTAGGGTGGGCCCCGGCCCCTCGGGATTGGTCCCGGCCCGTAGGTGTTTAAGAATATTTAGTACAAATTTTATAAGGAGAGCTTGTTCAGTAAATTGTGTCATGTAATAGTTATGTGGTCTAATTGTAGACAAGTTTGAATTGTATCTTAAAGCACACAGGTTTGATCCATATTGCTTGCATAGATTTTTTTAATTATTTTCGATCCTCGGTCTCAAAATCCTGACTCCGCTCCCGCTTCCATGTTGATGAGTAAATGCCAAACGAGATGATCCGGTTGAGGGGGAAGAAGAGAGAGAGGGATTACGAGGATTAGGCTAACACTCTCAAAGGCATTGACGGGATTAGAATTATGATTTTTGATTTACAATGTTAGAATATTAATTATTTGTATATTTTATTTAAAAATTAATATTTGTAAGAGATATGGAGAACTACTCTTTACTTTGACAAGATATATGGTAAAACAAATTATGAGGTTACAAAGAACTTGAATTCATAACTTGAAATTGTATTTTAGGGATTTATATATAGTTTCAACTCAATCTGATATAAATATTAAATAAATAACTAATCGATGATAATTTCATAACTCAGTGTTCATAATGGGATATTGTTTGGCTAGATCACATTAATTATTTTACAAGAAGTGAAAGCACTATTTAATTCAATATACTTGTGAATCAAAATTGTTCAGATCCACTTATATATTGTAGGGCTCGGACAGAATAACAATGCCCCTTTTGTTGTTACTGTAACAACAATGGTATAAGCGTAAGATTACAAGAAAATTAAAAAAATAAAAGATAGAATAAAGAAGGAAGAAAAGCGTGTTTCTCTGTCTTTCTCTTCCGATCCCCAATCCTTCAGATCTCACTGTCTTCTTCCTTCGTTTCTTCTTTCTCCTAGCGCTTCCGTTGCCGAGGAAGCGGCGGGTGTACGAAACCACGGTGACCTCTCCACGACTCGACGAATCTAGAGCGTAGGAAGTGGCGACGATGGCGGTGGTTGTGTTGGAAGGCGAGTTGTTGTTTTTTGGTTGCCTTGCCTTTGCCCTGTTGGTGAGCAGGGGTCGTGGCTGTGGGAGATCTTCAAAGGATCTGTTGATGTATATAATTGGTAGTGAGAGGTCTAAATTTGCCTAGAATTTACATTTGAAATTGAGGCCTGTAATTGGAAGGTTAATCCCTTTCTTTTTTGGGGATTTGTTTGCAGGCAGTAGTTTGGTCCACAACAAGCATATAATTCTAAAGTCATGAAATCTACTTTCTTCTTCCGTTAATAGCATTTTGGGTTGGAGGTAAGGGGCAAGATTGCGATTATGTAGAAAATTGATATGATGTTGTGCTAATTGGAGTTGGGTGTTCTTTATTTGGCAGAAAATGGGGTTGAGTGAACATCGATAATGTTTTTTTAGCTTTTGCCTATTGGAATTTCTGTTTATGCAAATAATTTTGTGACTTCTTTGCCTATACGACGTTGTAATATGCTGAGATGAACTTACAACAAATGAAATCAGAATTATCTAAAAGTACTACAAATGTCCTGAAACATATGAAAAAATACCATAAATTTCTCAATACTAACCACGAACACAGTAAAACAATCCAAAAAAAGCATATCGTAAACTTCTTAATGCAGACCACAAGTCTTCTAAAATAAACTAGTAACCTCACAAAACAAACCAGAAACCCCACAAATCAAACCAAATTTTCGAAAGCACACCATAAACTTCTTAATGCAAACCAGAAACCTCCTAATGGAGACCACAAATCTCCTAAAACAAACCACAAACCTCACAAAGCAAACCACAACATTTGCGAAAGCACACCAGAAGCCTCCTAATACAAACCAGAAACACAGTAAATCAAACCACAAAAAAGCAAATCATAAACGTCTTAATGCAAACCACAAATATATTCAAACAAACCAGAAACCTCACAATGCAAACCACAAATTTTTTGAAAGCAAACCAGAAACTTCTCAATGCAAACCACAAACACAATAAAGCAAACCACAAAAGGCATAAAAAAATATGAGAAACCAAACCATAAATCTCACAATGCTAACCATAACATTCGGTCATCGTTGACCGGTCAACGAGGTTCGTTGACCGGTCAACGAGGTTCGTTGACCGAACTCCGGTGACCGTCAGTGAGCAGATTCCGACGCCGATAGGCATATTCCGGCCCCGGTGAGCAGATTCCGACGCCGATAGGCATATTCCGGCCCCGATGACTAGATTCCGACTCCGGTAAGCATATTCCAGCGACAAATAGCATATTCCGGCGACAAAAAAAATATTTTGGTGACCGGCGACCGGTGGCAGAATTCCGGCGAACCAATTTTTGGGCAGAAAATAAAAAAATATTTTTTATTTTTTTATTTTTTAAATATATTTTTCAGAATGACAATTATACCCCTGTTTTGATTTTACACTAGGTCAACTAAACTAATAAAAAGTCATCACAGCCCTAACTTCCTATTGGTTGGAGACTAGTGTTGTTACAATAACAACAAATATGGTGTTGTCACCATATCCGCTCCCTATATTGTACAAATATCCTAGAGAGTTATTATTTGTCGTTCATGGTTTTTTGTTGTTGTGAAAATGACACTCTTGCCCTCCTTCGTTCCTTTATATTCTATTCTAACTTGTAGTTGTTTTATTACCAAATACGACCAAACTCCGCTTCCACCACCACATATTGCCTCATCAAAGCCAGGTTTGGCGACAAACCTGGCAGAGTTAACTGCAAACAAGGTAATTTTCTGTTAGACATTCGGCGTCGGACCAACCGGCTCCACCGCCAACCAGCTACACGAACAACCGTAGCCTCCACACATCAATGACGACGACACACGAATGTCCAGGTCTAGAAGCTTGCGTTGGACCTTTTCTGGGCGTTCGAAAGTCGCCGTCGAATAGATGAAAACCAACAAAAACAAGAATGTGAAGAACACTACCATTCTTCCAGGCGATGAAGAGCTCCTTCAACAGCTCCACCGTGAGCTGGCCAGCGGCGGATCCAGGACACATTAGAGCACTGGGCCGGATTTCATTAAAAAATTAGATATAATAAAATAATTTTTTTTGCAATATTAATTGTACACGTCGATCTTTTAAATTTTGAATTAGTGAATTCATCAATAATGGAGTCTACATCAATACCAATAGCATACTCTCTTTCAGATAAACAAGTTAACCAATCTGCGAGAAATTCATCGCTCATTTTGTTGCGCAAATAATTTGTCACCTGATTCATTGTTGAAAAGGTTCTCTCCATAGTAGTTGTTGAAACGGACAATGTCAACACTAGACAAATCAATCGACTAATCAATTTGTATTGTGTGTCAATCCCTATTTCTACCAGCTGCTCAAGTAATTTTTCAAGGGAGCAAATGTCATATTTCTTTTAATCTTTTACGTTTTATACTTTTAGAATTTTAGGTTTCATTATTTGTTTTTCTTTAGAACAGAATCATTGGATCTAGAATTTTCAGACTACAATTAGAGTTGTGATTTGTATTTGTATATCTGACTCATTTTCCTAATTACATACAATCTTATTATAAAATAACACTGGGCCGAATGACTAAAATCGGTAACTCATAAGGGCTATACTAGTTCCGAATTCAGAGGAGGGCTGGGCCGTGGCCCGGGGTGGCCACCCCTGGATCCGCCGCTGGAGCTGGCTGGGAGGAAAGGTTGTCGGTGACTGGTCTTCAGCAGAGGCGACGAACTCGTGGGGAAGAGAGATCGCCAGCAATTGATCTGTGGGGATGAGAGTATGTTGTGTGGAAGAATGGGCAGTTGGGAGTGAATATGTTTAGGGCTTTAAAATGATATATTGGTAAAAAAAAAATTAATTCCATTTATGGTCACTAAGATTAGTTAAAGAGTCCAAATTTGGTTACTGGCCATGACCTTTCGTCAGTCTCTCGGTTAACGTCGTCAACTTTTTGTTGACGTGGCTAACAAAAGTGCATAATCAACCAAATTTAACCGGCCATGTCACAAACCCTAACCCAACCCATAACCAGACCCTTTTCACCTGTCTCTTCCTCTGACGCCCCCCCTTTTTCCCACCCGCTAGAAACCAATACCTCAACCGTCTCCTTTTCTTCTTTCATGGGAGATTGAGTTCTCCCATCATTCAACAGTTGGCATATCTCCAGGCAAATTTGCTCAGGTCTCCATCTTTAGAACCAATGTTAACGAGATCTCTATTCTCACCATTAACACCTCTTCCTTCTCTCTAATGACTGATTTTCATAGACAAGAAGCCCACCCACTTTTCTGATTGCCAACTCAGAAAAGAATCCTAGTCGTATGTTTTTATTTCCACCTCCAACAAGAACCCAATCCCCAGTCGATGACAATTGAAAATTGAAACAGTCAATCTACCCGCAATTTCAAAAAAGGAGGAAGACGTGATCGATCTGCCCACAATCAGAACTATCAATTATGCCCACGATTAGAACCCAAATCCCCCGTCAATGAGAGCTCCCATTGTTGAGAAACCGGGCAGCAACGACAAGCAAGAATAGAATGCACAAGACACACGATTTTTACGTGGAAAACCCAAATCGGGAAAAACCACGGGACCTTTGTCCAAACCACAACTCCACTAGACTTTGGTTGGATTACAAGTCCTCTCTAGACTAGCTAGAGGATTACAAACACCTCAAGAGCACCCTTCTTGGATCAACAATCAACCACAATAGCTCTCACCAACATGGTGGATAACAAGAACAAGAGCAAGACAAAGAAAGGTTGAGAGATACCCAAAAACAGATTCGTACACCTTCTGTCCAGCAGCGAATCCCGACGAACTAGACCTCAGAATGACGATCCCTTCGGTCAGAATGAAGCCCAAACAATTGCAAACCCACTGCCCAAATTTCAGGACGATCCAACGGTTAAATCTTCCAGAACGCTCACTTGAACAGGTTGCCCTGCTGCAGAAACGAAAAACTGCAGCTCTTTCTCTCCTCTCTTTTTCCTGATCTCTTTTCTTAATTCTCTCTCTAGGAAAATGAAAGGTTGTCACCACTTTTTTACTTTTAAGTAGACAATAACTCTCTATTTTGAAAATAGAGGATCTTCTAGAAACCAACCAAAACTCAAACTCAAACCGGTTAATCCAACCACCATATGAGTTGGACCAACCCAACAAATCTCCCCCTCCAGCTCATATGGGGGGTAGCACCAAACCTGCTTCATCTCGACAGAAGATATATTTTCCACTTGGTAGGGACTTAGTCATCATGTCCAAACCATTGTCATCCGTATGCACTTTGTTGAGCTCCAACAACTTCTCTTCCAAAACATCACGAATCCAATGATATCGAACATCTATGTGTTTCGACCTTGAGTGGAAAGTTGGATTCTTGCAAAGATGAATTGCACTTTGACTATCACAATAGAGCACATACCTCTCTTCCTTAATGGCCAACTCTTGAAGAAACTTCTTCAACCATAACACCTCTTTGCAAGCTTCTGTCACGGCTATGTATTCGGCTTCTGTTGTTGATAATGCAACACATTTTTGCAGTTTAGATTGCCATGAAACTGCAGCACCTGCAAAAATCATCATGTAACCAGAAGTCGACTTTCTAGAGTCCACATCACCTGCCATGTTAGCATCGGTATATCCATCAAGTATGGTCTTGCCATTACCAAAGCATAGGCACACTCTAGAAGTACCTCTCAAGTAGCGAAGAATCCACTTCACTGCTCTCTAATGTTCTTTCCCCGGATTGGAAAGAAACCGACTAACAATCCCAACGGCATGAGCAATATCCGGCCTTGTGCAAACCATGGCATACATCAAGCTTCCAACAACTGATGCATAAGGTACATTCTTCATTGCTTCTTTCTCTTCATCACTTGTAGGACAACGCTTCACACTCAACTTGAAATGTCCTCCAAGTGGAGTACTAACCGCCTTAGCCTTGCTCATGTTAAACCGCTCAAGAACTCTTTCAATGTACCTTTCTTGAGACAACCAAATTTTTCCATTCCTTCGATCCCTAGAGATTCTCATCCCTAGAATTTGTTTCGCCGGTCCTAAGTCCTTCATGGCAAAGGATTTACTCAACTCCTTTTTCAATCTATCAATCTCTCCAACATTCCGACCCACGATCAACATGTCATCCACGTAAAGCAAGAGAATGATGACATCATTTTCAGCAAAGTATTTCACAAACACACAATGATCGGAGGTAGTTCTTGCATACCCGTTTTTGACCATGAATGAGTCAAATTTCTTGTACCATTGCCTTGGTGCTTGCTTCAACCCATATAAGCTCTTTCTCAATCTGCATACAAGATCTTCTTTGCCTTTAACCTTGAACCCTTCCGGCTGATCCATGTATATCTCTTCCTCTAAGTCACCATGAAGAAACGCCGTCTTCACGTCGAGTTGTTCAACTTCTAAATCCAACCTTGCAGCCAACCCAAGCACAACTCGGATAGAGGACATCTTCACCACGGGAGAGAAAATTTCTTCAAAGTCAACACCTTTCTTTTGGTTGAAACCCTTCACAACTAGTCGCGCCCTAAACCGAGGCTTTGAACTAGTTTCCTCCGTCTTTAACTTGTAGACCCACTTGTTCTTCAGTGATCTTTTTCCTTTGGGTAGCTTCACCAAATCATAGGTGTGATTCTCTTGCAAAGACTTCATCTCTTCTTGCATTGCTTTGTTCCACTCCTCCTTGTCTTCATAAGACATCGCTTCTTGATAGTATTTAGGTTCTCCCCCGTCAGTCAACAATAGGTACTCATGAGGAGAGTACCAAGTGAAAGTTTTGCGATCTCTTGTTGACTTTCTTGGTTCGGGTAGAGGTTGCTCTTCTTCAACTTGTTCTTCTTGCTCCAATTGCTCTTCTCCTTGCACTTCTTGATCTAGTGCACCTTGGGGCTCATCATGCACTACTTCCTCAACATTTTCATGCATTTGGGATGGAGATATAGGCTCCAAAATAACTGGACCAGCTGCTGTATTTTTCTTCTTTTCAACCCTTTCGACGTCTTCACTTGTCTCATCTTCAAGAAAAATCACATCCCGGCTCCGAACAATTTTCCTTGCAATTGGATCCCATAATCGGTACCCAAACTCTTCACGCCCATAGCCCATGAATATACATGGCTTTGCTTTGTCATCAAGCTTTGCTCTCTCATCTTTTGGAACATGAACATAGGTTTTGCAACCGAACACTCGCAAGTGTTCATATGAGACTTCCTTTCCCGTCCATACTCGTTGAGGCACATCACCCTCCAATGGGACCGATGGTGAGAGATTGATTAGATCAACCGATGTCCGCATTGCTTCTCCCCAAAATGATTTAGGTAGCTTGGCATGTGAGAGCATACACTTGATTCTCTCACAAATTGTTTAATTCATCCTCTCGGCGACACCGTTTTGTTGTGGAGTCTTGGGTACACTTTTCTGCAGTTTAATTCCGTGTAATCTGCAGTAGCTTACGAATGGACCTATATACTCTCCCCCGTTATCATCCCTTACACACTTCAACTTCAGGCCGGTTTCCCTTTCCACTTCACATGAAATTGCTTGAAAACATCTAGCACTTGATCCTTCGTTTTCAAAGCATATGTCCACACCTTACTTGAGTGATCATCGATGAAGGTAACATAATAGCTTGCACCACCAAGAGTTTTATCTCGCATAAAACAAACATCGGTGTGAATTAGATCAAGTACCTTACTCCTTCTAGAAGGTGGAAATCTATGAAATGCAACTCTATGAGTTTTTCCGGCTAAGCAATGAACACAAGTTTTAAGAAGAGTACCTTTAGCTCCGGGCAAGAGTTGTTTCTTGGACAATATTTGCAGCCCCTTCTCGCTCAAATGACCGAGTCTCTTATGCCAAAGCTCAATGGAAGAATCTTTCTCAGCAACATTGATTCCTCCCTTGCTATGCTTTGCATTCGTCATGTAGAGCGTACTTTCCTTCTTGCCTTTAGCCACCACAAGAGAACCTCTTGAGAGCTTCCATTTTCCTTCTCCAAAATAGTTGGTATAACCATCATCATCAAGCTTTCCCGTGGATATCAAATTCAGCCTCATGTAAGGAACATGTCTCACATCCTTCAAGACTAGCTTGCAACCCGTGTTGGTCTCTAGATGAATATCACCCATGCCAACAATCTTTGATGCGCCATCATTTCCCATCCTCACACAACCATAGTTCCCGTTTGTGTAGGAAGAGAAAAGATCAACCCGTGAGGTCACATGGAATGAGGCACCTGAGTCAACAACCCATGTACTCTCTTGACAAGCAAGATTAACAAAACCGGCATCACAAACAATGACCACATCACCATCTGTGGCAGCAGCAGTAACATCATCTTTTTCTCGGTTTTTCACACCTTTTCCTCTAGCTTGTTCCCGTTTCAAGATTCTGCAGTCTCTCTTCATGTGTCCGGGCTGGTTGCAATGATAACATGTGATTTCTCCTCTTGGTCTTGACAATGATTTTGATCTCCCTTTTGATCTCCCTCGGCTGTTACTTCGATTCTAAGAGTTCTTGAAGTTGGAATTTCGATTTCTGCTTCTTCCATAGAGATCCTTGCAAAACAGAATATCCTCCATCTGTGGCTTCCAAATAGAGTAGTTGGATGATGTCAACTTAATCATTGCTCCACTTGAGTCATCCATTCTTGCCATTCACCAAACACATCCCCCAAACAAACTAATGCTCTGATACCACTGTTGAGAAACCGGGCAGCAACCACAAGCAAGAATAGAATGCACAAGACACACGATATTTACGTGGAAAACCCAAATCGGGAAAAACCACGGGACCTTTGTCCAAACCACAACTCCACTAGACTTTGGTGGGATTACAAGTCCTCTCTAGACTAGCTAGAGGATTACAAACTCCTCAAGAGCACCTTTCTTGGATCAACAATCAACCACAATAGCTCTCACCAACATGGTGGATAACAAGAACAAGAGCAAGACAAAGAAAGGTTGAGAGATACCCAAAAACAGATTCGTACACCTTCTGTCCAGCAGCGAATCCCGACGAACTAGACCTCAGAATGACGATCCCTTCGGTCAGAATGAAGCCAAAACAATTGCAAACCCACTGCCCAAATTTCAGGACGATCCAACGGTTCAATCTTCCAGAACGCTCACTTGAACAGGCTGCCCTGCTGCAGAAACGAAAAACTGCAGCTCTTTCTCTCTTTTCTCTTTTTCCTTATCTCTTCTCTTTTCTTAATTCTCTCTCTCTAGGAAATGAAAGGTTGTCACCACTTTTTTACTTTTAAGTAGACAATAACTCTCTATTTTGAAAATAGAGGATCTTCTAGAAACCAACCGAAACTCAAACTCAAACCGGTTAATCCAACCACCATATGAGTTGGACCAACCCAACACCCATATCCACCAGTTTGAGAAGACATCGCTGGATCTTCTTCTCCTCCACTCCACCTTCTGCACTTCTTTCAGTGGGGATCAGAGGCATCGGAGATCATAGTGCTCCGGCAGGGACTGGAGACAGCTCGCAGCTGGTGGTCTGAAATAGGGGATTGTTTGCTCGACTTATGGGTTTCTGGTCCGATGAAGAGGACACGAATTCGTCACCTTTGGGAAGAGAGGGATCGAAAAGGAGAAGCCCAAGATTGACCTAAAGGGCCAAAATCGTGCCATGAGGGGGAGTCGGATCCCCTATTGTTGGTGAGCATGAAGATGGATGAAGAGAGGGAGAACCAATAGGCAATGAGGCAGAGGACCGACAACGGAGCGGAGGATGAGGATGATATAGAGCCAGTCGGAGAATGATGTAGAGCCAGTCGACGAATCGACAACCGGAGGATGAGGAGGCTGAGGTAGATTGGAGAATTTCGACAGGACTTAAGTGATTCTTTTCAAACACTTTTGTTAGTCACGTCAGCAAAACACTAACGATGTTAACTAAGACTAACAGAGACTAACAGGCAGTGACCAAAGAAAGATGGCTATACTAATTCTAGTAACCACGAATGATATAATTTTTTTTTTTTGGCAAACATGAATTTTTTAGTAATGCCAATAACCAACTTGCAACTTACCTGTTGTTTTTTCTTTTCTTTAAAATTGTAAGCGGCAAATAGACGTCCATATTATTTTTTGGTCCTTTGTGTTGCACTGCTGTCAGATCTACACGAGTTTGTTTCTCTACTTCAATTTTCAGCATGGTTAGTTCATGATTTTGATCCTTTTAAAGGAAGAAATCATGATATTGCCCATGTCGTTCAGGTTAGGGGGTGAGATTTGGGCTGAGTTTGGTGGTTAGGGGGTAATCACTACCCACTGCCAGTTGGTGCGGGTTGGGTGTGGTTACCCTCAAAAATCCATCTTTGCAAGCATGGAGTTAAGATCGCCACTAACGTATTTGTTGTTCGTAGCTAGATTATAGTGATATACAATTGTGTTGCGTGAAGATACAATTTTGTTTATCGATCTTACTCAACGTGGAGATTTTTTCTTTTCGAGTTTGTTATTCAACTTTTGTGTCAGGGAGTTGTGATTTCATATTTCACTCACTAGGGGTGGAATATGACAATTAAATATTATCTTGTATTTTCTTTTACACAAAAGTAAAAACATACAGATAAAAGTTACTTAATGTGTCCACTTTTAATGAATTGATTATTTTCCTAAAATAGAAAATATCTTTCGAACAAATGACCAAGTAGTTGATAGCTCCGGTCTTGAAAACCGGTATAGTTCTTTGAGAACTATCGAGGGTTCGAATCCCTCTCTCCTTTTCTAGTTAAATCTATTTTCTTTTCGGGCTCGACGATACTCTCTCGAATATAGTGTTCTATAAACTAAAAAAAAATCTCACATAAAACTATTTAGGTGCGTATTTGATTTTGATTGTTATTTTAATTTTGATTGCTATTTTAATTTTTACATACAATTATATTATAAAGTTAATATAGTAAATAAATATAAATGGTGTGATTATTATGAATTTTGTGGGTTAGCCGCGGTGGGTGGTGGATAACCATTAACCACAAAAATCATTATTTTACAACCCACACCCAACCCACTACCCACTAGGATGACAAAAATATCAGTAACCGTGGATATCCGTCCGAATCCGACTTAATCGGGTAGGGTAAAAGCTAAACCCGAAAGATTTTTAGTGGTTACGAGTAAAACCCAAACATTGCGGATAATAAATGAGAATGATTTTTTCACTATCCAACCCGAACCCGCTCGATTATACACATGGATATGTATTTTGTCTAGAAATAATCATTATATTTCTCTAACATATTTTATATTTAGCATAAAAATATAACATTTTCATAAAATTGTATTATTTTAATTCATTTTCTCCATTATAATTATTTATTGTCGTACTTTTTCTCTAATATAATGTAAGTAAGTATGTGAATGTTAACATATTGGTTTGAGTTATTAAGAGAAATTATTACCCATGGATAACTGTGAATACCAGAAACCCTAACGGGTATTGACATGGTTTTAATTTTTTACCCGATTCTTATGTAGGTATGTGTATGAGTGAAACTCGAACTACTTTGGGTAAGGTAACGAATATGCACTATCCACCCCTGACCCAACCCATTGCCATTCCTACTATGGGTATGATTACCTACAATGGTCTATGGGTATGATTACCTACAATGGTGCGGGTTACAAGAGGAAACTGGGCAACTTTCGGCCGGGTTAAAAGGTTAAACCGTCACAACTACAACTTTCGTGAACATAAGAATATCATCCATCAGACCATCACCAAACTTCAGAAACTTAGGTAAAAAAATTAGTCCATTGAACTTCGTATGTTTTGTCACAATGGTCAGCCGTGATCTATTCACACATTCTAAAAGAAACAGTTAGTCATTTACTCATTTTGAGTTTAATTTTTTTGAAACAAAGGCATCCATCAGTCATCTCTGATTCATTGTGCACAGACACGACACAAACCTTTTGCCCCAACTTGGTTTCCTTTTCTGAAAGACCATTGGCAGCAAGTGAATACCAGATCAGCCGTCTGATAACTCACAGCCAGATCATAAGTGGGAATGACACACACAGCTAAAACAAATACTAACAAGATGATTGATTGAAAGTTGATCTAAAATCCCAAGTGATTTTGAAGAAGTTCATTGTAAGCTCCATATCTTCTATCCTAGACAATGTTCTGTTTTCAAGAAAATTCAGACACAAAGTCTGAGCGCAGGATGTACCCATAGCGGAGTAGTGTTAATTGCATATACAACCTAACTAGTTTAAACTCACCACAACAAGGAAAGTTTGGTAGGCTTAGAAAGGAGGCGGAGGAGGTGGAAGCTGGCTTCGGGACCTTGCGGACATTGCTAAAACAGTGGCAACTCCCGCAACAAGTATGATCCACCCACAAGCGTCGTATATGAGATCCTTGGTCTTACTTCCCTTTTTGTTCCTGGAACCCTGCAAGAGAAAAAGGAGAAAGAAAGGTCATATATGAATGATTTCTCTGAATGGCATGAAACTGAAGACGTAAAAAAGGCTAGTAGATCGTATGCACAGCACAATGTAACTACCCATATGAACCTGGTACCAAATCATATATTGACTTCAACCCTATGAAGTAAGACATTGTACATTCAGCAGCTTAAGTGTGCAAGAGCAAAAAATAGGTAAAACTCGCATATTTTTTGCAGACCAATCACGACTTTTGGTTGTTAAAGGACGACAGAGTCCGTTCAAAAGCAATATGAGTACTTGATAATGCTAATCGAAAAGGAACACTAGGTTATCGCCAAATAAACCTATGAGAAGGTAAATCCAACTTAACTGATTGATCCATCTGCTCTAAGAAATCGAAGGTTAGGTTAGCCCAACTTCTTCAGCAGCTATATTGCACAAGGACATTTTGATTGAATTCATAGCCAAGGGAAGAAGAAAGAATGAGCCTTTCTTACCAGTAATGGTAGTAAAATCAAAGGGGCAGGCCAAAACCTAACCCTACTCTTAACAGCAAGCTTTTCCTACATGAACCATGTAAAGCTAGTAGATTGTATGCTAATCCAACATGAGGACAATAATATTACCCGAATTGAGTTCAACAAGAATGAGAACACAGTTCAATTGATGGATCCATCTAGTCCAAACAATGCAATATTAGCTTACATCACTGTGGCCTTGAAACCTACTAAATTAAGTCACTGAAGCTTTAAGTAGCTTCCATATGCAAGAGTGAAATACCAAGAAAAACTCACCATAAACTGTTCCTTAAATTTGTGTTATTATTTGAAGAGTAATTGCAGTGTTCTTTAAAAGAGAAAATATAGAAGCTTCTATCCATCAAGCAATACACTTGATAATGCCTTCGTAAAAAGGTACCAACAGAGAATACTTCATGATAAATGCATTTGTAGGAGATTATTAACAAAAGACATCCTAACCTTGGATGTTGAAGAAGCAACAGAGGCATCGCCCAGAGCCGGGTGACCACCAGCAAAGGCCTGCCTGTGTATCTCTGGTGCCTGGAGGAGAGAATTTAGTCGGTTAAATTCAATAAGAAAGAGCAGCATAAGTGCATAACTTCTGTAGGAGAAGTCAAAAATTAACGCGAAGTGGTAATGGTTAGCAGAGCATTGACATGCCATGGACTAGAATCACAGCTTCAACAATCTTTGGCACTCTGCTAAATAATCGGTACCATACTTCCGCCAAGAATGAAAAGTTGACATCTTCACATATATTTGCCAAATCACAGATTTCAGATCACTAACGTACTATTCTACTAAATCTTCTATTCCTCCATGTGACTGGATATCTAGCTACGTCAGGGCATTACCAACTCCCAACATAATCTTTAAAGCATACCTTAGAAACCTCCATCAAAGACTGCTGATATATCAGATTATTCGGAGCCTGCATTATCCCAATCATAACATCAGCTCATAATCTTAAGACTCATACCAATGGCATACTCTCAAAATGCCTAAATCCCTTTGCAAGTTTTTCTTTTACCTCTTCCAGAGCTCGTTGATAAAGCTGAGCGGCTGCTGAAAAGTGTCCGTCTGCCTGATCCGGATCAGGAGTCAGGAATGCGAGATTAGTCTCCGCATTCCCCATCCCCCACAAAGCTTCATGCTTTGAAGGGTTTATACCCAGAGCCTCCTCAAACTTAGATACAGCCTCTTCAATGAAAACAAACCGATCAAAATCAAAACCACCACAATGTCAGCCGCATTTATAAAAATATAAACCTATAATTAAAGCAAGCGGGGCTCAACTCCACATAAGATATCTAGAAAAAGCAACCATAACTCAATCAAAACCAATTCTCGGATTCGTTTGGCAACAAGGGACTGTTTGCTATGATTTTGAGAATACATTTTTCCATACCATTTATCATCCGAGACATTGCTTCGGGACCTCTCTCCAATTGGCATAATTGCAGCAGCGCTCCTCCCCACTTCGTTAAGTTCTGCAACAAAAAATTCAGAATTCGTCAGAAAAGCGAACACCAAAACAAAAAACAAAAAAACCAAGAAGAGATGAAGAGACGAGAATCTCAAAGTAAAGTTGAAAAATACGAACGTCGGAGTCCAGAGGGTTCTTGGCGTAGTTAGCTTCAGCGGTCTTTCGCGCCTGCTCCATGACCAATAGCCGAGTGAAGTCATCTTCGGAGAACTCCATTGTTGTGATTTCAAAAAGGAAGCTGCGAGCGTTTTGTTTAGGGTTTAACGGAGGTTTATGAGAAGATAGTGCGGTTTCGCTCCCGTGAATGGAAGTATAGAAATAGAATAGAATCCACCGCCACGGCGCCACGCCCCTGTCTTGTGGAGAAGCGAGAGCGAATCGGTTCAAAAGATTGTCGGGTCGAGTAGATATATCAAATATCAGGAGTTTTGGGCTTGGGATATGCGGTAAAAAGCCCATTCAATGAGTTTCAGAAATTATATGGGTGAAATACTGAAATTATAATTTGATTATTATAAGAAAGAAAATTAGAATTTGATATAATTTTGGGCAAATACCACTAAAATATCAGATGCTGCTGACATGGAATTAAAAAATAAAAATTAAGAAAAAGGTAAAAACTAATAGGTTCAAATCAATTATAAGCTTAGTTTGGCCATACGGTAGCATTTGCAAAAACAGCTTCTAGCCGGAGGTTTTAGATAAGTACTTAAAAAAAAAAACAGTTTAGTGTTTGGCTGTAAAACTATTAGAAGTGCTTTTTAATATGAGCGGTTGTGTAAAATGACTATAAAGGACTTATAATAGCTTAGTTTGGCCCTGCTGTAGCTTTTGCAGAAGCAGCTTCTGGCTGGAGCTTTTAGATAAGTACTTTAAATTTGTTAGAAAGTTACCTTGGAGCTTCCTGATTCACTGGACACGTATTGGAGCGCTCTGATTGGCTAGATGGAACTTGAAGGATGAGTTTCTCTCCCCCAGAAAACCTAATCCAAGGCTTATAAATAGGTTCTTGGAGGTAGAAATTGAAAGCAAGTGATGAGGGGTCAAGGAAGGACCGTTACTCTACCCATGATCGACTCACCTGAGCTAGAACGAAACCTACCGAGAGGGAAGAATCGGCTCCAGAAATGGCGGTGATAAAGAATCCCGAGCTCGTGAGAGCCTAGGTTCTTCTGTCAAAGTCGCGCGGCCACAACTCAAGCTCGTATAACTTGAATAGATCTTCAAACAAACAGTAAAGTAAAGGATATGTGGGGATAGATATTCGCAACAATCAAGTGTGATCGCTTGATTGATAGGAGTCTTGTCAAACTCTTCTGGAATCTTCAACAGAAAAACTCAAACAAGAGTCTTGCCCTAGCTATGGAATCTACCAAATAATAACCATAAGCACTCGTGCTCCATGAGGTAAAAACTCCCCATAGTTAATTTTCATTCAACAAAACTCTCTCTAATCCCTAAAATTTGTGTTTACAACCCTTTATATAGCCCATGACAATTAAAAATAATCAAAATCCAAAAAGAAACAAAACTTAAACCTAAAAGAAAGACCAAACTCGGCCAAACCCGAAACCCGCTCCAAACTCGTGTAATTTGTTGTCTTGCCCGGGGGAGGGGCGGTCTCCTGAACTGAATACCCGGTCTGCCTTAAAAATACCCGGTCGGGTTTTTTCCCCAAAAAAATGGCCGGATATTTTGCTGCTACCTGAATCACATCATCGCCTCCCCGTTGAAGAAGCTTTTCCCTCAAATCTTTTCATCCTGGCTTCCAAACAAGATTTCTTGTAAATCAGCACCAAGAAAGAAAAAAACATTTTCCACAATCCCACAGAATCAAGAGCTCAAACAATTGATCAAACATGGGCTCCAAAATCATGAATATCGAAGCTCAAGTCAACATGAATGTTTTCGTGAAACCTCTAGCCAGGTTCCCAACCATAATTTGTTTCTCCAGCGGTGTCCAAACATGAAGTTCCTCGTCCAAAATCTCCAACCTTCACTAGACTCAAGTCATCACCATTTGCCTTCTTGCCTTCACAACAATCAGTCGTCCAAAACAAGCTACCAAATCTCAAAGCTTGAAGACTCCTGCACAAGAATTCATCATCATAGTAATCGTAAAAAGGATACGTGGGGATAGATACTTGCCACAATCAAGTGTGATCGCTTGTTTGATAAGAGTTTTGCCAAGCTCTTCTGGAATCTTCAACAGAAAAAATCAAACAAGGATCTTTCCCTAGCTATGGAATCCACCAAACGCTAAAACAATAACCATAAGCACTCGTGCTCCATGGGGGAAAAACTCCTCAGAGTTATTTTCATTCAACAAAACTCTCTCTAATCCCTAAAATTCGTGTTTACAACCCTTTATATAGTCCAGTGCAATTAAAATAATAAATAAAAAAAACAAAAAAAAAAGACAAAAACCTAAACCTAAAAGGAAGGCCAAATTCGGCCAGACTCGAAACCCAGTTGCGTAATTTCCTGACTTGCCCGGGTTGTCTCCTAGACTGAATACCCGATATGCCTTAAAAATAATCGGTCGGGTATTTTGGCCAAAAAATGGTCGGGTATTTTGCTGGTGCCCGAATCACATCAGGCGGCCTAGGCCTCGATTTCTCTGTTGTGACCACCAATTTCAGAGGTATTCTGCGGAATTCGTTTAAATTGATGATCGCCAAGAAACCCTTCATCATGGCTAGCTAGTTCCTTTAGTTGCATAGGTATGTGAACCCTAAGTGTCCTCGTTATGTAAAATCAACGTTTTGGCTTTAATACGTTTGTTTTCATTTCATATGTGTTAATGCTTGTCGATTCTAATGAAAGCTTAGTCGACCTTGCACTCCTTCAAGGTGCAACAATCGAAACCCTGGTCACTTAGGATAATACCATACATGGTGGCCCTATTCGATCGAACAACGTGATGCCTCAAGAGAGACATCCAAAGGGTCCTTGTCGCCCATTAGTCTGGGTAAATGCTTCGGCATAAGGTGGGATTAGATTATCTAAGGAATCAACAGTTTGTATGCCGATCATTGAGGGACATGTAACAATGAGACCTAGGGGAGCTTGCCTATGTAACACCCATCCTTCTCTTATCTCCCACTCGCCTAGTAGCTATAAATTTACATCCTGCCCTCCTTCCGTTTCTTTTATATTTGTTTTTCAAAACTGGAGGCACCTCAAACTCCTACGTTATTTCTAAAACCAATAGACCATACTTTGCCATCGGAGTAAGTGGTCTGCGAGAGACCCTAGAGAAATAGGATCCTGGCCTCTGGGACAGTTAAATTTGAGAACGACCTATAATCCTCTATCACCAGTCACTGCCTCTTCAATCTTTGCCGAGAAAGTCTTATTCTTCCGCCTTAGACAACTAGTTCTTATGCCTCTCGACAGCTCGGGTAAATGGTAAATCTTTCAAGTCTCCATCTTTCATATCAATTCTCAACTTTCTAGTTATCAGTTGCCCCACTTACCAAACTTCCTAGTTCCTAGTTCAGGCTTTACCTATTCTCTTACCTCCTCCCAATCTCAACTCTTATTCTTTGTTCTCTCAAGTCTTCCCATTTCTCATAATCTTATCTCCATTCTCTCTGACTACCACCTCTAACATAATTACTACTTCTCATAATGATAGAATCCCACTCCCATCCCTTCTTGTATGTTAATCGGTAAGTGCTAACTCTTTATCTCTCATAGTTTCTTTTCAAATCCATAACCATTATACAATAGTAACCATCACACCTCATTAAGTTGGGATGTACACGGGTCGGTTGGTTCAGATTTAACCGTTTTAATCACCCGAGTCATACACTTCGATTTTGAGAACACTAGATCCAAACCCACCAAAAATAGTTAGGACCATACGGTTTGTTTTATGATTGAGTTGGATTGAGTGAACAATAAATTTGAGTAATAACCCAACCCAATACAAAAATGTGCAATAGTTCTATAATTGTACACAAGAAAAACAACACTGTGAATCATAGTTCTTATTAACTCTATGTTTAAATTTTCACTTGAAGAATGCATTACGTTAGTGAGACAACACGAGTTAAAAATGATAAAATATTCTAAATTTCTCATATGATGATTTCTCTCCCAAACTTTGTGATTTCTCTTCTCCATGGAGTAAACTTTCTTTTCATCTGGATATGAGGAACTCTAGTCGTGTATAATAAGAATGGTTAAAAGTGGCAAATGAATTTATCCATAAATTAATGAATCCATAGATCAAATGGATTAGTGGATTTATGGATGCCATGAGCCCATGACTACTCAGTTTCCCTCGCGGAAAAGGAACCAACCTTTTGGCGGGAGACAGAAGGAAAGTTCCGGAACTCGATAAACTAAAATTCGTTTTCTGGATTTAGATTTTGAAATTTCGGATTTATCCTTCATTTCACCGCTCTCTCTAGAAATTGCAGTCAGAGTAACTACTATGGGTTCTCGGGCGTTCTCTTTACTGTTCCGTTCGGAGCCTTCATTCATCAATGGCGGAAGAAGAGGAGATCCTGGAAGAAGCGTCGATCCGGACGGAATTCCCTGCCGCCCGAGTGAAGAAGATAACGAGGCTCGACAAGGAAGTCAACAAGGTGACATCGGAGGCTCTTTTCCTCAGTCTCGCGCTCCACGGAGCTTTTCCTTCAGTTTCTCGCTGAGAAGTCAGCCGAAGTCGCCACGAAGAAGAAGCGGAAGATTGTGAAGACTGAACACATCCGAATCGCCGTCAAGAGGCACCGACCGACCAACGATTTCCTCTTAGACTCGCTTCCCGCGCCGCCAGCTCCTCAGCTGCAGAAAGAGGATTCTGCAGGTCGTAAGCGCGAAGTTGCTAACAAGCAGCCACCGACCGGAACTCGCCGGATCGACGCTTTCTTTGCTAAATCAGCGAGCGGTGCTTCCGCTTGAGAATCGCCGGTAGATAGCTGATCTTTACCTAAATCTCTATTGTTCTACGAATTAGGTTCTGTTTGGATTGTAAGGTGATTTTCCTTCGAATTCCATATTAGGTATTTGGAATTTCGAATGCTTGCTTGTTGAGAGTTGATATCGAAGAGCAAAGCTGTAAACTCATTTGTTAGGTTTACCAGAACAGCAACTTGACATCTTCATTTTAAGAATATATCAATCTCAAAGAAAAGTTTATTCGATCAAAGCATATATACAACTATACAACGGTGCTCATCAAACTAACTAAAAGGAGGTTAAATGTGCTGCAACTATAGCATAGACAATTTCTGCCTAAGTCGGGAAACTTGGTTGATTGTTCAAGGGGACAAGGGGCCTGAAAATGTTGAGATTACTGAAGCTGTTTCTTCTTGACATCGTGGAGGAATCCCACGACGAGTAGGAAGAGGAAATTTAGTTTCTTGCATTTTCTTTTCTTCCTTTGTGTTTTGAGTTGCAGAATAATTTATGCTGTTGCTACCCAAATGTTGGATGCTCATAGACAGCCTTCCTGTTTGACGGGGCGGCATAGCTTAAACATCCATTCAAGCTTCTGTTGGAAGGGCGTCGACTACTGGTGCTTGGTCTAGAACTGAAGGGGGGTTCAGGTTCTACTACTTGGATCTGCACCTTCTTTGTTTCCTGCTGGGGCATCTCATGTAAGGTAAGAACACAAAGACGGATGGTCAGGATATGTATTATTTCGTCTTTTAACTTGACCTATTCTAGACGAACTAGGATTATCTGATGAACTATCTATTAGAGCAAGTTGTGGATAGATTTTTACTTGTATGGATATATTCAGTTTTGTGACACTCACCTTTTGCCTTTGCTTCTTGTCCTCTTTCACCAGCCTTACACATGTTGTATTCTTCTATCATTGCCATCAAAGGTACCTATATAAGAATCTTAGGTTAGTGATTGAAGTGCATTATGAAGCTCAATGGTAAATCACTCTGGGTTGAGTTTCTAAGATTACCTGGAATCTTATTGACTAGGATTCTGGCCTTTTTCTGCATGTCGCAGATTCCTGTGAGCTCTTCAGCTGACTGAATACCAATTCTCATCCTGAACTATATGTGAAGTGTTAGTTAGGATATTCATATTGAGTTGGTAGAGTAATTATGTTGTTGATTTGGTCAGTTAGAACTTGACCATGCATACTCTTCAAAACTTGGACGATATACACTGTTTTGGAAGATAGCAATATTGATTGTCACCTTCTCAGTGCGTTTTTGTTTCTCTTCCTTTAGAGATTCCAAGGTACTGTCCAGCTTAGCCAATATGCTGTCAGTTATGTTATTGGAAATGCCACACAACTCATTTAGAGTTGGATGAACCTTGTCAATTATCATTGAGGACTCTATTCCTAATATAGCATTAAGGTTCCGGATCGTGTCTATATACTTCTCCACTTGCTGAAGCCTGTCATTCTTTTTACGGAGAAGAAAGAGGAAGCTTTAGAATCATATACCAATGTGCATTTGGTGTTTGAAGTTTTAAAAGACATGTACCCAGTCAACTATTACCTTATCTTTGTGTAGTCTTTGCAGCTCACTTTGGTATTCCTCGAGTTTCTTCAATGAAAGGTCATTCTCAGTTAATATGATGTTAGTTAATGAATCATCATACCTGGAATGACCTGCAATCTCTGCTGATATTTTTTGGATTTGCCCTTGCACAGCTCGAAACTGGTTGAGTCTAACCTCTTTCCTGAGACGCATCTCTCTCAAAGCTGGGGTGATTGCAGCCAACTGCTCCTTCAGTGTTCCTGATCTCAGGCTGCAAAGAAGGAAGAAAAAAAAAGGAAAGGTAATGCAGTGAATACATACTAAAACGTTCTTGTAAGGAGGAGCAATTTCTAGCCAGGCAAGGAAAGGTAATGTAATGAATTCCCGGAATAAGCCAGGCAAGTTGATCTATTGTGCACATTTTTTACATTGAAATTTGGTCAAGTTATTTTCTTCTGTTATTTTCGTGCTTGATGATTGTGTAATGTTATTCTACTGCATTGTGAACCTCACTTCCTTGAGTCCATCCTGTTCTCGAATTAGAATTCCTTGCAGTCCAAATCAGTTACGTTTGTGTGTCATCTCTTCCGCTAATGCCTAACTTCGAGTCCTTCAATTTTGTCAAAAGTGATCTATAACAACTAAGAAATTTGTACAATTCAACCAGTTGATGTTTTCAAAGCCTGAGTTGCACTTCTGCACTCAACTCATATGAAGGTAGCGTAGAGGAATGGTGTTATAAAAAAAAAAAAGTGGAATGTGCAGCAAGTATTATAATAGATGTAGAGGTAGCTGAATGGGTTCGAACCCTGGTCGACCAAAAGTGTCAAAACTAACACTATAATTTGAAACGGTGCCTTTTAAGGCCTGTGTTAGAGAATACCAATATACCATATCGCTTGTTTGGCGATAGTCCATCATCTTTATAAACCGTAGCCGTAACTAGTGTATTGTCCCTTCGGGGACATCCGATAAAATTGGAACGATACAGAGAAGATTAGCATGGCCCCTGCGCAAGGATGACACGCATAAATCGAGAAATGGTCCAAATTTTTTTTCCTACCTCCGCAATTTTTTTACCCAACATTCCTGTTCTTGTGCAGATTTTGATTCAGGAGTGATTTTTACTCATGCATTTTTGTTCCTATGCTAATGCAGAGGCTCATAACAAGAATGACACGCATAAATCGAGAAATTGTCCAAAATTTTGTTCCTACCTCCGCAATTTTTTTACCCAACATTCCTGTTCTTGTGCAGATTTTGATTCAGGAGTGATTTTTACTCATGCATTTTTGTTCCTATGCTAATGCAGAGGCTCATAACAAGAATGACACGCATAAATCGAGAAATTGTCCAAAATTTTGTTCCTACCTCCGCAATTTTTTTACCCAACATTCCTGTTCTTGTGCAGATTTTGATTCAGGAGTGATGTTTACTCATGCATTTTTGTTCCTATGCTAATGCAGAGGCTCATAACAAGAATGACACGCATAAATCGAGAAATTGTCCAAATTTTTGTTCCTACTTCCGCAATTATTTTACCCAACATTCCTGTTCTTGTGCAGAGTTTGATTCAGGAGTGATTTTTACCCATTTGCAGTTTCTAGGCTCATTTGATGTGCTGAGCAGCAGAGGGCTCATGCATTTTTGCTCCTATGCTGTGCAGAGGCTCATAATAAGAACATATTTTATATATCAGGCATTTTGTAGGTTGCTTAAATTTGCAAGTTCTTTCTCCAGGCTCAAGAATTGTTACAGATTCAGGATTCAAAACTCTGTATAAGTCGGAAACTTGGATGTTTACTTGCAGAATCCACATAACCAATTAACCATAGACGAATGAAGTGCTCCATAAGCCAGAGAAGGTTCTGCTGGCTTACCAAAATGGCAGTTACGGTTTAGCTATCTTGAAGCTCTTTTGGATTCATAGGACCACATATTATTATCACCCAAAAGTCAATGGCAGAAAGAGCCCACTCGTTTTCTGGAAACACAAATTGGTGATATCAGAGAAGCAGAAGCACCAAAGTACACATGCATCGATATAGTTGCGGTGTTCCTACCTGATAGCATCTGCATGAAAACTGATCTCACAAATGTCCTAGGCTTTGCTCCAACAGAGCTATTATACAGGATTAGCCAAAACACTTGGGAAAATCGTTAAAAAAAATACTTGAGTTTAGGTTACATTGAAGTTTCGCGGTTAATAAAGTCTGTCAACCCACTTACTAGCATCAAGATCAAGCATCTGCATGATCATGAAACGTTACATTTACACCGCAACAGCAAATGGATGCTCACAGTCCCAGGTCGATCATATTAGGAAGCACTACTATGTGTGAAGGCACGTACCGGCTAGAATGTGTAGCTTTAAATCGAGCCATAGTGACTGGAATTTACCTTCGCTTCAGCGAAGGTTAATCCTCGTCAAAAAAGAAGAACACTAAACCAAATTCTTCAGCCTTGCCTACTGTAATTTTTTTTCATTGCCCTTGTTTGATGTTTAAGGTGAATGTAGAAGCCTCGTTCTGGGTTTGCCATTAACCACATTTCCAAGCTTTCTAATGCTTCTAGCCATTTTATACTTTAGTAAAATTATAGCTTGCCTGTTGAGAAGTGAGGTTGATGAAGGTGTGTTCATAAACTTCAATCCGAGCTGGCGCCTGATAAGTATAGCATGCTCATCTGCCAAAAAATAGACACCCATATTTGTCCAGTAGGTTAGGTAAATGAGGATTTGCACCAAACTTGTCAATAAACAACCAATTGTCTCTCCATCTATATTGAACAAATTTTCCAATCCTTTTATGCGTACACTTTTATGTAAAGCAACTATCCATCCTACAACTAAAACACCCTAATAATAAATTTTTATGAAATTTCTTGGTCATAAGTTGAATTCATATATTTGTGATGTATCATTAGAAAATATGATGGAACAAATAAACAAAATTTGTATTCATCTGTTTAATTGCTTCTCTTATTTACAATTATTCTACTTGTTTTGCAGCAACAAGTGAGTGAGGAGATATTTACAATTATTCTACATTTTTTGCAGCAACAAGTGAGTGAGGAGATCAAGGGATTGGTCTAATGCTTCTATCGCTGAGCTTCAACATAGAGATACCATATTCGACATTGATTTCATAATTCGAAGTTTCATCACGATTCGTTGTAAGTGATGTGTGCCCAACCATTATTCTGTAATGACACCAACATAGAGGAAAAACATTCACGACTATGCAACTCCTGTGTAGAACTAGCTAATTACCACCATGATTAGAAGCATGCAAGCAGCAAAAATGCAGCCAAATGATGTTAGTAACGGATGAGCTTCTTTCTAAGGGTTGAGTTCACAGAAATAAGATAGAATCAACTTCTATGGCGAAACAGATTTGGTTTTCCAAGCTAACCACTACAAACAACGTCAAAGTAGATTAAACAACTTCCATTTCATCATTACCCCAAACTTACAACAGGGGCCAACAGAAGAGGGGATTTCAAAACACTAATTGAAACACGAATCAAACCCAACAATTGCCATTTCTTTCAACTGCCATTAACCGCTATATCTCACACCTTACTACCCGATCAAACCACCCAAAGCCGACAGAGAGCAAGCCAAATTCATTCAAACAACGAACCCCAAAACTGGAAATCTCCCAAACAAATGGATAAAAAAAGTGGGAAAGGGAAGGGAATAACATCTCATATGTTGTCAATACTAAACACGGGCTCCCCTATCTACACATAATATAATACGCCGAAGGGAAAAACGGGAGCCCCATTTCAAATTTCCTGCAACGAGAGTGAAAGTAGGAAGGACATTTTGGTCTTCACAATTACTTTTTTTTATTCATTAAAAAAACACGTACTGGGATTCGAACCATGACCATTTTAAAGAAAAGCAAGAATAATAACCAATCACACTAAGCACATTTGTTGTATCTTTTTAAATTAAAAACATATAATAGCAGGGAGGAAAAAACCCTTCCCCCATTTCAAATTCCCTACTCCATGAGCGTTTGTAGGAATGGTAGAATAGGGAGTGTCAATTTTTTTTTCTCTTTCCTCTGTGGAACGGGCCACCTTACCGTACACATGTGAATTTAAACGGGTCCAGGAGTGTCAATTTTTTTTCTTTAAGCCATTTTTTTTTCCGTGGTGACAAAATATATATGAAAAGGTAAAAATAATACTCCTTTTTATTGTTAAAAATAAAACATTTAACAATAAACTAATGCATGGTATCTAATGGGCTAACCGCCAACCATAAAATAAAAGAGTTGAATGTGCCTGACCTACATGGGATTTGGCCATCAAGTAAAATAAATGAACATCATTGGTTTGTCATTCTAAAATAAGCTAATTTCTCTGACATAATATATATTATGCTATTAATTTATATCTTAGTGGCTAAAATATAATGTATTTTAAAGTTATTCAATGGTTCAACCTCGACCAACACAATTAGTCCAATTTTTATCATTTCAAATATATATTTTATAATTATTTGATATCATAATGATCAAATTATAGTGTATTTTATAGGGAATAGTTTGGTATTTGTTAGTAAAAAATTAACATAAAGATCTATTTGATTATTTAAAACATTATAACGATCCTAAACATTTTCAGTTCCTTTTGAATTTCTATGGTTTTATTCCCGAATAAGTGATGTGCAAATGGCGAATTGTAGTCGTCTCTTTTCTTTCACTATTTTTTATTTTTCAAATAGAAAGTTTAAAAGTAAAGAATAATTAGAATTTGGCATGGGTCGTCAAACAGGCTGAATTTCAAGTTTTGGCCCGTTTGTTTTATGCATTGCAAATTTATTAGCATTTTGATGGAAATGGCTTGGAAAAAAGACATATAAGTTGTACCTTTGCAGAAATGTCCTCAAATGTTTTAATGCTTTGTGAATCAGGTTCTGTGACTTTTGTGATGGTGTATGTGCTTGACAATTGCTCGATGTTGTAACTGCTTAATTTGAGAGTAAATCTTTTGATTTTCCCTATGAGTTGTGATACCAGTTCTGGTGGTTGCAGCATGTTGTCGTTGTTGGCCTGTAAAAGTTGTTCCGCCGTGGTGCTAAATACCTTTCTTTCTTTTTTAACAAATTGTGTAGTAGTGCTATGAAACAGGCCACCCATGAACGCTACGCTTATATGGTCTGTTCTTACTTCCGGTGGTGAGAAATTGTGAATTGAGAATCATATTCGCCTACCGCACTGTGTCTGGCTGGTGGCTGCTTACTGTGCTCTCTAGAGTTATGAAACAGACTACCCATGAACGTTTCCCTTAAAAGTCCATAACTTTTGCGAAAAACCAAATTTAGGCAATCAAAGGTGGTGGATGTGTGATGATTTTTTATGGCTTAATTGTTTGTGAATTGGATATCTGATCTTTGTATGATTGGAGGGGATGTTTGCTTAATAGAATTATCCATTTTAATTCATGTTTATTTTTAACATGAACTTTAGTAACTCAAAACCTTCGAGACACATTTAACCTACTGCATTGTATCATTTTGCCTGGGTGCTTGCTGTGTTGTCAAACTTCTTTGTTGCTGCTGCTTTTACACTAACAGGGGAGTTAAGAACCCATGAATGTTTCCGTTTGACACAAACAGTAGGACTTGCTTCTAAATCGTGCACTAAAGATGATTGGAGGAAACATCTCTATTGCAGTTGATATACTGGAGACCAGAACAAAAGCAATGTATAACATCAAAACCAACCATCTGAACTATTAGCATTGTTGTTTTACTATTTTTTCGTGGTTGAGTCTCCTTCAAAAAATTTAGTTTGATTTTAGAAAATTTTGCTTCTGCAGTCCTGTCTTGCCACCAACGCGTTCAGTAGATGGAGATGGCAGAGGCGAAGGCTATTTTTGTGCTGTTGTTGCTGGTTTAGGGATCGGTTTGTGAAGAAGAGGGAGAAGAGAGGGGGAAAGGGAAATGCGGGAGAGGGGGGTAACTCTTTTCTCTAACAAAAATGGAGTGAAGAAAGGAATTATGATCAGTAAGGATATGGTTATCTTACATAACGGTCTCTATTCTGTTTGAATTGAGCTTGAGAGGCAGTGATAAGACGAGCTGCAACCAATTCATAGTGAGAAGAGAGCTATGAACTGTGATCATGTCTTATTTCAAGTTAGAAGGTAGTTTCAGTATAAGGATTATTTAATTTGACAAGTTGTTTCGTCCATGATTCTTGGTAGTTTCAGTGCCATTCTAGCCATTGTTTAGTCTGTAATTTTTGAGAATTGATGTGCGAGTAATGACTTTCACTTAGCTTCAACTATTATGTGTGTATTTATTGGCATGTGATAGAAATCTCTTTTCCTTTTCTTTAAATTCAATTTCATACTCTAATTGTATCATTTGTACATAGGCAAATCATGCTCGAGATGACAACTCGCTGATAAGGCTGGTGCAAGGAACGGAGCCATCATTAGAATTCATACCGACAACGGGGAGGGATGCCCAGAACTAATTCAATGATGATTGATGATGGTATAATAAAAACTGCAATTTGCATCAACACCAATTTCTAGGCCTAAGTAAAACTATTCAACCCAGAACTCTGCTTAGCGCTAAAAATTTCCCTCACCCAACCTTGATCCTGTTTGACCCACTTCTGAAGAGTCAAGATATATGAATATGACTAATTCTCTCCGTTCGTATTTTCTTATTGACTCTTTCTGACCCTTTAGGTTGGGGCGGGTCGGGAAGAATCGGATTAGTGGGTCGGTCCTAATCAAGTGGAATCCCAATCCCTTCACTCTCACTTGCTTTCTCTCCTATTCCACAAGTGAGTAACATACAGTAATCCGGCCAACGGGCCGGGTAATAGGCTAGTTTCTTTTTAAACTAAAAAGCTACTTCATAGATCTGCTTTACCAGGGTATCTGGGGAAGGGAATAACATCTCTGATGTTCTCAATGCCAGTCGCAAAGAGTATCATCCTTTCAAAACCTAATCCAAACCCGCTGTGTTTTATGGTCCCAAACTGGCGAAGGTCAAGGTACCACTCGTATGGCTCCAGAGGCAACCCCATATCCAGAATCCTGTCATCAAATGGCACTCATTAGATCCAAGTTGATTACATAAACCCAAACAAGCTAACATGCACTTGCATACCTTTCTTTGATCACTTCATATCGCTCCTCCCTTTGGCTTCCACCAATCAACTCTCCAACCTAAAATTAACAGAGGAAGTTTTTAAGTGAACTACTACGAAGGCAGCTGAAACTTAGTGATGTAAATTCGGAGGTGTCAATAGAAGGATGAAATAATATTAACCTTTGGTACAAGTACATCCATTGCAGCAACTGTCTTTGAATCATCATTGAGCCTCATGTAGAAGGCTTTTATTCCCTTTGGGTAATTGTAAACAATAACAGGCTTCTGGAACTTGATCTCTGTCAAGAACCTGAGCAGATGATGGCCAATAATCAGTACGAGAAAGACAATTGGATCTGTTTTTTTTTTTTTTATGAACACAGCTAAAGATGTAGACGTTTTTGCATGACAATACCTCTCATGTTCAGAAGCCAAATCAATGCCCCATTCCACTTTGTTCTCAAACTTCTTACCACCCTTCACAGCCTCCTCAAGGATTTCCACCGCTTCTGTATATGAAATTCGTTCAAAAGGAGTAGATGCCACCATTCTTAGACGGTCAATGCAGACTTTGTCGTAAAGCTTAGCCATGAGCTCCATGTCATCAGAGCACTTATCAAGTAGCCACTGGGACATGTACTTTACATATGCCTCTGCACAGTTCATGTCATCCTGCAAACATTTTGATACACGAATCATTCTTTATCCCATTAGAGCAACATATTAAGTTTATGACAGAATGATAGATCTTCATACTCCATTATATTCTCGGTTGCTCGACTGCAAAACTGAAGGAACTTGAAAACGCTAAGAATAAACTACATATATAGTAGTTATACCTGAAGATCTGCAAAAGCTATCTCAGGCTCCACCATCCAAAACTCAGCCAAATGCCTTGAGGTATGAGAGTTTTCGGCTCTGAAAGTCGGCCCAAAAGTGTACACATTGCCGACAGCACAAGCATAAGTTTCAACTTGCAGCTGACCAGAGACGGTCAAGAAAGCTTGGCGTCCAAAGAAATCAGCAGCGTAGTCAATCTTTCCATCCTTGTGAGGGATACCGGGCTTAAGTTTGGCTCTCTCTTCCAGCTTTGACAGAGCCTCCTTCCCTTTGTTCAGTTCAGCCACTGCAGCCCCAATTTTAGCCTTGCCAGCTTTAGCCTCCTTGAGTTTGTCTACTTTCTCCGCTTTGTCCGTTACAACACGCTTAGCTGCCTCCACATCAGCCTCAGACGGTGGAGGGTTCTTAATCAAATCTTTCTCTAGCTTCTCTGCTTCGCTGATTATCGTGGTAACTTGGAACATTTCACCGGCCCCTTCGCAATCACTAGTGGTGATGATTGGGGTATGGACGTACAGGAAACCATTCTCTTGAAAGAAGGAGTGCGTAGCATAAGCAAGAGCATTACGAATTCGGGCAATTGCAGAAATCTGAAGCCAAAACAGCATTACCACGTTGTGTCAAGTCTATGAGTCTCGAATTGGGCAGCAAAAAGATTAAGGAAAAAAGGATCAATCTTTCAATCACACAGGAGGTAGAGTTGAATGCTTTTTTTTTTTTTTTACCGTGTTGGTTCGGGCACGAAAGTGGATGTTATCCCTCAAGGTCTCCAGAGTGAGCCTCGTCTTGGGAATCGGGTACTTGGCCGGGTCAACCGGGCCGACGTGGAGGACCTTCTCGACCCGGAGCTCAATCTTCTGCTTGGCACCCTCCGGCGGAACCTTCAGCAAACCCTCGACGGAGACGGAGGTTCCAGTCGCCACCAAATAGCCGAGGCCCTCCTCTACGACGCCGGCGTCCACCATGACTTGCAGATTCGCGAGGCAGGACCCGTCGTTGACTTCCAAGAAGGCGAATGCGCCCTTCCCTTGCTCCCTCCCTGTCTTGACCCATCCGCCGACGCGGATGCGCTGCCCGGCGAGCCCAGCTCCGCCGTCGGGGCGGGAGACGATTGATCGGATTGGGACCCGATCGGAGAAGGGATGCTTCAGGGCTAGCCCGGCCGCCGCGTCATCGGTCAAGGTCGCGCTGGCCAGCTCCGCCACCGGCGGCGTCGACGTCGTGTCGCCCATTTTCTTTGGCAGAGGCGTTGGGAATTGGGCGTTTGAGAGATGAGTTTTCCGCCTTTTCTCTACTGAGGTGAAAAACCCTAACAACTGGTTTGGGTGTCGATTTATCGTTGTTTATTCTTGGGAATTTGCTGCGGGGAATAACTTGGGTTTTGCTTTGGTTTCGAAGTGACACGTGGAAGCATCAGATGGAGTATGAAACGGTTGATCAACGGTGGAGAGTGGACTCCGGGCTTCTGTAGGGTGGATTTCGACTCCCAGGAAAGCCAGAATCTGTTATTTAGGTCTGAGATCTGAATTCCACTGGACTAGTTAGAATAAATTAACAAGCTTTTCCTTATAAGTTATAATCGGAGTAATTAGTCCAAGCTTTTGCTTTCCCTTTTCTTGGGTACGTTTTCTTCTTATAAGGTAAGTTTTTCTTTTTGGTAAGATCTTATAAGGTAAGTTGATTAGCAAGTCCAACAAAAAAGGGGAATATTTTGATTATTTTCCTAGTTTAGACTACAAATTGTAGTTTTCCCCTTATACTATACGAAGGCAAGTTACTATTCCTTCTATTAGTTAGTTTATAGTTTATAGTTATACAAGAAAATTACCTCTAGCGTCGTTTGCTAGAGTCATTTTAATTAGTCATTTGGTCATGACTCGTTTGCTGACAAAAAACTACATAAGTCATTTGACTCATATAAAAGTCTCAAATGACTCTATTGATTGAGTCATTATTTTAGCAAACTTTCCCATTATGTCCTTTTCACTTTTTCATAAACTCATTTTTACCCTTGCATTTCTATTGCTTATTTCCATACCATTCTTTCGTCTATTATCGAATTCTTTTCTTTCCTCCAAATTTTACAAGCGGTGATGGGGGGTCATCCATCTTATCGTCTATATTATTTTATCGTGACTCCACCTCTTCGTGTCATCGTAGTTTTCGTTTTCAAGAATAAGTCGTAATTAGCCCGAATGTGAGACTCCTTAAGGCGTTAACTTTTATAAAGAAATTTAACATAAAAATATTATTTAATATTAGAAAGTATTATACATGACTCGTAATCATATGTTTTGTTGGTTGCAAAATGATTTTGCTACGTGGTAAGTTTAATGAGGATATGAAACAAGATAATGAAAGATTAAATGTATGGGCAAAATGGTAACATTATACAAATGACCTATTTATGAATGATTCATCTAAAAACTATTAAACAAACAATGAAATTACAAATATCTACATTCACAAATTTCTACATTTCACACGTCTATATTTGAACAAATGAATCATTTACAAAATGACTCATGCAAATTGCAAACAACCCCTAAAAAGCAAATAACTGAATTAGGATTGCCCTGTATCATCGGCTATTACTTTGATTCCTTTCTTGAAGCAGAAGGCCCACGTAATCTGAAATCCGAGCCCACTAAGCCAAGTCCCACGACTGAGAAAGGTCCAATTTCAGCAGAGCTTCGTCCCTGCTAAATGCTAATGACTGTTGGGAGAAGAAAACAGGATTGAATGTAGAATCTTCTTATACAGTCAGTCTCGAATGACAAACTCTGCGACGGCAGAGAGCAAATGCACTCGGATTGAATAACAGAACATCTTATTATCATACAACTACACTTCTCTCTAATAAATTAAACTTTGCACTTTATCTCTATATGGGTAAACTCTCAAAAACAAATTCCGTGAGGTTAGCCGAAACAATTACACTGGATCTCAAGAAAACAAACTACAGTTCTGTGACGTGTTGTACAGTTCGCTTCATCATCTCATGCTCCACGAAACTCGCAACTTTCAATCATAAGAAGCAGAAAGAAGACGAGGCTTAAACCTGGCTTTCACCAGATTGTCCCCAAGTCACTTCAAAGCAGCATCCTCTTTCCCAATCGTGATAATGCTGAGGGAGCTCAAGACCTTTGTCGAACAATCAATGTGTGACGAGTTTGGCTAATGAACAGGAATGTACAGTACAGTGTTCTGCATCATCGTCATCTTCGCCGCCACCAATCAGGAACTCTCAATCGATGACTTCTATGTAAAGCCAGCTGGACACCTGGAAGCTTCCGCCTCAACTGTCTCCAGAGCATGTCCACCGCGTCTCCCTTTGCCGGAGGGAACTGGAACTCGAAGTGATGGGAGATGTTCTTGAGGTTCCTCCACATTTCTAACCACTTCTCCTTGGGGAATTGACTAAGCTTTTCGATCAAGAAACCTGGCTGTAGAGCCTCTGAGTCGGAGAAGAAGAGCGAGCATTGGGTGTAGTCGATTTCATCCTCGAAGGGAAGCTCGATTTTGTCGCTGACAACCACGGGTACACAGTGGCTGACGATGGCATCAAATAGCCGGCAAGATGAAGGAGTGTCGCCTGCTGGATGCAAGCAGAACTTTGATGATCGCATCCCTTCTGTCGACTGCATCCATCAGAAGAGAAAGAAATGTGAGTGGGCTAAAATGACAGTATATTGCTCACGTTGGGGAAAAACCATATGGAACTAGATGTTCAAAGCAGTGCACAGAAGATCCTACTGAATCCGCAGATAACTACATCCAGAACAATACTTACAAAGTTCAATTTCTATATATTGAGACTTACTGCTTGTATTGCATGAGTAGTAGGTCTACCCCGCTCATATCTAACGTGCTCCTGACCAAGTAATATCTTCTCCAAGTTAGCACGCACTTTGCCTTCCTGCAAACCATAACGACACCAATCACAACTTAACTCTAAGAAAATAGTTGATACACAGAGCAATCGGAACTAGGAGTAAAGCATACATCCTTTCTGACTGTGCTCCCGCGGAAGAAAAGAAGGGTTTTGCGAGACTCGTAAGGATCTTCAGCAGTGTCATTTGTGTAAGTATCAACAACATGGACATAAGGAGCTACGATGTCTTTACTCAGAGTCGACAGAGATCTCGGGTAGCGCCCGAAATCTGCAACGATCAGAATCGATGCATTCAACTCTTGCCGGAGAAACCTGAAGGCGTTTGGATGCGTCATGGGAATAACATGGTCTCTGCCTCCAGATCTCTGCCAATACTTAGAGTGGTGCAGCATGTCCATTATTTCAACCTAGAATCAGAAAGATCAAAATATAGTCAGATCAAGCAAAACCTGATTAAGAATTAAAGCAACAAAAACACAAGAACAAACGACTAGCGTTCACAAATAGTGGAATGAGAACAAGAAATATCGTGAAGCTTTAAACAATGAAAGCTAAGACAATTAAACTCGTGGAAAAAATGAGGAAACAAGAACCATCCATCACCTACAATCACTGTCACAATCGAAGGAGATAATCCCTGATTCTGATATATTGAATCAGAAACAAGACTGGCACTGAATCAGAAACAAGAAGACCATTCATCAACTAGAATTCCTTTCTAAGGATCAAAATAATGCTTAATTTCAATCCCGATTGATGATACCCTTGACTAAGTAAGAAAATGACAACTGAATCAGGAGCAAGCTTCACTGCTTCAGTCTCTACTTCCCTGATGAAGAAAATAACATCCCTAGAAAATTCCCCTCTTTCTTTTACTTGCATCTGTACTTCCCGTTCTGTCACCGCACATTAAGCTCGCCAATAGAAAGGATTCAACACCAAAAGCAAATTCGCAATAGTCTATATCCATCAAACACTTCAGAATCGAAAATTCACTAATCTATCAAACCACAATTCACAATTCTTTCCTCTCAATCCGAAACTCGAAATTCCGCCTCAATTCTCAACAATGATTACCTGCAGTTTCCGATCACCTTCCGTCGCCGGGTCCGTCATGTTATGCCCGTGCGTGTTGAAGCTCAACGACGAGAAGAACGGGACGTAGAAAGCATCCGCCGCCTCCGGATCCAAAACCCTCACCGCCTCCTCCCTCTCCCATCGAACAAGAGCGAAGCCATGAGCCAGTACTCGACGCTGTGCTGCTTCCTCACCCCGGCGTTCGCCGGCCACCGCGGGATGTTCTCCGCCGTCACGGGCTCCTCGTTCTGCGGTCCCTCCGTATCCATCATCCCTACGTGGAACCTCCGCGGGAGATCATACATGTACACCTTCAGCGGCTCGTAATCGCAAGAAGCATCCGGCGATTCTGACCACTGGGATCATTGTTGCTGCGGGAGGAGAGTGAAGAAGTAAGGGCGGAAGTCGAGAGATCCGATGTATATAGAGTAGGAGAACGCGAGGAGGAGGAAGAAGACAACGGAGAGAATCAATTTGCCGTACATTTTCGGCAGCCGGAGAGCTTTGCCGATTTCTTCCTTCTCGTTCTTAGTGATCTGTAGCTCGTGGCTTTTTTTTTTCTTCTTCTCACAGAGCTGGATCAGTAGTTTCTTTTCAGTTCGTCAACCGACCGACCGATTTTAGTAGGGGTGGCAGAACGGTTTTCGGTTAGCAGTTAATCGGACGGTTTTAACTGAACCGATCGACTTTTGGCTAACCGAAAAATTATTTATGATTGAATCGGTCGGTTGGCGGTGATATGGAAAGGTGTTTGGCTAGCCGACTAATCGGGGTCAGAAACCGGTGGTTAACCGGCTAACCGACCCCTTCCCTTTCTCCAAAACAACCCCGCTTCAAAATACCTCCTCCCTAACCCTAAGTGTCGACTGACACTGTCGACTCCTTCCTCCTCCCAAATCCTTCGCCGCTCACCACATCCCCCTTCTCGCGCAGCAGCGCAAAAAATCTCCACCTCAGCGCCCCGCCGCCTCCACCTCGTCGCCCCGCCGCCAGTAGCAGCCAGGCAACAACGCGCCGCCTCCACCCTCGTCGCCCCGCCGTCTCCACCATCGTCGACGTTGACCCTCGTCGCCTCCACCCTCGTCGCCCTGCCGCCTCCACCAACAGCAGCTCGTCGCCCTCCCAATGCCGCCAAGAAAATTCCCCCAAGCCGCTAACCACAATTATGTATGTGGCCTCTGAGGAAGGAGAGAAGGAATAGATCTAAAATGGAGGAAGGAGAGAGAAATATGAGTTGGTGTGGCCTCTGAAGTTGATGCCAATGACTTTTTTTTTTGGTTGAACTAAACGCCAACGTTTTGGCTAAGTTTTTTGGTATGCGGCTAACCAAGCCTAAAACCAAAACTGGGCGGTCGATTGGCCGGTTAATCGCAGCTCTCTCACGGTCGGTTGTCGGAAGCCCTTGAGGGTGGCTCGGTTTAATCGATAACCGAGAATTCGGTTTTCGGTCAAATCGAAACCGACCGATTGACACCCCTAGATTTTAGTGGTGAAGGCGCGACCACGAAGGGGACAGTAATGAAAAATAATTCCGCGGCTTATTAGAGTTATCAACCTACAAGGTTGGTGTATATCGTTAGTCGGGTTTGACAAGTAAGATATTCCAATTAGTGGTACAACCGGTTTATACTACTTCATGCCGATTTTAGCAAAACATGTAGGTAAGTAGGGGTGGAAATTGGGGAGGGTGTGGTTACCCGCTCCGTAGTGGGTAGTGTTGTAGTGGTTAACCACTACTCGCTGCGGGTTGGTTGTGGATACCCACAAAAATTTTACATTAAATATGATAATATGATAATTAAATAGTGATGTTGTGTTTCTTCTCAAACAAAAAAAAACATACGTAAAAGAAAGTTAATAAAGTATTAAATAAATTATAAACTTCGAATACAATAGGTTAGTTAGTGTAAATTCAGAAGAGATGAATTTGGAAAGAGATTTGAAGATAACGGAGGGGCGGAGTGATTTGTTACCAGACAAACATCGTTGTATGTCACGACTCCTTCGATGGCAACAACCGCAAAAAACAAAAGTGGCTCGATAAGTGGAGGCGCCCGCTTTTAATGAATCGATTATTCTCCATTCTCGGTCATATTATTGTATTGTTGGTACTTGGTTGCATGTTGTGTTGTTCGTGAGTTCGTGGAGAAATGGAGATGAGTTTGGGTATCGGACTAACCTTTATCGATTATTCCCCTATTTTAACGAATCGATTAATTTATCTAACTATATCTATTGACTTGGTTTTGTTATAAAATAAACAAATACCACACAGACAATGCTTATTTGATAAAAGTATCTCACATGAACATTGCGTATTGACTTGGTTTTGTTTTATAAAATAGGTGCGTATTTGATTTTGGTAGGTACTCTAATTCTTAGTCTTCCAAGTTTCACAAACTAATATAACTAATGAGGGTAACAAAGTCTTTTGAAGAAATAAATATAACTAATGTGGTTAATGTGGATTTTGCGGGTAAACCGTTGTGGGTAGTGGTTAACCACTAACCACAAAAATCAATATTTTGTTACCCACACCCAACCTACTATCCACAAATTGTGGGTATGGGTGTCCACAAAGTGTGCGGTTTGGTGCGGTTTGCGGGTTAACCAAACTTACACCCTATAGGTAAGTGTAAATCATTAACAATTAATTAAGGTTATCAACTATGGGGTCGTTTGCTTGTTGGACGGAAAATGAGGGTTTTGGCTCAAAAAAACCTTTGGATTTATGAGGGATTTGTACCATCATGGATTTGAAGAGTCTATTGTTTGCATGGTAGATTTGATGATATAAGTATGATGGATTTGCTATAAATATAACTAGCCATCAAGGATTCACAAATCTCACCCCAATATGTGGGATTTATAAGTTCGTGGGGTACACGGATTTGGATCCAAAAAAGGGAATAAATCCGTGGACCCCACAGATTTAACACCTGACAACAAACAATGGACTTGGCTAAAATCCATCATGCTTGGGATTTGAGTCCCAAATCCATTACCCAAATCCATCAAGCAAACGACCCCTATGTTAAGCCAGTTGGTTGGTTGAACAAGTGCGTAGAGGGTTAATGGTCCGACCGCGTTAGCAATGTATATCCCAGATATATAAAAATAAAAAGTTAATATATTTTTCATAGATTTATTAATTATATCAAATCTTATCTAACATATAAGAGCATCCATAATAATGCAATTGCAAGTTCAATTGCATATGAATTTTTTTCACATCAATATTTTTTCAATCCAACTCTGATTGCACCCACATCAATGCAAATCCATTGCAATTACATATGCAATTAAGTATCCTGAAGTTGTGGCTTAAACTGAACATGTCCTACTGTAAGTCTGCAAGGCATGACAACTCATGAAATGTGGCTTGGAAAACCTCATTTATAGTTTCACATTTCAAGGTATTTGGTTGCGCGACCTATTTCTACATTCATGAGTACGTGTCCTACTGCAAGGCATGAAAACTCATGAAATGTGGCCTGGAAAACCTCATTTAGTTTCACATTTCAAGGTATTTCGTTGTGCGGCCTATTTATACATTCCACATCAACAGATAAAGAAGTTGGATGAGAAGAGTGTTAAATGCAATTTTTAGGCATTTATGTTGAGTCAAAAGCATATAAATTATACATTCTGATCTCCAAAATATTGTTATAAGAATGTTGTGTTTGGAGAAAGCAAGGGGTGGCATTGGCAGTCAGAAGTACAACTAGTGTTGACCAAGAGTACAAGGGAAGGAGATGAAGAAGATTAGTATGAATTAGATGCAAATGAAGAGTCTTCTGCTAAGAATTGTGAGTGACTTGTTGACCAATTATAAGGGACAAGTCCGTGGGGTCCACAGACTTTGAGAGACCAAATTCGTGGATCCCACACATTTGAAAATTCCACTTCAGGAGGGGAAATTTGTGCTTGGGTACAAAATAAATGATGACGGTTTACCATTTTATCCTCACTTATATTTTACAAATGACCAACTTGTCCTCTTTCATTTACTAATGACCGACTTGTTGTGCCTACTAATTTTGTATCAATCTTCATTGTCATTCATTACACGAAAGCAGTTGGAAAGTACACTACATGATTAATGAATTTCATTGTTGATTAGAATGTTCAATTATTCCAATTATGGTAGTGTGACGAGGCTATGGAATGTAAATTGGTTTATAGCAAAACTTCGTAAAAATAAGTAAGGTCAATAAGGGCACTAAAGTAAATTTCTAATATAACCACAAATATAACTATGCCAAATATATAATGAAATCCAACAAGCAAACAATGGTTTTGACCAAAAACCAACTGGAGCAATTACATCATATATCCATGGTTTTATAAAACTCAGGTTTTAGATCTATTTTAATCTCTTCAACCGATCGTTCTCTTCATTGATTAATAGACCGACTAAATCCAACACCTCAAACATCAAAGTTTTTGCACCATTTTCCATCCATTTTTTATGTGAGAAGGACAAGAACCCAATGGTTCCTGACGCTGGCCGAGACTTTTTGTCATTGGATATGCCCTAGATTTAGTGAGGAGATTTGTTGGGTTGGTCCAACTCATATGGTGGTTGGATTAACCGGTTTGAGTTTGAGTTTTTGTTGGTTTCTAGAAGATCCTCTATTTTCAAAATAGAGAGTTATTGTCTAGTCAAAAGTGAAAAGAGGAGTCAACCTTTCATTTTTTCAGAGAGAGAATAAAAAAAAGAGAAGAGATTAGGAAAAAGAGAGAATAGAGAAAGAGGTGTAGTTTTTCGTTTCTACAGTAGGGTAGCCTGTTCAAGCGAGCGTTCTGGAAGATTAAACCGTTGGATCGTCCTGAAATTTGGACAGTGGGTTCGCAATTGTCTGAGATTCATTCTGACTGGAGGGATCGCCATTCTGAGGTCTAGTTCGTTGGGAATCGCTGCTGGACAGAAGGTGTAAGAATCTGTTTTTGGGTACCTCTCAACATCTCTTTGCTTTGCTCTTGTTCTTGTTATCCACCATGTTGGTGAGAGCTATTGTGGTTGATTGTTGATCCAAGAAGGCTGTTCTTGAGGTGTTTGTAATCCTCTAGCTAGTCTAGAGAGGACTTGTAATCCCACCAAAGTCTAGTGGAGTTGTGGCTTGGACAAAGGTCCCGTGGTGTTTCCCGATTTGGGTTTTCCACGTAAAAAAGGTGTGTCTTGTGCATTTGATTCTTACTTGTGGTTGCTTCCCCGTTTCTCAACAGTGGTATCAGAGTACTAGGTTGTTTGGTGGTTGTGTATGGTGAATGGCAAGAATGGATGACTCAAGTGGAGCAATGATTAAGTTGACATCATCCAACTACTCTATTTGGAAGCCACGAATGGAGGATATTTTGTTTTGCAAGGATCTCTATGAACTAATTGAAAATTACAGCGAGAAGCCGGAAGACAAGACCGAGAAGCAATAGGAGGTCTTTCATAGAAAGGCGGTGGCAATCATTCGACAATGGATTGACCAAAGCATTTTTCACCATGTTGCAAAAGATACAAGAGCAGATGACTTGTGGCAAAAATTGGAGTTCATGTATGAGAGGCAATCGACTCAAAATAAAGCATCACTCATTCGAAAAGTTGTGCTCTTTAAGTACAAGGATGGGTATAGTGTCTCAGAGCATTTGAGTGACTTTCAAGGGCTTGTGAACCAGCTAACTACTATGAAGTTAGCACTTGATGATGAAGTGCAAGCATTGTTACTTCTCAGTTCTTTGCCGGATAGTTGGGAGACTTTGGTGGTATCACTTAGAAACTCAACACTTAATGGCAAGTTGATGATGGACATTATCAAAGGATAGCATGTTGAATGAAGAGGCAGAGAGAAAAGAGTTGGGGATTACATCGGAGTCACATGCTTTGGTGGCGGATAATTCTGGAAGTCGTGGAAGAAGCAGAAATCGAAATTCCAACTTGAAGAACTCTCAGACTCGAATTAACAGCTGAGGGAGATTAAAAGGGAGATCAATATCAGTGTCAAGACCAAGAGGAGAAATCACATGTTATCATTGATACCAGCCCGGACCCATGAGGAGAGAGTGCATAATTTTGAAACGAGAACAAGCTAGAGGAAAAGGTGTGGAAAACCGAGAAAAAGATGAAACTACTGCTGCTGCCACAGATGGTGATGTGGTCATTGTTTGTGATGCCGGTTTTGTTAACCTTACTTGTCAAGAGAGTTCATGGGTTGTTAACTCGGGTGCCTCATTCCATGTGACCTCACGGGTTGATTTTTTCTCTTCCTACACAAACGGTAACTATGGTTGTGTGAGGATGGGAAATGATGGTGCATCAAAGATTGTTGGCATGGGTGATATTCATCTAGAGACAAACACGGGTTGCAAGCTTGTCTTGAAGGATGTTAGACATGTTCCGGACATGAGGCTGAATTTGATATCCACGGGAAAGATTGATGATGATGGTTATACCAACTATTTTGGAGAAGGAAAATGGAAGCTCTCAAGAGGTTCTCTTGTGGTGGCTAAAGGCAAGAAGGAAAGTACGCTCTACATGACGAATGCAAAGCATAGCAAGGGAGGAATCAATGTTGTTGAGAAAGATTATTTCATTGAGTTTTGACATAAGAGACTCAGTCATTTGAGCGAGAAGGGGCTGCAAATATTGTCTAAGAAACAACTCTTGCCAGGAGCTAAAGGTACTCTTCTTAAAACTTGTGTTCATTGCTTAGCCGGAAAACTCATAGAGTTGCATTTCATAGATTTCCACCTTCTAGAAGGACTAAGGTACTTGATCTAATTCATACCAATGTTTGTATTATGCGAGATAAAACTCTTGGTGGTGCAAGCTATTATGTTACTTTCATCGGTGATCACTCAAGGAAGGTGTGGACATATGCTTTGAAAACGAAGGATCAAGTGCTAGATGTTTTCAAGCAATTTCATGTTGAGTGGAAAGGGAAACCGGGCTCAAGTTGAAGTGTGTAAGGGCTGATAACGGGGGAGAGTATGGAGGTCCATTCGAAAGCTACTGCTGATTGCACGGAATTAAACTGCAGAAAAGTGTACCCAAGACTCCACAACAAAATGGTGTCGCCGACAGGATGAATAGAACAATTTGTGAGAGAATCAAGTGTATGCTCGCACATGCCAAGCTACCTAAATCATTTTTGGGAGAAGCAATGCCGACAACCATTGATCTAATCAACCTCTCACCATCGGTCCAATTGGAGGGTGATGTGCCTCAACGAGTATGGACGGGAAAGGAAGTCCATATGAACACTTGCGAGTGTTTGGTTGCAAAGCCTATGTTCATGTTCCAAAAGATGAGAGAGCAAAACTTGATGACAAAGCAAAGATATGTATATTCATGGGCTATGGGCGTGAAGAGTTCGGGTATAGATTATGGGATCCAATTGCAAGGAAAATTATTTGGAGCCGGGATGTGATTCTTCTTGAAGATGAGACAAGTGAAGATGTCGAAAGGGGTGAAAAGAAGAAAAATACAGCAGCTGGTCCGGTTAATTTGGAGCCTATATCTCCATCTCAAATGCATGAAAATATTGAGGAAGTAGTCCATGATGAGCCCCAAGGTGCACTAGATCAAGAAGTGAAAGAAGAAGAGCAATTGGAGCAAGAAGAACAAGTTGAAGAAGAGCAACCTCTACCTAAACAAGAAAGTCAACAAGAAATCGCAAAACTTCCACTCGGTACTCCCCCCACGAGTACCTATTGTTGACTGACGGGGAAGAACCTGAATACTATCAAGAAGCCATGTCTCATGAAGACAAGGAGGAGTGGAACAAAGAAATGCAAGAAGAGATGAAGTCTTTTCAAGAGAATCACACCTATGATTTGGTGAAGCTACCCAAAGGAAAAAGATCACTTAAGAACAAGTGGTTTTACAAGTTAAAGACAGAGGAAACTAGTTCAAAGACTCGGTTTAGGGCGCGACTAGTTGTGAAGGGCTTCAACCAAAAGAAAGGTGTTGACTTTGAAGAAAATTTCTCTCCTATGGTGAAGTTGTCCTCTATTCGAGTTGTGCTTGGATTGGCAGCAAGTTTGGACTTAGAAGTTGAACAACTCGATGTGAAGACGGCGTTTCTTCATGGTGACTTAGAGGAAGAAATATACTTGGATCAGCCGGAAGGGTTTGAGGTTAAAGGCAAAGAAGATCTTGTATGCTGATTGAGAAAGAGCTTATATGGGTTGAAGCAAGCAGCAAAGCAATGGTACAAGAAATTTGACTCATTTATGGTCAACCACAGGTATGCTAGAACTACCTCCGATCATTGTGTGTTTGTGAAATACTTTTCTGAAAATGATTTCATCATTCTGCTGCTTTACGTGGATGACATGTTGATCGTGGGTCGTAATGTTAGAGAGATTGATAGATTGAAAAAGGAGTTGAGTAAATCTTTGCCATGAAGGACTTAGGACAAGCGAAACGAATTCTAGGGATGAGAATCTCTAGGGATCGAAGGAATGGAAAAATTTGGTTGTCTCAAGAAAGGTATATTGAAAGAGTTCTTGAGCGGTTCAACGTGAGCAAGGCTAAGGCGGTTAGTACTCTACTTGGAGGACATTTCATATTGAGTTCAAAGCATTGTCCTACAAGTGAGGAAGAGAAAGAAGCAATGAAGAATGTGCCTTATGCATCAGCTGTTGGGAGCTTGATGTATGCTATGGTTTGCACAAGGCCAGATATTGCTCATGTCGTTGGGATTGTCAGTCGGTTTCTTTCCAATACGGGGAAAAAACATTGAACAACAGTGAAGTGGATTCTTCGCTACTTGAGAGGTACTTCTAGAGTGTGACTATGCTTTGGTAATGGCAAGACCATACTTGATGGATATACCGATGCTAACATGACAGGTGATGTGGACTCTAGAAAATTGACTTCTGGATACATGATGACTTTTGCAGGTGCTGCAGTTTCATGGCAATCTAAACTGCAAAAATGTGTTGCATTATCAACAACATAAGCCGAGTACATAGCTGTGACATAAGCTTGCAAAGAGATGCTATGGTTGAAGAAGTTTCTTCAAGAGTTGGGCATCAAACAAGAGAGGTATGTGCTCTATTGTGATAGTCAAAGTGCCATATATCTTTGCAAGAATTCTACTTTCCATTCAAGGTCGAAACACATAGATGTTCGATATCATTGGATTCGTGATGTTTTGGAAGAACATATCTTCTGTCGAGATGAAGCAGGTTTGGTGCTACCCCCCATATGAGCTGGAGGGGGAGATTTGTTGGGTTGGTCCAACTCATATGGTGGTTGCATTAACCGGTTTGAGTTTGCGTTTTGGTTGGTTTCTAGAAGATCCTCTATTTTCAAAATAAAGAATTATTGTTTGGTCAAAAGTGATAAGAGGAGTCAACCTTTCATTTTTCCAGAGAGAGAATAAAAAAAAGGAGAAGAGATTAGGAAAAAGAGAGAAGAGAGAAAGAGTTGCAGTTTTTCGTTTCTGCAGCAGGGCAACCTGTTCAAGTGAGCGTTCTGGAAGATTGAATCGTTGGATCTTTCTGAAATTTGGACAGTGGGTTCGCAATTTTCTGGGCTTCATTCTAAATAGAGGGATTGTCATTCTGAGGTCTAGTTCGTTGGGAATCGCTTCTGGGAAGAAGGTGTACGAATATGTTTTTGGGTACCTCTCAACCTCTCTTTGCCTTGCTCTTGTTCTTGTTATCCACCATGTTGGTGAGAGCTATTGTGGTTGATTGTTGATCAAAGAAGGTTGTTCTTGAAGTGTTTGTAATCCTCTAGCTAGTCCAGAGAGGACTTGTAATCCCACCAAAGTCTAGTGGAGTTGTGGCTTGGACAAAGGTCCTGTGGTTTTTCCTGATTTGGGTTTTCCACGTAAAAATTGTGTGTCTTGTGCATTTGATTCTTGCTTGTGGTTGCTGCCCCGTTTCTCAACAGAGATTTCAGATGGAGGAATGCAAAGTTTAAATGGATTGCTTGCTATCCGTACAACAATGCAGGAGGGAAAGTTGGAGAATACAGATGAGGGACGCATGTCAGGAGATCAGAGAAATCTCTAGGACCGTAGGGCGGATGATATTGTTGTTTTCAAGGTCGAAAACAGTAATAAGAAAACACATACTCCGTGTAATTAGTCTGACACCCACATGCCTTCAATTTTTGTTATCCCTGAGGGTATTCCCAGTTACTCGTTCTAACTACAACATCCTGATCAACGACCAAATATAACCGCTGACCGAGTGCAACATAGGGCAAGCAAGTAATAAGCATTTATCGTACCACGGGGATCTAGGCTTACCCTACTTCAGGTTTATTGAAGATAAAGTAGTGTGGAGATGATGATGGTTTTTTCATGGCAGGACAATCACAAGCAAGTCCAAAAGAAAATTTGCAGGAATTTCTAACAGTAAAGAGTAAACTGAAGTGTCATTGATTAATTTTTTTTAGGAACCAGTTCCCTTACATGAGTTATGTTTTTTATTTTGATAGAAACTTTTTTCCATGAATGATCAAGGTGTTGGAAAACTTATGATATGTTCATTTTTATATTTTCAGTAACAAATTAATTTGAATTTCAATAACTTGGTCGAGACAATTACAACTATTATTTATATCTTTGATATAATTCATCCGACCTACGAGCGATCCCAAATCTAGTTATGATAATATGATTGAATTTGACCCTACTTAAAAGAACAATGTATATTTAATTGAATTTGAGTTATATTTAAATTCATGTAAATTTGATTGTGAGTGAGTAGATTTTTATTGAAATCTGCTTAACCAGATCAAATGGTCATATAGAATTGGCCTATAATAAAAATGTTCACTATACATTTAAAACGCAATAAAATGATTATTTATAACCATGATACATGTATGACTTTTTATTATAATTTGTGAAAGTAAAATTTTTGATAAATTATGGCCTATTCACCAATTCTTTTTTACAAAATTGACTTTAGTGGCCTTATTTATTTTGGACCGATGAAGCCCATAACGAGGTCATGTTTCGGGCTCGTGGGAGCACAGCCCAAATCAATCGTTAAAAAGGCCCTAGGGTTTTGCACTATATATAATCCTAATCCTCAACTAAACCCACTTCTCTTCGCACTTCGCAGAACGAGTAATATCGCAGCCGTCCTCGTCTTCACTCCCGCTGCCGCCATGGTAAGCTCTCCCTATCTTCTCCTTCTGTCTGATCTCTGCATTCCTCCACCGAGACTCATGTTTCTCTAATTCCTCGGTGTTTGCGTTTGTGGTTTCAGGTGAAGTACTCGAAAGAGCCCGAGAACCCGACCAAGTGTAAGTTCACAGCACGCCCTTAGGGTTTTTTTTTCCTTCTGAATGGAAGTCTTTTCTATTCTCGTTTGCAGGGTAAGAATGGCTTTGACGGTTCGTTTATCTGTCTTTTGTTTTTGTGTTTGCAGCTTGCAAGGCTAGGGGTTCTGATCTCCGTGTTCATTTCAAGGTGTGTTTGCGATCTGAAATTTCTTTGTTTCTGAACCGAAACCATTTCCTTAGCGTTGGTTTTGAGACGAAGCTCGTTGTTTTGTTTACACTGGTTAGACGGAATGCAAGATTCATGTTTTAGGGTTTTGTTAGGATGAACACTCATTTGCATACCTGGATTTGGTTGAATCATTCTTTAAAGAGCTATATTTCCCAATAGAAATCTCTATATAAAGACGTTGTCTATCTAGTTGGAATAGATTAGTCTGCAATTACCTTCTTTAGAGTTTTTCTGCTGTTTAAGGATGTGGGTTACAATATTTAGGTTACGGTGTTGAATCAAAACCTTGAGCTTGTTTGTTTGCCTTTGTGGACTTTTGCTGATTTCGTAGGGAAACCTTGGCATTCACTTCATTCATGGGGCAGTAGCTTTTCTTAGTTTGAAGCATATATGTACTCAAATTTAGTACATGATGTTGTATCATAGTCCTTTGTCTTTGTGGGTCTTTTAAGATGCGACATGTTAATTTCATGTTATTAATGGTGTTGCAATGTTTTAATTGAATAGAACACAAGGGAGACAGCGTTTTCCATCAGGAAGTTGTCATTGGTGAAGGCCAAAAGTTACTTGGAGGATGTCATTGCCCACAAGCAGGCAATTCCTTTCAGGAGATTTTGCCGTGGTGTTGGCCGAACTGCTCAGGCTAAGAACAGGGGGCACCCCAATGGACAGGGTCGTTGGCCCGCTAAGTCTGCTAAGTTTGTCCTTGATTTGTTGAAGAATGCAGAGAGCAACGCCGAGGTATGTTAATGTCAGGCATGGGCAAGATATACCTTGCCTTGGTTAGTTTTCTGGTTTCTGCTTATAATCAAAAAATCAAAATACAATTCTATTAGAGAAGCATAGCCACTTATTCATGCAATAATCAACCAACAGAATACTACCTATGGGGAATAATCTGTTTACTTCTCCTCTCCTGACTGTTTGGTTACTTAATGCGATATTCTTCTGCAATTTTGCAGGTTAAAGGTTTGGATGTGGATGCTCTGTACATTTCGCATATTCAGGTGAATCAGGCTCAGAAGCAAAGACGTCGTACCTACCGTGCACATGGAAGAATCAACCGTATGTTTTTATTACTTTTCCCTTCCTTTTGCCAGCCCTTCTCTCATTTTGTTATTGTCTGATGTTTTAATCTCTCTTTTCATTTCATTTTGCAGCTTATATGTCCAGTCCTTGCCACATTGAGCTCACTTTGTCCGAGAAGGAAGAACCTGTCAAGAAAGAGGTAATATAGTTTTATCTTCCCCTCGATTGCATGCTGAAGATGGTCAAAATTGCCTAATCTTCCGTTGCTATTCTGTGTTCTCGTTTGTTTATACCCTGTTATTTGCTATTGCAGCCCGAGACTCAGGTGGCAACTACCGGCAAATCAAGGAAGTCCCAGGCTTTGCGAAGTGGTGCATCTTCTTAAGCTTGTTCCTACCATCCTGTGTTGTTTATCATTTCGGAGAGTTTTGGTTTTGTCCCATCTATTATAGAGCTGGGAGAAGTTTTATTTAGAAGGAAGCGAATCGAACTTGATGAATTCTTTGGATCTTTGTCAATCCCCCTTTTATTGTTCTATCAGTAATTTTGTCGCCAATATCGTTGTTTTGCCTGCCCTCTACCAAGTTATGTTTTGCCAATCTAAATGAGTGCTCGTCTCAATTGCGTAGCTGGAATGAAGCTTCTAGCATGTCATGCTTCTCTTGTCACTTGGGAGATGTTACTTGACTTTTAGTCTTTAGCTCGTTATTTTCGACAACTTAATGAGATGGAAGATGAATTCGTCCCCGGAGTTCTTCATTTTTTTTACTTTTGTGTGTATGTTGAAACCCCTAAGGTCTAACAATGCGACGCTAGTTGTAACTTGTAAGGTGTGGTCTTCTTCCTAATCGGTAGTTTAATGCAGTTCAATGAAATTAGTTGAAGTTAGTTTAAGGTGGAAGCTGGAATATCTAAGTATATCCCAACTCAAGTGTTTAACATGAATAGGTATTGTAAAAATTTTTAAAATTATACAGAAGTTTATGTTAGATAAGTACAGTATTGTATTTTGTGTTTCGATCGTGGTTCAACGGCATGAATAAAATTGTCTATTGGTATGCACTCTGATAGACAGTTTTTTGTTCGAATCGACGATATGGTGTCCCTGACGAACCTATCAGTACCACCAATCATCTACCATGGGCCCATGACCAATCTGGCCCACTAAGAAGAAATCTCACGGGCCATGATCCAACTTTCTCCGTTCGGCGTTTGCCTTTCGCGAATATATGCCGATTTTTCATTTATTGTATCTATTTTCCCAGAGGCCAGGGAGAAAAAAGAAGAATAGATCACCGGAAGACTATCCCAAGACAGCCCCCGACTTCTCTATTCCCATTCTCATCGCTCTCTCTCTCTGACAGCCGCCGTTACTCACAGTTTCTCTACCCCCGCCGATCTGTTCTCTCCTTTCACGGTGAGTTTAGGTCTCCCGCCATTATCTCCGTTTACTCGGTCACCAATTTCTCTTCCTAATTCCATTCTACCCGGATTTTAATCCCTAGAAATCCACGACGATACTGTGTATCTACCTCTCGATTTTTGGCCTTCTTTTTTTCCCCCTCATTGTTTCTGGCTTGGGAATTTCGATCTTGCAGATGGACTGGCAGGGGCAGAAGGTAGCCGAGCAGCTGATGCAGCTCCTGTTGCTGGCTTCCGCCGTGATGGCGTTCGTCACCGGTTACATCATGGGATCGTTCCAGACCATGATCTTGATCTACGCCGGCGGGGTTGTTCTCACCGCCTTGATCGTCGTCCCCAACTGGCCTTGCTTCAATCGCCACCCTCTCCGCTGGCTGGATCCCCTCGAAGCCGAGAAGCACCCAAAGCCGCCGCCGCCGCCGCCCGTCGCTTCCAAGAAGAGCAAGGCCAAGAAGTAGGGTTTCTGAAATTTTCTGCTTCGTACTAGGATTCTCTGCTAGTGGGGAGTTATGAATCGATGGGTTTAATAGAGACTAGAACAGAGTATTTGTCTGGGGGAATTTGCCGTGAACTTTTCTACAGATTCCAGCTTTGCAAACACAAAAAAGAATCACAAGAATAGCTTTTGAGTAGGTATGTGCTTTCACAGCTTTCTGATTTCTGGGTTGTTTGCCTAGGCTAGATTAATCATCTAGGAGGTTGGTTCTTTCAATTTCTTTTACGATGATGGCAAATTCGATACGAAAGGAATTGGTTTTTGAAGTTAGTTTTCATCAACTCCACTGATAATCTGTGGTGATCTGGTGATGAATTCGCTAGGTGATGGTATATATCAATTCTACAGCTACGACCAAATCGGGTTTGGGATCGAGTTGAGTACGAATTCGCTACAGAGTGATTGCATTTGATCCGACTCCACTCTACTGTTAAAGCCAGCCTCTTGGATCAAGAGTGCACAGTTTGCAGGCAGCACGACGGATTGATCTTCTATTGAGATTGCCTTCTGTGTTTCCTAGGCTCCAGTCTAGGGTCTGCTTGCTTCTTACCCACATTCCCAATCTTGAATCTAAGCAATAACGTAGGATAGTTGTAAACCAATGCAAGACCCATTCAAAGGCTGTGGAGAATGTGCACCAAACATCAATGATAAAATGGATACCGCGCCCAATGCGTTATAAACCAATGCAGAAAATCGATCATTTCTCTGTCCTATTGCTTCTCAGCATATCTCTAATCTGCTAAAGTTTGAGAGAGTAACGAATAAGGGATTGGTCTAGTGGTAATACTACTAGCCTTGAACCTGGAGGTTCAAATCCTTTCGGTAGTACCTAATTAAAAAAAAACCTATATCACCCTTATCTAAATTTTTTTTTTTGAGAGAGTAAACATTCCAATAACAAACTTCACCATCTCAAAACACTTGGAGCACTAGATCTGTACATATCAATCTGATGGTTAAAAAGTGGGAATGACTATTTAATTAATGACAGGGGTAGTTTGGGTATTATGGAAAATTACGAAGTATACAAACCGGACTTACAATCAGTACAAATCATACAAACATACGAACAGTACAAACTAGAGCGACAAAACATACAAACAAATTTACAAACATTACAAACATATGAACTGTACAAAAAATACAAACTAGACCGACAAACAATACAAACCATACAAAAAGAAAAAACAACCAGATTGACTTTGGAGGCTCCATCCCTATATAGAGGGGCTCCTTCCCAAAGTCAACCCGGGTGTTTTTTAGACATACAAACAGTACGAACATGGTGGACAAAAATGAAAAACTAGACCGACAATCCATACGAACTGGAAAAAACACCCGGGTTGACTTTGGAGGCTCCATCCCTATATAGAGGAGTTCCATCCAAAAGTCAACCAGGTTGTTTTTTAGACATAAAAAACATTACAAACATGGCTGACAAAAATGATAAACATGGTGCACAAAAATAACAAAGTTTACAAACATTACAAAAAAAACCGACAAACATTTCAAAATAACAAAGCGTACAAACATTACAAAATAAACCGACAAACAGTACAAAGCAATACCAACCATACAAAATGTCACTAAAAATGACGAATAATACAAACCGAATCTATACAAACATTACAAAACAGGTCAGCAAACATCACAAATCCAACACTGTCGCCGGAAAATTTCATCCGGTCGCCGGAAAACTCTCTCTCTCTCAATGGACTCTGGGAGGAGCAAAAAAGAACAATGGCGCACAAAGGAATAGTTGGCCCTCAATTAACTCTAACTCCAAGTAGTAATCTCCGAACTCCCCCCCCCCCCCTCCCGGCCGACGAATTCGAATTTTCCGCCGCCAAATACCTATAGGGAGTAGCCGGTAGCCTGGCCGCGAATTCGTTGAGAGCCAGCTAGCCCTCCCGACGGTGAGCATCGTCCTCGAATTTCAACGAGTATCTCTCCGGATCGTACTTGAATTCCTCGGACCTGTAGCCCCTCCGATTCCGCCCGATTACGAGCCCTCGACGACACTAGGCCTGGATCTCGAGGTCGTGGATGTTAATCTAGCTGGATATCACTGCCACCGCGGGCTTGGATTTGGAGTACTCGGAAAAATGATGGTCGGCGGGGTAGAACGCCGGCGCCGGAAAATTATGGCTGGTGGAGAACGTCGCCGGAAGCGGAGGGGGTGAGAATGGGTGAGAGTTTTTGAAATTATTTAATAATTAAAAGTAAAAATAAACATGCAATTACTACATTGCCCTTTATAAAATTGGATTAATAGGAGCCCTTGAATTTTAATGAAGTTGAGTGGCTGGGATTCACTTAGCCATGTAACTAAGAGGACCCCCTTAGTCACCTGATCTCAGCCCATGGATAAAGGCACCAGCAAATCATTGACATTAGCCACTGGAGGATCCAGAAACTTAGCAAAATGTTGGATAATTATGTTATCTATTATAATTAGTAAAATGTTGGTGGAATTCATTTTGAAATTTCTATCTCAATTATTTGAAATTATACCCGGCTATGAGTCGTTATTTTGATTTTCAGGCCTGGCTGATTCCAGCGTGTAACTATCTATATTTTGATTTAATGCAAGATTATCTTTTGTAAAAAAAAAAATCTAATTTCGTAGAATTCAAAATTTAGAATCAATAATAAATCATTTTAAATACCAAACATAAAAAAATTTATATCAAACTGAATGCAATAAAAAAGTACAAAATGCTATTAACTGAAAAATACATGGCAATCTAGTAACTTTTTGCCGCCAGCTGAGTTAGCTCTTTCTCCATTATATTTTTCTTGCCCTCTTTCCCGGCGACGAAGGGAGATCTAACTTGGACTCCACGAGAAAGGAAGAGAAGAAGTTGCGCCGCCGCCCTACCTCCTCCATCCGCCACCTATTGAGCCGCCGGATTAAAGGAATTCGCAGTTTCCCCTTGGGTAAGTCCACTCGAATCTCTCTCCTTCTATATTTCCTTAACTGGTACTCCCAAATTTAATCTGCACCCCGGCGAAAACCTAGCCTCCTTAGCTCCGTATCCCAGTTGCTCACTGATCTGGTAGCTATACCGAGAGCTTGAAGATCGAGGAAAAAATCAGTTTCTTAGCTCTGGCGGTTTCTCAATGGAGCTTTGTTTCCCCCCTCTGCAGATTTGAATCTTGCGATTCCGTCAGCTGCAGCAGAACAAAGCTATGGTATAACAAAATTTTTGCATGTCTGAGTTCTTCCGTTGACTCGAGTTCCGTTTTCAATTTCTCTCCGTCGATTTCTCTTTGGTGCGTTTCTTTCCGCAGTCGGCGCTCTTCAACTTCCATTCGTTTCTCACCGTTGTGCTGTTGGTGATTTGTACTTGCACTTACGTGAAGATGCACTTCCCAGCCATACTCGAACACAAAACAGGGTTCGTGCTTGCTGTTACCCTCTACATTCTGCGATTGATTCTGCAGAAGCCTTAATCAAGGTTTTGATCACCACTGTGTTTTGTTGTAAACTACAGGTTTCGTGGTTTCTTCTGGAAGGCAGCAAGAATAGGTCAGTCTAGCTACCCGGGTCATTTTGGTTTCTTTTGCTTTGTTCGTTTTTCGGAATTTATTCTGCGCCATAGCTTGTTTGTAGTCAGGTCATCAGTTGAGTATAGAACATTTGAGTGGTATGGGTTGATTAGCAACGCGTGATGCCTCTAGCATTTGGTGTGGAGTGAAAGCTCTGTAGGAATTAGAAAGTATGTCGGTTGCTTTGGATTACTCGGGTCAGGGAAATGCTTCAGTATAGCTGTCAAGGTTAGGCTTGAAATGAACACAAGCTTCGATTTTAGGATTTAATCATCTCAATGATCATTGCTGACTACAATCGCGCTTAGTGGGAGCTTACCCTAACAGGAAAACATGCATCTGACTATTTTTATTGCTGAATGCTTTCACATAATTTCCAATCCGTTTTAGCGTGTTTCATGCTATGGGCATGCGGTCTAAATGTGGTTGTCTCCCCTGGAAACGATTGATTATCATAAGCATCAGATAAGCTGTTTTGCTAATTTAAGTAACTGCTTTAGCTTAAAAGGTCTTGGTGCTCTGGAACTTGCCGATCTACTTGCTCAGTTACAGTTTGATTTCAGAACTTGACTCTTCGCTTTGTGGTTGCTAAACTAGGTGAACGTCTGAGTCCTTGGATGGCAGCAGGATGCTTTGGGATGGGTCTTTCAATCATATTTTTTTGAGCAATGAACTTTGGGCCTTTGTATTCAGAAGTACGTCAACCTTTCCAGCTGAGTAATTTTAACCTCTACTGCTCGAGAACCACTTACAGTCTTACAGATGTATCCATACATGGTCTAGTAATGTGTTACATTACAGGATTGAAAGCTGTTTTCCATTCATCTGATCTCTAGATTAGATACTATCATACTACTAAAGCTTTTTTTTTTTTTTAGTGTGTTAGGGATTTTGTTTTTCGGCAGCTCCTGAGACTTAGTTTGCTCTTAAAGAACTGAATTAAGAAAATCCAACTCATTAGACAGTCTGTCAAGTGAGGCGAAAGTCATGTCTTTGTTTCTCCTATCCCCCTCCTGCATAAACTAAGCAGATCAAGTTGGGTTTCTTTTGTTAAACTGAGGTAGAAATCATAGGGGAGTGATCATTCGATTTCTCGAGGCGATTTATGTTATTGCTCCTTGTCAGCCACTGCGTTAATGTTTCATGCAACTTCAGTTCTCACATTTGTTGTGAATTATTATCTTAATACATTCAGAATAACACATAGGTTTCAGAAACATCGGAAAACAAAATGATGGCAGAAAAGGCAGAGAGTGATATTTCAGCTGACTATGTATAAATAGGCACTCCGATTCTCTTTGAATCCACGATCATAGAATCCAAGCACATACATTATTAGCTGCCTCCCCTTGTATGTGTGGCTCAAGTAGAGTTTCTTACTGAAGAAGAATGGAGATCAGATTGAAATTAGGACCCCATAAGTCTTCTTTGTTTAGCCACCAGGGATACAACTCACGGCGTACACCGTGACCTTGTGCTTGAATCTTCTCAGAACCAGAACCCTAGCTTCTCCCCACTGAAAAACAGACAGTATCATCTTCTTCATAGGTTTCTTCTGGTCGTTCTTGTTAGCTGACATGCTTATGTTGTCATCACTTTTATCGTCGGCTTCCCAGTGAAGTGGATAGCTCCTCAGAAACACCCTCCTGTAGCTGTGGTCCTCATCCCGAAAGCTCTTCGTTCTCACCGTAGTTTCTTGCATAGCTTTGCTGCTCTCAATGTTTTCTGTAAGAGGATGATCTATGAACCGTTTGAGAATTGGTGGGGGGGTTTTATTTAGGGCTTTTTTCAGAAGAGAGGAAGAGTCAGTGGCAAATATATTACAGCTAATGTTGGAAGGATATTACTAAGTAGGGAGGGGCATAGTGTTGTCTTTTGTATTCCCTAGAAATCATCGTAGGTTTGTTATAGTCTAGTTACAGAAACGGTCATTGAACTTTGGAGCAACTAACAAAATGGTCATTCAACTTTGGTCTTCAATGAATTTAACAACCGTAGCAATAATCTTTTTTTTTTTAACAAAAGATCATCACATATATATTGATTAGACAAAAAGATCATTACACCCTGAGCCAAGCCAGAAATTCAAAAAAGCGACACGTAGACGAGTACAAAGAAAGGGCCTTTCCAGCCACCAAATGGGCTACCCTATTGTTCCTCCGACCTACAAATCACACACAAAACTGACTACCCAGCGTCAGGAGACCTGCAACTTCTTCAAGGATTACCCCCATGCAACTATCCCTGGTATCCATGCCATTAATCTTATCAATTATCACCTTCGCGTCACCAGCAAAGCACACCTCCGATAGGCCACGATCCAGATACCATCTGACAGCCTCCCTAAGAACCAGTAATTCAACTATCATTGGGTCATAAATGCCCGGGAACTGAACCTCTCTGGAGGAGAGGATGTGACCACCCTGATCCAAGATAACCATACCCCCTGCAGAGTGGGACCCGCATCTAGTCGCCCCATCCCACATACATAATGTGGTAGTGGGAAGCTGAATCGCCTGAGAAGGGTGAACAGACACCCGCACACTAGGGTCAGACGGAAGGTTGATTCATTCCTGGTACTGTTGATTAAACTGACGCATCAGACTTGGGATCCCATACCGGTTGCCCTCAAAGACGACCCAGTTTCGGGACTTCCAAATTCGTCAAAGAAGAGCTGTCACCGCCATCAACATGTGAGGCTGGTTGATTAGCAACATTAGTTTCTTGAGGAATAAAGGAAAAGTCGCACGAGGCAGCCCCTAGCCCAAAAAGTCAAGCCCAGAAAGATCCCATAATGCACGAGCCTCTTCTGGCTGGGTTAGTGACGCTCTGGTTCGCGTACAGAACTCGACGAGCCTGCTTGCTTACCAGACTTGGGTGAGTTGCGATGCTGATTTTGGTATCATAGACGAAAAATCAAGCGAATATGATAACCTTTGTGCGTGTTAATGTCGATTAGTTTTTATTTCAAACAACGAGTGATCGATTTGTTAATTACCTCAAAGTTGAATGACTGTTACAATACGAGATAATCCAAATTATCATATGATTGGTAGATTTGAAGCTGACAGGGCTTCTGCCAGTGTGAAACAGCAAGCTAACACTCTAGCATAACTGTCTGTTTTCTGCCTCCGTTTGGCGGCAACCATATGGAATCCCTGTGGTTCGGCTCTTTTTATAAGCCTTTTTGACATTAGCCACAACCTTGTCATATTCTGCTCACACTAGGCATTATCTTGTATTTCTAAAGGAAAACCGAGGTCTTAGGATAACTTACAAGAGCTAACAGCCACGAAAGAGAGAAGAATTAATAATATGTTGAGATGGTCACCAGCAGTGGAGCTTTAAAATACAAAAACATCTAAGTTGCTGGAATATACAAAACTTCTCGTAGAAATCAATGACAAGGATGGAGGGAGGCACGCCAACTGGATCATCGAATCAGATTAGGTTGAAACAATGTGTAATTTTGCTCCAGTTTGTTTGTAAATTCGATAAGTTTTTTTTCCAATTCCGTTCATTTACTAGAGAACAAAGATGATCGGATCGAGACTATTTAAATGTGTTTTTTTCCCTTGTTTCGGTCTTGACATTTTCCTTAGGTTTTTCGTCAATTCTATACTAATTGTGAATCGAATCAATCCGTGTGTCCTTCGGTTGGAGGGTATGATATAAGGTAAATGATCACTTCAAAGTTTCTGAAAAGGTCTTTCTATAAGTTATAACTATTGGAATCTAGTTTTTATATATATATATATATATATATATATATATATATATATATATATATATATATATATGGTGGCTACTTCGGTGCACTCACTTTTTTGGGTGCATTCAGTGCACCCACCTTTAAAAGTGGTCATAATACATCAAATTTTGAAATTTAATGGGTAGCATTAGTCTCATATGATGATATAACACAGAATCACTACTAATCAACCCACTACCCTAACCTATTAACATTCAATTTTGAATCTAAACCCAAAATCCCAAATTGTAAACCCTAACCCTAACCCTAAATTCCTAAACCCTGAATCATTCAAATTAAAGTGAATCTTAAATGATTTTTGTACAAATTCATGTGGTTCTTGTTCATCATACTACAAGGGATGATTGACATCGTTTTCACATGAATCGTCTGCTCAGAATGACGATTATGAGGCGGGTGCATTGAATGCACCCAAAAAAGTGAGTGCACCGAAGACATAACCATATATATATATATATATAGGCTATTGGAATCTAGTTTGATATCAAATCAAAGGTAATGTAACACTTTAGGTAAATCCCACATCAACAAAGCACGAGAGAGATCCATGGTTCATAATTAGGAAACCACCTTAATTGAAAAGACGTGTTTTGGGGTGAAATGGAGGAGTTCTTACTTATGAGAACTCCGAAGTTAAACGTGCTCAGTGTGTTGTACAACAAGAATGGGCGATCTTATAGGAAATTATCTTCAACTACACCCAAGTCAAAAACCGTGAGGTTTGCGAGTTTGACCCTAAACGAACAATATCCGTGTCGGGAAAAGGTATAAAATGTTATAAGTAGCAAATCTTGGAAACAATTTTTTTTTTTTTTACACATAACGGGTCTCTCATTGACTCAATAATATGGCTTTTGATAAAAACCTTCATGCAACTATAAGTCTATAATTAATGAGTCTACGGATTTATGGAGCAGACAGCCATTGGCAAGCTTTCATAAGCACAGTACCCCTTCTTCAACATGTTCAGACCGAAGCGCAAGCAGTCCAAGAGAGTCCATGTCCAAGCCCATGTTCGCCGATCCAGGAACCGCGACGGCGAGCAAGAAATCAGCCGTTAAAGCCTCCTGCATTCTGCTGGTCCGGAGCCTCAGCTGCGGCGGCGGTGGTGGCAATGTTGCTGACGGTGGCAAGAAGAAGCGCAGCCGTCGCCACGACTTGAAGCAGTAATATGTAAGATGCATACAAGAAACGAAACCATATATAGTCAGTGTAAGAAAGAAAGAAACAAATATTGTTCATTTGCTTTGCTTGTGATATCGATTTTGGGCTTTCGTCAATTTGCTTTTCTTTTTAATGGTATGAACTATGAAGCGTTTGATTCATAAGTTTGGCTATGTTCGTTTGATTTGCAATAATATATCGGTCACCTTTTGTAGTAGTGTTGGGGATCAAGGTTGTCGGACCGGGTTATACCTTTGCGCCGCTTTGCCAAGTGTAATGGTTTGACTGCTGCTACAATCGGGTTGTATCAGTTCATGCCGATTTAACAAAATATATAAAAATTTGAAAACGTTTAACATCCAATGAATTTAATCATATATTAAATATATTTAGGATAATTACTTACAATCCAACAAATATTATCAACGTTAACTTTTAAATTAATAAAATCAATAATTTTTTTAATTAAATTCGACGTCATTTTGTTTAGAATTCATAAGTCAATCATGCCGATCATATCAGTAGTGTTCTGCCAGTTTTATGACCAACATCGATTGAACCTGGTTGGCATGACAACATTTTAGTATCACCAAATTTGATAAAAATTAACTCGATAACTAGGTTCAACCGACCAACATAACAACCATTTTGGGTGCACCAAATTTGATAAAAATTAATTTGATAACTAGGCTCTAGGGTATCTCCCAACGCTAGCTAGCTAACTCTAATTTGCATTATACTCTTTAAAGTGATTGGATTGAGAGGATGATTTATAAGGTAAAGATGGTAAAACATATTTTTTTATGAACATGGTTCTCTATTTTTTCATATATATTTTTCCGTAAGAAATTATTTTTGATTTTAAAGTTCCAACCAATGATATGCTAGATGTCTGATAAAAAAAAATGATACGCTAGATATTGTTCTGCTTGATCGAGTCCAAAAAGTGTGCAAAGATACTGTTTTCAGGTTGTCAGAGTCCATAACCAGACCTGCCAGACTTCTTGCAGGCTGCAGCTTATGAAGATGAAGCAGGAAGTGCAAAGTTGGCATGTTGCTGCAAGTGAAGGCTGCACAAGATGAAATGCGTATCGGACTCGAATACGATTCGCCATATGGGAAGTATTTCGAGCATTCGTCCAAAATGCACATTCTCATTTATTTGATAAGGTAAACTCTATGCGAAAACTCTATAGCCGTCAGGCGTCAGCCCAGATCAACAGCATAATGAATGAGTAAAAATCAGACTCCGGTCATTCTAAATAACCAATGTGAAAGAGACACAAAATGTCAACCATTGTAAAAGAGTTGGACTGGAAGCATCTGAGTTCTTTGGGATGCTAACCCTATGGCTTTCTTTTGATACCATCACACTTCACATATGTAGCTACGATGAGGTCGATTTTTAGCCAAATCCGGTGCCAAATAACAATGGTGTCATAGTTCTTTTAGAATATTTCATACCAAAGAAGGTTTTTGAACAACATAAAAGGAATATGTTACCTGCAAACCTCTGCCAAACCATATCTCTTGGTTAGAGCCAACAGGTAAAGTAGCCGCAACAAAGAGTCAAGAATAATCGTATTGCCATCTTCATCTCCCTCGGTCATGGTCTCCGCTTAACCATCGCCCATTTCGGTGTCCTCGACCATCATAATTTCGATGTCTCTGATGTCTCGCTTCAGCACATTCCCAAGCCTTCCGATAGCCTCTGTCTGCTGTTGTAAGACCTGTGCAAATTTCGAAGCAATTGGGCCCGAAAAGGGACTGGATTAAATGTGTGTTTACAGCGAGATGATGAGATCACAACCTTAATTGCATCACTTACTTCTTGCATATCGACTAGACTTTGGTCGTCAATCTTCGTTGAGCCAGGGAGATAAGCAGAAGCTCCTGGACCAATTCCATTTGCTTGCGCACGAGAGACAGTGAGTAAGCTTTGGATCCTCCTGCCGAGTTCTGCTCCAGGACCTTTCAGCTGAGATTCCAAGTTCTTAATGGCAATTCTCATATGTGGTGAAATAATACAACGAGAACGTGATGCGGTCAGTAAATATACCTGTCTAATTGTAGAAGCTAGCTTCTCTGCCAACTCTGCTTCCCCTTTTGTTAGTGGCAATCGGCAACCCTTGCTCTCCAAAGCTTCAAGTATCCGCATTGTCTGGCAAATGCAAGTGAAGAAGCTACTATGAGAATGGAGTTAACTATAATACAATGTAATGACAAAAGTGCAAACTTGAAAGTGATCCTAATTCCTAAACAGGAATAGGTGCGTAGAGTGGTTGGCAAAGATTCGGTCCCACTGGACCAAATCCACATTTCGATCAGATCAAACTGGATGAAAGTAGCTTCAATTTGGGTTTCGATTCTCGAATTGAAAGCCATTTTGGTCTTGATCCCATTACATCTCCTTAAATACAGAAGAAAGATGGACCGAATTGGGACGGAACCTAACTGAATTGAACTGAAATCAAGATGGGACTGAACCGAATTGGATCTATTGCATTTTGATACAGCTCTGGTCCGCATCTTTCCTTCACTTTTTACCTAAGTCCTAAAATCGATTCAGTCTGACCCTGGACCAAACTGGAATACTGGATCATGCCCACAAACATCAAGCCAATCTCGAAAAGCAATATGAACAAAAGTGGTATTAACATCGAGCTTTAACCATGATGATTTTCCACACAGAAAATTAAAGAGTAATTCCTACCATGCTCAGCAGCTATTTACAAAGAGACACATCAAGAAAAATATACCCTTAGAAGGCGCCTCTGAAGACTTTGCTCTTTTTGTCTCAGCCTATCAATCCACGGAAGAGTATCTGCTTGAATATGCCGTTGAAGCTGCAAGCAACAATTTTTGGGTTAAGTAAAATTCATCTTAGAGGTTAAAAGTGATATCAGAGGAACACAAGGATGTTCAAGCAAATACAGAAAAGGAATCAGCAGTAAGTCCTAGCCTATCTAGCAAGAAAGTTTTCGAAACTGCATGCAACAATTATACACTACAGTGGTTTCTAACCAGAAGAAGATGAGAATACAGATGAGTAGTACCGTTTTCACATTGCTTTGGGTCGTTCGCAATCTCTCAGAATCTGAAACAATGACTTCATCTTGAAGCTGCATAAACAGCATCTCAGAGTCAACGTAAATACTAAAGAATTTATACTATCTTTCAGCTGCAAGGCAAATATACAATTTTTTTTTGCAAAACAGACACGAAAAGGAAACTCAACGTGTTCGAATCTCAAGTGTGATCAACATGATCATCGATCACTGCACATGGCAACGTCCCAGAAGCAACTTAGAATTTGGAAAACACTTGCATACAACACCATAATGCATCCATCAAACCCGTATAACTGACCTTGAGGCGGTTTGACAGATCTTTGAAACCTTGAGCAAGTTGAGGCCATAGACGCTCCCGGTCTCTACTTTCCATCCCTTCTAACTTCCCCATAGCCTCCGCCCACATAAACTAAAGAAAGCAAACTATTTCCCCACTCAGCAAATACACACAGAAGAACCAACTCTACAACAAATACGTAATGCAAGAACCAAGAGGCATAGAATGAAATGAACCCTCAAGATAAACTCACATCTGATACTGTGGCAGGCTTGACTCTGAGCTGTGGATCCGTAACACTGAACAACAAATACTGAAAAGAGCAGACAACAACGATAATGGCTCAGATTGCAGTCTTTTCCATATAAAAAACATCCAGAAACGGACCAATCATTCACTAGAGCAAGTTAATGAACCTTGAAACCATATTTAGGGTTCCCAGCCTCCTCCTTATAAGCATCCACGATTGCCTACCATCGATTCCGAAGAATTAACACAGATGTCAGCCACGAAACGAAGTGAAGTAAAAATATGTACGATTAACGAGAAAACGAAGGTGTAGTAGGGAGGAAAGAAGCCATACCTGAATATCACGATCAGCAAGGGAGAAAGGGAGCGGGGCCACAGGGGCCATCTGAGTCGTCAATTGAGCATTGGGGAATGACGTAGGCTGCTGAGCGGGGAACTGAGTCGGGAATCCGAAACCAGAACTCGGCTGCTGGAAGAGGGACGCCTGCTGCTGTTGATGTTGCTGTTGAGGCTGCGCAGAAAATGGCGTGGAGAAGAGAGAAGACCCGAATCCAGTAGCGAACGAGGAGGTGGACGGAGTGGCGAACGCCGGAGTCGAAGATGATGGAACACCGAACAACGGAGTGGAGGAGGGAGTTCCGAACGCTGAGGAGGGAGTTCCGAACACTGGGGTGGACGGAGTGCCGAACGCCGGCGTAGAGGATGGAGTGCCGAACATGGTGATAATTGGAGCTCCAGAAATCGGCGGCGGTGACTTGGTTCCTTACAGCGATGATGGCGCCATGAGCTTCAGAGATTTCAATTTCATTTTTTGCACCTCAGGTGTTTGACGATTTGCCGCTCTATTGCCAGTCTGGCACTGGCAGACTGGCAGTGGTTCTGCGCATTTGGGGTAGACTAGCGGCGTATTTGCTATTATTAGGACAAATATAGGACAAATATATTTATATTATATTAGGACAAATATCACTAAAAAAGTTATTTATATTATATGGGGATTGCTATTCGTCATCCTAAACAAATTTATTCGTCGCACTGATTATATTAAAGCTACTCTAATACCCATAGTTTGTTTTCGTGTCTTTCAAACACTTAAACCCCTAAAACAAATACATACATCCACTCACGTTGTCGGAGCCGACACCTCACCGGATGCCCAATCCTCGTTGTCATCACCATGTGAAACTCTGTCTCTAAATTGTACTAATTCTATCTAAATTGATCCATTTTACAAGGAGCAGCAGCGACAAGAGGAGAAAGCTCTCTAGAGGATGTGAAGGGAATCGGGGTGGTGGGCGGCGGTGGCAGCAACAATATACATTAGAAATTAGGGACGGTTTGTTTTGTGTTCAGTTAGTAATTAGGGTTAGGGATAAATGTGTCAATTTAGTATGTTTTACGGCGATAAAATTTAAATTCTAGGGTGACGAATAACGATTCAGAGGGTAAATGTCATGATTGGTCACTGAGATTACTATAAAATGTCAAGTTTGGTCACTAAAAATATTTTACTCGTGGTCACTAAAATTACTAAAAACTGTCAAGTTTGGTCACTCTCCGTCCAACTCCGCTAACTTTTTCTTATGTGCGACAGTCAACACTTTGAATTAACCAGACCATCCTCCAACCAATACTATATAGCCTCCACTACTCAACCAGACTCGCCTTAGGAAGAATGAAACTATGCAGATAGGACTCCACTTTTGTACATGTTGTGGACATGTTTCGAATCTTAATACTTAGTCCGAGTTGTAGTCGAAGGTAGAAGTTTGTAATGGTATTTTTGGGAGTCTTCGTACTTGTGTAGGACATGAGATCGGATTGACAGTCTCGCATGTTGATATTCCCCGCTTTTAAGAACATGTTAATGAGTCTGATAAGGCAACCATTAAATATATGTTAATCTTTGTAATTTCATTGCAAATCGTCCATACTTGAAAAAAATACTTACATACGTACAAGCACCAACTTACATACGAACAAGGCTCAGAAAATCTGAGTTGTGATTGTATTATTGATATGTATTTATACAATGAGGTTTCAACTAATAGCTATTCCTAAGGAAAGGTAATTACCCACTAACATAAACTTAGGAACAGAAGAACAGAAAAGTAACAGTCACAAACGAAGAGAGGGGAGAAGTGGTGAGGTAGTTGCCGAGTTTGTCTCTCCCTTATCACGCCCCCGCAAGTGGAACCTCGGAGAGGTTAAACTTGGAACAGAAGTTGCGGAAGGACTGTCGTGTGAGAGGCTTCATAAGAACATCCGCTAGTTGATCAGTAGCCGGAAGATAGCGAACATGTAATTGTTGCTTGTTAACCCGATCACGAACAAAGTGGAACTCAATCTCAAGATGTTTGGACCGTGTGTGAAAAACCGGATTGTGTGCGAGATAAGTGGCGCCGAGGTTGTCACACCATAGAACAGGTGATGCTGATGGGGATTGGCCGAGTTCAACTAAGAGTGCTTGTAACCAAATGACCTCGGAGGCAAGCGTAGCAAGTGCCCTGTATTCACATTTTGTTGAAGACCTGGCCACCGCCTTCTGTTTTCTAGTCGACTAGGATACCAAATTCGCGCCATAAAAAACAGCAAAACCAGAGACCGACTTGCGATCCTTGGGACAAGATGCAAATGATGCATCCGAATAACCATGTAATTGAGAATCGGACGATCGTTGGAAGAGAAGGCCTTGTGTAATTGTACCTTGTAGATAGCGCATAATACGCTTAACAGATGCCCAATGAGCATCAGATGGTGACTGTTGGAACTGAGAGACGTGATTGACCGCAAAGGATATGTTCGGCCGAGTAAAGCTCAAATATTGGAGACCGCCAACTATACTTACGTACAAGGTTGCATTAGAATGTCGGTGACAGATTTGATCCACTTTGTGTGAGCTGATCAGGCGTGCAAGGAGTGGATATAGACTTGGCTTGGGCCATTCCCGAGCATTCCAGCAGCTCTAGGATGTATTTTCGCTGGTTGAGTATCAAACCTGATGGAGTATAATGAACTTCCAGGCCGAGAAAATACGACAGTCGGCCAAGATCCCGGAGAGCAAACCGAGAAAGAAGATGAACCATCAGCTCCTCGTAGGGGTGACCATTCGGGTTCGGTTTTTCGGGTTTACCCGAAACCGACCCGATTATATATATTTTCGGTTTTTCGGGTTCGGGTTCATTTGGGGTTCGGTTTTGCTTATCGGTTTTTCGGGTTCCAGCTAAAAACCTCCAATGAATAGAACTCAACCCGTATTCTTAGGCGTTCGGGTTTTCGGGTTTCGGTTTTGATTTAACCGAACCCGATAAGGAATTTTCGGGTTTCGGGTAACCAGAACCCGCAAGTCCTGATCGGGTTCAAGTTCGGTTTTAGTGGTTTTCGGTTTCGGGTTTTGGTTTGGGTAACCGAACCCGACCCGAACTGACACCCCTAGCTCCTGGATGACTTTCGAATCCGTGCCTGTAATTACAAGGTCATCCACATATACCAACATGTAGAGAACCACAGCATCAGCCCTGTAAATGAAGAGGGACAGATCTGTTTTGGAGGCGACGAAACCAAAATCCCAAAGAGCTTGAGATAGACAGTGAAACCAAGCATGGGGCGCTTGTCGTAATCCATAGATAGATTTCCGAAGACGGCAGACCTAATCAGGATGCTCGGGGTTAATAAACCCAACCGGCTGAAGCATATAGACCTCTTCTTGAAGAGTGTCGTGTAAGAATGCATTCGATATGTCTACCTGGTATAATGGCCAAGCTTGAGATACGACAATGCCTAGTAGAAGTCGTAGTGTAGCAGGCTTCAGAACTGGGCTGAAAGTATCGCCAAAGTCCTGACCGGGGATCTGCTCAAAACCACGAGCAACCAACCGGGCTGTCTCGCGTTCGAGAGAGCCATCTGGATTCATTTTCTCTGCAAACACCCAGTGATTAGACAAAATATTACAGTTAGGAGGAGTGGGAACTAAGTCCCATGTATGATTCCGAACAAGTGCGTCGAATTCGCTGACCATGGCCGCCCGCCAGCGTGGTAATTTCAGAGCCTGAGCCGCTGTAGAAGGTAAGCCAGAGGGACCAACAGCGAGATACTGGTGGGGTTTTAGCTTGCCGGTCTGTGTGCGAGTAATCATTCGCCGAGGCGGTGTGGATGCAGGGGAAGACACAATGCGGGGAGACGTATTGAAGGGGGAACGATTTGTGAGGGCAGGAGATATGGAAGTCTTGGGAGAGGGTGATGTTCGATTTGCAGAAGAGGTAGGCGAGTGATGTACAGAGATGACAGGGGAGGGAGTGGAGGCTGGTTTTGGTCGTCGCTGATACTGCAAAAGAGGCGGTTGTGAGGGTTGGGCAACGACGGGGCGGCGGTGATACCGGAGCAAAGGTGGAGGGCGAGTGCTAGCGGGCTGGGTAGGAGGCGCCCAGACGGGGTGGGACACGGGCGAAGTGGGCTGGGAAGATGAGGATGTGGGCCAAGTGGAGGAAGGAGAGGATAAAGCGGGCTTGGAGATGGGGATGGTGGGCTCGGAGATCGGGTTGGTGGGCTGTGGGAATTTTGGAGATGGTGGGTCAGACAAAAGGGGAGGCCTGGGTTCAGCTATGGGTAATAGGCAGGGAAGTGTAATGGGTTCGGAGAGAAAAAGATCGGATGAAATAGTGGTATTTGAGTCGAGAGGAGTATCCTTGTAAGGGAACACTGATTCATCAAAGAGAACATGGCGACTGACATGAATGCGGCCAGTAGATCGATCAAGACACCGATAACCTTTATGTAAACCACTATACCCAAGAAAACACAAGGAGTGGAACGAGGTTGAAGTTTATGAGAAGTTTGAGGACGAAGCCAAGGATAACATAGACAACCAAAGACACGAAGATTGTGAAGATCTGGTGATTTATTAAACAAAGTATGAAACGGAGAGCGATTTTGGAGAAGTGGAGTGGGAGTGCGATTGATGAGATAACATGCGGTATCAAACACAAGAGACCAGTACTTGAGCGGAACATGAGCCTGATGTAACAGAGCGAGACCGTTATTAACAATGTGACGATATTTTCGCTCTGCACAGCCATTTTGTTCGGGAGTATAGGGACAAGAAGAATGATGAGTAATGCCATTGGCCGCAAGATAAGAGGATAATGCCTGATATTCACCCCCCCCCCAATCATATTGAAAAGTTTTGATAGGAAGACCAAAAAATTTCTCAACAAGTTGGCGAAATTGGAAGAAGACATTGAGGAGTTGAGATTTATATCGTACAAAATACACCCAGCTGAACTTACTATAGTGATCATAAAATAACACATAATAAGATTGATGATCATAAGAGAGAATAGGAGCGGGGCCCCAAAGATCACTACAAATAAGTTCTAATGGCGCAGAAGCACGATATTGTGAAACATGAAAGGGTAATTTGTGAATCTTACTATTGCCAAAGGTGACTTGATTAGGACCATTATATTCTGAATGATGAATCAGATTACCCAAATCGGCGGTAAGATGGTGATTAGCGCCAGAATCAATGAGCCACTATTGGGAAGTGTAACACCCTACCCTATACGTTTTGCCAAATCATATTGTTCATACAATTGCAGCGGAATTAATCTCGGGTGTTACATTAATTATCAAAATTTACCTAAATAAAATTTCGACATGAATTACTCGCGTAATGGGCTAACAGTTCTTGCAACTTATCCTGCAAAATAATTCATCACAAACATATATACTCACAACCACATGCATTGGCTTTCATAGCCATAGGCACAGTTTCATACTACACAACTGCATACCAAACTTATACATACCATAATTGTCACAACTTACACAGTTACACAACATATACACATATCATCAATTTTCCACACCTGTGGATATCTCACACTACATCAGAAGCTAGTATGCACATGAAAAACGTTATCAAAACATTTTTACAAAAAGGTGTGGATCACTGGCCAAAATCCAAAGTAGTCGTCCAAGCACAGAATAGTTGCAGACCATACCTCATCTTGGCTTCAACTCTAGCTCCTCTCCCACCTAACACTTATCTACTGTTGCTGCTGATGATCTGCTTACACATAGCATAAGCAGAGAAGAAGAATAAAAGAGGGTCAACTCATGGCTGAGTGAGACAATCATTGCATCGTGAGTTCATAACAGAGCATACCCCTACCATACATCTAGCAAACAAGCCAAAGCACTAGGATCAGACCTCAACCATCCGACATCCCAATAGGCAAAAGACTCAACTTGACTTATGCATATGCATCTTATCATGTTTTACTCATAGGCGCCTGGCTACTCCCATGCTAATAACTCTCCAGGGAAACATACCCTACATCCCGTCGGATGTAGTCATACATACCCCAACATCCCGTGGGATGTGGTCATACATACCCCACACCACTATGGGTGTAGTCATACCTCGACACCGCTCTGGGTGTGGTCATATCTCGTAAGAATTCTTCAGTCACCACCACATGAGAGGTGTGACTATCATACATATCATAATAGAGTAATAGCATAGGGAGCCCTAATTACTATGTAGTTGACCGTGAGACCACAACACTCATATTTAGTATCCTTATACATGATTCATATCTCATCTTGCTTAATCATAATTCATTACTTGCACATGTACTTGACCTGGCCATAATTGGCTCGACATAGGTAAATCAGGAGTCGTATAATTGCACTTCCTCGGGATAAACCCTCGTGCAAGTCATCCTCCTTAAACATCATACTATCACCAGGGAATATATATTCTCCCACTTGTGCATCCAAATACAACAATCATGAAAAATCATACCTAGTCACCTTCTTGAACCATCGTTAAGCATATTAACAGTCAAGCCCACAATTTGCAACATATACACAATCATCAGCATAAACAAGGTTCATATCGATTAGGGCAAGTCAATAATATCATACAGCAATCCAGGGTTCAACATATAGCACAAAAGTCCATACACCCCTAATCATGCCATTCTAGTTCACCTAGGTCAATTCTAAGCATCAATATAATTATCGTGATACGACAAATCTGGTATGCCGTGCTAATCCCTCACCAGCTCTGGTCGTTCAAACACCGGCTTAACCTTCCCGTACTAAAACTTCAATTTCACGAACAAACCCCGAATTAAAATCCGATACCGTTCTAATATCCCCTGCAGTATCCCCGTCAATATTAGTTCTAGGCTCCGGGACAAATTCTTGATAAAAACACATCAAACCCTGGCCGGAGCTAAATTCAGCGATCCGGCTCCGATCTAAATAATAGCCGAAATTTAGGGATTAGAACTAGAGGATTGATTACCTCGCTGCAGGAAGCTCGTATATGAAATTTGGGCTCAATCCGACTTCTGGCTACTCCGAAACCCTAATTTAGCTTATCGGGAATTCAAGAAATTCCTGAACCAAAAACTCGTTTTAAAACTCTAAATCGATAAATTACGATGTATGGATGAATTAGGCATTACTTACGGGATTTTTGGATTACTAAAGCTCAAGATTCGAGCTATGAGAATTTCCCTCGTCCCTCCTCTGAACTGCTCCGCGCGCTGCTCTACCTCTGGGTAATTAAATGAGTAAAGAGAGAAGATGGAAATGGACCAGGGGATTTGGTTTACAATATATATATGAAAGCAATCTGCCGTCTGCTTTTCGTTTACTTTTTATTTTTATTTCTTTTCCCCTGACAACTCCTCTCCCGGCGACACACAAGTAGGTGTGTAACTTTAATTAACATATATAATTATTTATATGTATTACTATATATAAATATAGTAATTGGTATTTATCCGGCCGAATCAATTTTCATCGAAATACTATCAAAACACTCGCTTTTAAATCGCGAACTTTCTAGCGATCGAAATACGATTTTAGCCGAAACGGGATGTTATAGGAAGACTGGGCCGGGTGAGAGGATTGGGCAAGATACGAGGCTGCGCCAGGGTGATAATTGGGCTGGGCTGGAATAATAGGGCTTGGACAATGGGCTCGGACATGTCCCCTCCCCCCGCAATTGTGGCAAATAATAAGGGATGGGCCAGAAGGCCCAACACCGAGCACCCCTGACGAAACAGGCCGTGCGCCACCTGAATTGGGCCGGCCACCTGCAAAAACTGGGTTAGAAAAACGGCCCGGGTGGGGAATCCCTCGACCAGCAAAATGCTGTCCTCGGCTGCGTGAAGAGCGCCCGTCACTGCGCCCCCCTCTGGCGGAATAAAAAGACAGCGGAGGCGCGGCCTCGCCGAACGATGAGCGAAATCGTTGGAGCTGAATTTCTTCGCTGAGAAGGAGGCTGCTGACATTCTCGAAGGAGATGGGTTCCAGGCGCGCCTCGAGATTGCGAGTGAACGGGAGGTAGTCTTCGTCAAGTCCGTCCAGAAAGGCAACCACCAGTTCCTGTTCGGTGACTGTAGCGCCGAGAGCGAGCATTTTGTCATAGATGGCCTTTGCTCGGTGGATATATTCATGGATTGTCTCGTTACCACGAGCGAGACGAAGAAGAGACTTGCGGAGCGGGACGATGATGACGGGAGAGCTCGAGGCATAGACTGTGGCGAGGGCATCCCAGGAGGCGAGAGCAGTGGTCTTGTTGACAATGGTAGGCATCACGGCTTCCGTCAGTGAGAGATTAATCCAGGCAAGGACGAGCTGATCATTCTCGTACCAGGTTGCATAGTCTGAATTGGGTTGACTCTCGACAGTCGAGGGAGGAGGAGGAAGAGTGCCATCGATGTGTCTAATGAGACGATTATATCGAAGCAGAGGGTGAATCTGAGCACGCCATAGCAAATAATTGGTTGGAGTTAATTTGATAGTGAGCTGGGGATTTGAAGGAATCAACAAGCGATGTGGAGAGGGAGATTGGATGGACGAAGAAGAAGAATCAGATGTAGTGGAGGAAGTAGCCATTGAAGGAAGAAGCAGAAGACAGAAAAGGAAGAAAAGAAAAGGTATGTAACTCGTTTGAGTTTATTATGGCTCTGATACCATGAAAGGGCTCAGAAAACCTGAGTTGTGATTGCATTATTGATATGTATTTATACAATGAGGTTTCAATTAATAGCTATTCCTAATGAAAGGTAATTCCCCACTAACATAAACTTAGGAACAGAAGAACAGAAAAGTAACAGTCACAAACGAAGAGAGGGGAGAAGTGGTGAGGTAGTTGCCGAGTTTGTCTCTCTCTTATCACAAGCCACTTACATACGAACAAGAACCAACACAAGAACTACTACTATAAAGATTACACATATGGTCATCCGAGCACTTTTACTATGCTATAAAGTATTGGTGCTTTAATGTATAACTTTGAGTTGTACCATAACATTAAATGTATAAGTTTAGGTTGTACCATAAAGGAATTTGTACTTTTATGTTATGGTACAACTTTAAGTTTTAAAGTTATACCATCACATAGAAGTACAAGTTCAAGTTGTACCATAAAAGAATTTCTATAAAGAGTATAGATGTAATTTGAAGTTGTACCATAACGTTAAAGGTACAACTTTAAGTTGTACCATAAAGACAAAAACCTATAGCACCAATACTATATAGCATTGTAAAATTCCTCATGGTCATCCTACTTTGTAGTGCACTGATAGCATTTCTCATTCTCTGCAATTCAAGTAAACTAGCATCACTGATCTCAGTAACCTTCGTCAAGTCTTCAATCATCGCCAACTTTTCTTGTTTCCTCTTCTTCGCCTTCTCTTCTGCCCTACGAAGACGCCCTTAAAGTGACTCTATATGCGCTAAATTTAACTTCAGCTGCTCATTCTCTTCCTTTAATCCATCAAACCATAGAATCACTTTCAGATGTACCATCAACCCAGCGAAAAATGCCAGTTCTTGCTTTCATCCATCCAAAACGGGCAAGAAAAAAACGTTCTTCCTGGATTTAAGGATGTGCGAGATGTATTCATAACACAAGGAGCTTTGTGGACCTTAAATCTTATCACAGTTGCGTTTGATGAACTCAAAGAGCCCGAACCTTTATCGCCTATTTTTCCAACACGCCTCAACATTGTTTTAGAAGGGGGTTTGTCGGAGAGGAAGAGAGAACGCGAGAGAGGAAAAGAAAGGTAAGAGAATTGGGTTCGGAGTAGGGAGAGGTGAAGACGGCGAGGCGACGACGACAGATGGTGGCGGCAGATCGGGGACGAATGGATTGGGGAAGCGATAGGGTTATGTGGGGTGAGGGAGACTTTTTTGTTTTATAAGAGGGGGGGGGGGGGGGTGAGTGTTTTTCCTTTTTTTTAATTAATTAATAAAGTTAAAGAAAATAAATTAACAAAATATTTATTTATTTGATTTTTTTTCTGACATGGCACCGACCTGGCGCATTGGCCGTCCAAATTGACGGTCAACCAACGCATCAGCCCAAAATTGTATAGATGGTGTATACTCTGTGCCAGGATAGGAGTTTCAAATAGTTTGGGCCAAAATAGTAATTCTGTGAAAAGTTCGTGCCAAAATAAGGTATTAACCCAAAACTTTCTATGTAAAACTCAGACAAGGCAACATGACTAACTATATAAATCAAGTTCAAGAGAAACGACTACGTACAATGGTAGTTGTGTAATGAGTTGGATCAAAATATAAACATACCAAACTAGACTAACTCAATGCTCAACAACTAAATTCAACTGAATGGCCTAATAGCAAGGTTCAAGAAAGCGCTAGGCGTAAGGTGAGCGTTGAGGCTTTGCCTTGCGCCTAGCATGCCTAGGCGTCGCCTATACGTGCCTAAACGTTAAAGGTAAACATAGCAAAGTATCTCACACTTGTCTAGAATCACAAGTTTATGAACCATTATTATCGCATCGATCTCTCATTTCTAAAATTTCATCAATAGCACATAGTAAAAAATAAAACATAGCGTGGAGAAATGAGTAAGAAAGAAAAAGTTCGAAAATAGAGAAGCACATTAAGAACGAAGAAGCGCAAAAATGAAAGAAGAAACTACTTTTAAGATGTCGTCTCTAACTATATCCGAGCCTAACTATAGAGAAATCAAGATTGTCCTCTCTAGTAGCGTATCAAAAGGTAGAAAGAAAACATTATGACATCATTTTGAGACCCAACCCAATGCTGAGTAGGCACCAACGAGACTACAACGTGATCATGACGCCTTCACCGCTACTTTTTACCAAAGCGACATGTTTTTCTTCTGGATTGCACTTAGGCGAGCGCCTAGGCAGGCCTTTAAGAACCATGTTGTTCTGACATCATCCACACTGTCACACCCTAAATTCGAATCTTGGAGACTTGGACCAACAAAAAAAATCTCAACAAGTTGAGGCAAACCCAATCGACTTGACTGCCAATGAGAAACTAGAGAGGAAGGAAGATAAGCTGTTTCAATCAAGTTCAATCATTTTCTTTCGCAATGTGGCAAGAAGGAACTGGAACACTTAGCATTGGCTTGGAAAAAACCGTAAATCTGATACAAGATTTGTCCCAGCTGGCACAGTTTACAATATCTCAGCTAGATGGATGCATGCAAAAACAAACCCAGTTCAGCCGCTCTACATAATATAACCCAGGACCTCATGCTCCAGATACTTCAACCATTTCCTGCTCCACTGTGCTGGGCGTAACTGGGTAGTACTTGTAGTGCAACTCACCAACATCGTCGCCAGATAGCTTCTTCCATCCATTCGGCCCAACATGATAAACTGTAAAGTGAAAGCCAAACGAATCAGGGTCACGCTGAGAGCGACGAACAATCTATATACCGATATTATAGCTAGTAGGAGGGAGAAGGAAAGGTTACCGCTGGCAACTCCACCACTGGCTCCATCACGGAATGTTGCATGGTATATAGCTCTTCTAGCTAGCTCCGCAGCCTCTTCGATTGACATATCATACCTGTACCTATAAGAGTTCAAGTTCATTGAAATAAAATTGTTAAACAACATCCATTCAAAGACTCAAATATGTTATGTCCCTAATCTATTTCTAAGGCTAGGCTCTTATCACTGTGATTGCCCACATTATGGGATGGCAAAATGGTTTTCTGATTTCTGGTTTAATCGAAACCAAACCACTTACCCAAAATTAATTGAAGCCAAAGGCCATGTCTTCATGAAATTTACTTGACCTATTACTGAAGTTTGATAAAAATTAAATCACATGTTTAAAATTCTACCAATTTACAAACTTTCATATCATTTTTGGCTTAGTTTTTCACTTCCACAAGTATAATGTTAAAAGTTTGGTTATTCAAAACCAAAATATTGCTTGCAGTAACCAAAATAATGTTTTTTGCTTTGGTTTCACGAACACTTGTTTTTTGGTTTTCAGTTAACCAAAACCAAACCATTCTCACCCCTCCTAGACAAATAAAAGAAGGAAAGAAACAAATGAGTACATTGCAAAGGAGCAACACTCACCCACTGTCCAACACACCATAAGCATACGGGGAGCCAGATCCAACAGAGAATCTTGGTCCTTTCAGCCTTCCTCCTTCGCTATCTACGTAATATAGACCAGGACCCTGCATTTTAAAAGATCCACAGCTTAAATAATTCCGCAAAGACATTACACAAGATCAGCAGAGTATTTGGGTGGATCATTACCGTTTCATCCCATCCAGCAATCATGGTCCCAACAGAAAGACCCATTCCACGGTAAGAGTAGAGTATGTTGGCGAGGAGCTTCGATGCCCCAGTAACCGAAATCCTCCTCTTATTTGCCAACTCATGCAGACGGCACTAAGTTACGCCAAAAACATTAGAATTAGCTCTTACATACAAAGACTACGGAATCTGAATAGATATATCAACCATAAGAACTACACAGAACAATATAACACTGACAATAAGAGGAATCCTACATAAAACCATTGCAAGGGATGGTTATACTCTAGGAAGAAGCCTATCTGTACATGCGGATCCCTATACCTGAACTTTGATCGTTTCAACAGACACAGAACCTATACAAATATATTTCATAACCAGCTTATAGCATTTGGCAATAAATTGATTAAGCTCCACAGTTTCATGCTTGAATGGGAATTCTAGACAATCTAATAGCCTCATTCACGTCAATAGCCAGTTAATAATTCAACTATGACCAGGTCTAAGCATAGAATCCGTGAGCATGTGATACCTTAATGCCAAGATTTCTGTGCCAGAACTGGCAGTCGGCAGCTCCACCAGCCATCGTACCAAGCATGTAAGGATTGATTTCAATGATCTTCTTCACAGATTGGGAAGCTGGAAAGACCAATATAAGAGGGTACTCAGCCAAGTGAAGAGAGAACCGCACTACATACATCATAACAGAATTAATTATACAACAGCTTGAAATAACATCAGATAGCAAAATGTACAGATATAGCCTCCCATGCTGGCTCGAGAATCCGCAGCCACCATGACACCTTCCTTGAAGATAAAAGCCAGCGTGGTCGTGCCCTTTGCTGGCTTCACCATCTGTATAGCCTCCTTCTGGAAACCATCGAACTGCAAACCCCAAAAGAAAAAAAACACATACACACACAATTCAGAACCAAATTCTTTGCAGCAAGCAAAGCACATGAGATAGAACAGATTGAGAGCTCACGTCAAGAGTTGTGGGAAGGTCAAAAGCTGGAGCAGCGGTGAATCCATCGACCATCTGGCAGTTCGTGCCGAAGAGCGGCAGAGCCGACTCGAGACCAGTCGTGTCAAGCTTCATGATCTACAAATTCAAACGAGCGAACAACAGTTCATATGATTCAGTACCTCTAAAAGGCGAGAGTTCGGCCATATCTAGGAAGACGAATCTAATTAGCGGGCAGAGAGACTAAAATTTGCAGATGAGAAACCCTAGAAAAGCTAATGCGAGGCAGTTTGGAAGGAGAAAAAAAGATCGAGTAATCGGAACGCACCTTCGGTTAGACTGAGAGCAGCTGGAGTGGGTAGAGTGACTTTAGCTCGATGATATCTCGGTGCCGGAGAAGGAAAACGGAGATATGATGCAGAGAATGGAATGTGGTCGGAGAAAGGGAAAGTGGGGAAAATATGCAGATCGATTTCTTGTCCCGCGGGCAAGAAGGAAGCAGTATTGGGCCTGGAATTTTTTTTTTTTTTTTTTGTTAAAGGAATGACGTAAAGCGCTCTAATTCGTTGAAGTAAATATCGAATAATCATGAGCAATGCCCATCACATCGTACAACAACCATCTACCAAGGTCAGGGTCGCACACATTAAATCGATGTGTGCCAAAATTAACAAAGTGACCCCTATTTGCCAGAAAATCAGCAGCAAAATTAGCTTCCCTATACACATGGCTAATTCGTACCTCCCAATCTCTGTTGAGAAGAACAAAAAACTGTCTAGCTAATATGCCATGGCGATGATCATCATCAAAGCACTTCCTGGCAACGTCGATGGCTGCAGTAGAGTCCATGTTGAGCTGGACTTTCTTGTAGCCCCTTTCCCACGCAATCCGAAGTCCCTCAATCGCACACTTCAGTTCAGCACTGGTAATGGAGCAGCAACCGAGGTTACTAGTGAAAGCATCAGTGCAACGCCCCAAGTGGTCTCTCAGCAGACCCCCCGCAGCAGCTTTCCCAGAGGGGGAGATCACTGATCCATCAGTCTGGACCTGAATCCAGCCTTCATCAGGCGGTTTCCATGACACAGGTTCATTCTGGTAGCTCCTCTTCAAGTTGCAGCAGTCAATTTCATTTCTTTCCTTGGCCTATTGAATGATGTTGAGCCAGGCCTCTACTCTACATCGGAGACTAGTCTCATTATAGCTCTTACCATCCAAAACCTCCTCGTTACGCTGCTTTCAGAGATTCTGGCAAATCACACCAAAATCCACTCCATTTTCTTCATGCAGAAGGTTTGAGAGAAGCCACTCCTGGAAGTTGCATCTGGTGTCGATCCTTGACAGCTTCTCCCAAATCCTTTTTGCCTTATCACGGGTTCTCAGGATGTGCTCGATCGATTCCTCACAGTCTGTACATCGATTGCAGTTGCTGTTATCAGAAATTTTTCGCCTCGCTCGTTCCTTGTTGGTGAAGAGTCTTCCGTGGAGGACAAGTCACAGGAAGTGCTTGATCCTGTTGGGTCCTTTCCACCTCCAGAGAGCTTTCTAGGGTCCTCCTTCGTCTTCCTCATCATCCTCCATGTTGGCAGCAAGACAGTAGGCAGATTTAAGTCGAAATTTCCCATCACGTTCCAGTCCCCAGATCATTTTGTCCTCCCCCAGCTCGATACTTGGTCTCTCCATTTCTGCAATAAGCAAAAGAATGTCATCAGGTAGGAGCTCTTTCAGTTCATCCCATTTCCACTCACCTTCTTCTGTGACCCAGTGCGCCACAGGGGTCTGTTTCTCCTCATTAGTGATATCTTTGGTTAGGAAATCTTCAAGAACCAAACCATTCTCAATCCAAGGAGGCTGCCAGAAGCTTGTTGATTCACCATCCTTGATACTCCAACATGAGGCTTCTTTCATAAGAGGCATGGCTTTCACCACAGCTCTCCAGAGGCGGGAGTGATTGGTTTTCTTCATTGAGACAATGTTTCCATTTCTCAGTTTGTAATACTTTCCCTGTAAGACCTGGATCCAAAGATCAGTTTCGTTGTTAAGCATTTGCCAGGCCAGCTTGATCATAAATGCTTTATTTAAACAACGGGTTGATCTAAGACCAAGACCTCCAAGCTTCTTAGGAAGGCAAATCCTTTCCCAAGACACCAAGTGAAGTTTCCTTTTACCATCCATCGAGCCCCAAACAAAACCCCTAATCCTCCTATCAATCTCATCACAAACAGAAGCAGGAATAGGGGTTGTTTGCATAGTATAGGTGGGGATTGCATTCAAAACAGATTGGGCAAGAGTAACTCTTCCTGCAAGAGAGAATTCTAGCTTTCCAGGAGGTGAGCTTATGATCCATCCTGTCTAAGATATATCTGTAGGTGTTCTTAGTGAGTTTACCATGGAGCACAGGGAATCCAAGATATCTTCCAAGATCATTGGTTCCGTTCACTTGGTCATTTCGTTAACGGATCTATTATGTCGTTTGGAGATAAGGATTTAGACCAGGACCAATGTTGTAGCCTTGTAGGAACCAAACCAGAGCACGATCCGGTAACGTCAACCGCTCACATTTTAAAGATGCAACCGATATTAGATCGTTTAAAAAATGTTAGAGAATCAGTACTTTTTAAACAATAATATCATAAGTAAAAAACACATAAGAAAGTAATTTAATAAGTTAATGGCTAAAATAAAATTTACTTTGCAGTTACCACTTAGTAATTTTACATTATATCCATCATTAATATATTGTACACTTTTGTCAACTTTTAAGGGATTCAAATTTCCTGTTTTCCCCTTCATTCGCAGTTGGAGTAATTAAGTAATTGACCAGCTCTCTTTAGCGAACGACCAACCTTACCCGTTCCCTTTTTCTTATTTTTCCCACCAAACCCGTCCTTCACATATCTCTCTTCAGTTTCACAGGTATTCAATTAAAATACTCTCTTTAATTTTTTCCTTTCCCAACCTTGGAGAAGAAGAACGCGATTTTGGTAATCGGTTTGGAGAAGAAGAACTCGATCTGGTGGTCGGGTTTTAGCCTACAGTGGACTGCTTTTCTGATTGTCGAGTTCTTCGTCGCCGCTGTTTCCTCTGGTTATTTCTTCTTCCCCTTTTTCGAACCAAATTTTCAATCCCCATTTCCTTTCCCCCTCCCGTAGCAATGACAAACACTGATGGCAGAACCCTTTTAGGCTAACAATGATAACTTCTGGTATTCTTCTTCCCATTATTGTATATGCATTCTCATAAATCGAAGTCATAACCTCCTTTTCATATCTGGTTGTCAATAAATTCCACGTTTCGATGGGTTCTTCGAGTTCATGTGTACCCTGTGTATTTATCTTCTGGTTGGGCTTAGGGTTCCCCATTCTCATTAACAAGTAGGATTTGGAATTGCCCCGGTTCTTTGCGATTAGGGTTTATACGGGCTGCTTCCCTTTCAATCCGAGGAGGATTGTCGCCCAAACCATCTTCTTGGGTTGTTAATCGACAGCTGGAAGTCCCTCCTTAGCCATCCATTTCGTCCCAACATTGCAAGGTCTCCTAAATCTAACTTTTGCTAGAGTCCTTAGATGATAGTTGTCTTTTCTCCTTCATGCAACACTGGCAAGTCGATCTGAAGAACAGTTCCATGTGGCAAAGACGACGGCTTTCCTGTCCAGGCAATCTTCTTCCCGATAGTATCGATGAATACCTATGAAACTAAAGCTGGGGAGTCATCAATTGTCCAAAACACTGTCAGTAACATGCAAACTAGTGTGTCGTGTGAGTTTCAATACCAAACTTGGGCATTTTATTCAAACCACGATTTCTTATAAATCATTTTAGCTAAGGTGAGGAAGTGTTGTAGATTATTATTTCATTCATCTTGCAGTGCAAATAGCTATTTTTCTTCCAACGCCTAGGCACGCTTAATATACGCCTAGGCGAGCTAGGCGCTAGGCGAACACTCAACGCCCGCCTTACGCCTAGCGCCTTTCTGAACCTTGAGTAATATAAGGATATGTTGTCACTACACTATAATTCATTACTTGTTCATTAATTGTCAAAAAATAATTAATTTATTGGTTTCATTCATGACACTATTATTCGACAATAGATTGTTGGGTATTATAATTATTTTATGGCTGATGAGAGATTTGTTGGATTGAAAGAAATTGATAAATGATCTCAGATCATGATGGAGACAAAAGTGCATAGTTATATCGGTCAGTTTATTTGCTTCTGAAATTAGTTTTGATACTACTAGTTGCAACTCCGAACGTAAAAAGAGCATTTTTAGATTGATATATTAAGAACTAGTTTTGTGCCCGCCCAATGGGCGACGAGTTTCATTTGTTTGTAAATTTAATTCTATTATATGTCATTTTTTCAATGGTATCGGGCTCCTAGTTTTTCATATTAATTTATTATTGTTATCAATTATCTGTGTTTCATCATATATGACATATGAGGGGCGCTTTGAGTAAAAAAAAAATGAGGGGCGCTACATTTACTCCATGTTTTAATCATGATCAACAATAATGTCAAACAACGTTGTAACTTCATCAATGTTTGGAAAATAGTATTCATATCATCTAATCTTTGATTGACCAGCAATTTTCAACTTCATAAGTTGTACATGGTTTAAACTAGTGTACGCCACCTTACCGTACTCATATCGAGTTTTGCTATTTAGACCATGAATTAACGGAGTTTGAGACATGATACTATACCATAGTATCTAATGGGCGAACCTCGGTCTCTAATTCTCAATCCAAATCGTAAGATCCATTTAATACAAAATTAATAACCAAGGATGATTATTTTTCAAAATATATCAAAGTACAACTAATAGGTGTGAACGAAGATGTATATTGCACCTCGAGTGTATGCTACCCTTTTCCACCATTATATTAAAGTACAACCAAACTTGCTATGCTTCTATATTACCTTCAACAATTTATGAATGATATCAAATCAAAATGTTAGTTATAGAGACACTTTGTTTTCACTTCATATTATCATCCGATATCAAATGTGTGACTAATTTGTAATTGGAATTGTGTGATAACTTAATACAAACATAAAGGCGCCCTGTTGTGAAATTAGTACATTAGATGAATGTAAAGGACATTGGTCAGTGTATGATCATGGGTTGGTTTTACAGGACACGGTCCGTGTACGTCCCGCACTAGTATACAGGATATCGATCAGGTATGATCTCGTAGTGGATTTACAGGACACCAGTCTAGGTACGATCCACGGTGGTATACATGAGATCTAATGTACTACCGGGGGTGTGTATGGCTTGGCAAATTAAGAAGTAAAAAGCATTGAATCAACCTAACCATGCATGTGATTGAATCCTTGTATAAAAATTTCTTATGATGTGGTTAAGTGATGACTTCCTATGATGTGATATATGAAATGTGCATGTCGATGATGATGGTTATGTGATGGTTTTCTATGGTGTTTTAGACAATGATTTATGGCGTGATGTTTTGCTTTGTTAGACGGGGTTAAATGGTGATGTCGATATGATGTGATACTTGATGCATACATGTTTATACAGTGAGTTATCAAGAGGCTGGGTGATGGCCCTTACGTTGTTAATGTATGAATTCTTTGAGTTTGAGATGATGAATTTGGTATGACATGTGGTGATGATGAATTTGGTATTGGTGTGCGGTGATATTCTTAAACACATGAAATTGTTGAGTATCACTAAATTGAATTATGTTAATATATTCCATTAATCTTAAAATATAAGAACATAACATTATTATGACTATGGTTTTGACTTAGCAAACCATCATTTTTTACTTAATCTATTATCTCTTAATAATCTAGTAAGAACACAAAAAAATATTATTTTTCTAGTACAACGCGATAAGAGTGTATTAGCTCATATATTTATAGTAGCTATTTTTTGTGGGAATAGTAGCTATTTTCTAACAAATTCAACATAATTGTATTGGTTCACATATTAAAATGTCAAATCATGTAAAAGTTAATAATTGGGTACCAACTAAATTCATGTTTTTTGGATTTTTTAATTATTTTTTAAAAATTATAAAAATTATCAATCATATTATAAACTAAAAAATAAAATAGGTTATTTTTAGCTGTTAATGATTTCTAATAATTTCTTAAAAATAGAATACAAAATTTAAATCGTGATAGTTTTTATTGCGTAATGTACAGAAGTCAACCATTAAATAAAAATTGAATTTTATGTTTTGTAGAATTTTTTAAATGAGTATTAATCTTGTTGTGATTAATTATATAAAAGATATTTTATTCTATTGGTTAAACAACTTAAACGATTATAGTTTGAGCTCCTAGGGTGCATGATTAAATCTTAGTTATAGTGATTGATATACATATTTTTTTGTGATCAATAGCATCAAATATACTTTATCATACTGGTTGAACACTTGAAATGATGATAGTGTGAGGTCATAAGTCATAGATTCAAATCTTGGTCATGATGATTGATACACATGTTTATTTAGTTTTATTTTAATATAATTAAAAACTTAAAATGTTAAAATCGTAAATACATGGAAAATTGTGGAGCTATCTTTGTGCTACGTGGCAAAAACTTTCTCCACAACGGCCATAATATATGTTAAGACAAGTTTTGAAGTCGAATTGATGATCAGTTTGTTAATGATTGTTTAGTGGGAATATCGAAAGAGGCTCACTTAAAAGTGTAAACAAACAATGTATTTTGTAATTCTTTCATAATATGAAAACTCGTCGTAGTTGTTTATGCAAACAATAATTATATTAATCGCTTATTTCTTTATCTATTAATGAATTATTGGGATATTATTAATTTAAATTATTAAATTTTTATATATTAAAAAAGGGAAAGGGGTAGTTCCGAATCCTGCCTCCGCCACTGTTGACTGCTACGGGTTAGGGTGCCAAACACTCTCAAGCAACTTTCCTTCCACAAGTAGCCAACTATCCAACACCAAACTGCTCCATATAACAATCCAGCTATTAGGGGTGGGCATCGGTGCGGTTCGCACCGCACCGCACCACATTGATATAAACCGAACCATACCGCATCTTAATTGGACGCACCGCATGTTCAACCGCTAAGTTATCGGTGCGGTCAAACCAAACCGCATAAATTAGCGGTTTGGCACGGTTTAGACCGCGTTTTTACCGCAATTCATTATGATTTGTACAACGTATCCAATACAGAGCATGCCAAAATCAAGAACGGAATCAAGAATTGCTACTGCTGGAGCTGGTGCACTGTTCGCGTAGCCGTCAAACAGAGCATGCCAAAAATCGATAACTTCTACTACTGGAGCTGGTGACTCTGTTTTCCTGCCACCAAAACAGAGCATGCCAAGTTTCTCGTTAGCTCTGTATCGGGCATGTGGTGGTAATTAAGATGCGGTGACTCTGCTAGAGCTAAATTCGTTGTAGTCTTCTGATTCCTTCCAACAATCAGTTTCCCTCTTTCACCTCTATCACTCTATGAAGTTAAAATACCATCCCATTAATTGCATCAGTACGCATAGTTTCCATCTTCCACCTGACTAATTAAGGAATACAAACTTCTATGAAGTTACAATCCCATTAATAGCATCAGTACGCCAAAGCACCGAAGCTCCGAGAATAGGATAGATCGAGATGCCTTCGATCCTTGAAATCTCCCGCCTCTTGGTGTTGTGCGACGTCGAGAGGGACGAGAAGCTGGGGAAGGCCGAATGCGGCGGAAAGAATGCTCGGATCTGGTGCCGCCGGAGAGAAGATGGCGTCGTCGCCCAGAGGATAGCTCTTGTGTTGTGTGCTGAGAAAAGGCGTCTGGGTGATGGATTTCTACAAATCTACTCGACTGGTGATGGGCGTATTAAGAATTAACGGTTTACGGTTTACGGTTTTGAACCGCAACCGAAAGGTTTCGGTTAATCCAAACCGCGAACCACCAACCACTTCACGATTAGACCATAAATGAAACCGTTAGTTTAACGGTGCGGTTTGAAGCGGTTTGGAGCGGTTTGGTCAAACCAATGCCCACCCCTACCAGCTACACATCAGCCCCATGGCAAATTTGCAATATCCAGACATCCTGACCAGGTTTGAGGCCATGCTTGTGTCAGTACACTGTACATCAAAAGAGTAGCTTCAGCAAAAGAATAAATGATCTCTGGTTTCCCTAGCAGCATCACAGAAAGCACACAGATCAGAGTCAATTATCACCCAATCATGAAAGCTTGTCTCAAAAATTTGATTCTATCACGTATAATCAGCCATCTCAGCAGCCTATACTTAGGGAAGCAGTATTTTCCCCACAACAAACCATACCATTGGACCACTGGATTTTTCATACGAATAGATTGCCAAGTCGTTTGAATTGAAAACCTTGGCATCAGTTTTCCCTGTCACGAGACCTGCCCTCCCCACTGCATCAACAAACAATATTGAAACCATGGTATGCACTTAGCTTCCTCCATATTTAAGACCCAAGAGAGTTTTCTGACAAATCCCACAATCATTTTTTTTTTTACAATACGAAAAAGTTAATATTTTCTGATTGTTTACAATATATAGATTTGAACTTATATACTCCAAACGACTCATACTTCATAATTAATACACATTGATGCAACGATCTCATTCATAAATGTCTGATACATGATTTGTGTTAACGCGACTCGTGGATTATACACACATAAGGTCCTACCAACGTATTGGCTCTATAAAATGATGAGACGATTGAATCGAATCCAAGTGCAAATATATAAAATGGGGTAGAGATTTTGAAGGTGAACTTATCTCAAAAATAATTGGCTTAATTCACCTGCATAGCCATGTTTTTCACGATTTTGACAATTATAGACAATTCCGTCCAATTCTTTAACGGTTCACTTAACCCGCTGACTAGACTAACAACAGCGGTTGATGTGGCGTGTTTTATTTTGCGTCCTTGCCAGGTGGAAAACAACCATATTTTTTTAATTAATGAATAAATAAAATTAAAAATAAAAGTTAGGACATATCTGTCGCAAAACCCTCTACCATGGGAAAAAAATTCCCCAAATCCTCCGCCTATACTCCATTCCAATTAAAATTCCCCAAATCCTTCGCCTATACTCCATTCCAATTCTGATTTCAGACCCAGACCCTTGTCTCTTTCAATCGACAAACACAGTGGAGAAGGAAGGAACGAAGAAGCGAGCTAGACCTAGGTTCGCCGCCCACTTTGCCCACCGATCATTACCACTACCCCGCCCGCTTTTTAATCGGTCACTTCACCTGTCAGTAACCAAGAGGTGGTGACCTCTGGCATCACCGCCGTCGAGCAGCTAGTCAGCGTCCCAACGGGTTCGACGAGGAAACATCCTTCCCGCCGACCACCATGACTACAGGGATTAGAACGATCAGGAACTGCAAGATCCGCTTGATGTTGGCGGAGCTCGACATCGACCCAGACCCCGACCGACGACGCGAAGAAGAGGGGGCCAAGATCTTGCTCCTGCTGGTTCCATTGGCGGAGCTTGGAAGGTTTGCATCCAACTCCGGCCGCTATTAATCGTTTCTTCTTTTCGAGCGTTGATGAAAGAAAACCCAGTTCTTAATTTCAAGCTTCATCCCAAAAACCCAGAATTCTAGATCTACTTTGTTAAATTTATGTGAAAATGAGTAAAGAAGCGGAAGAGTTCTTTAGGTAATGGGAGATGAAGGGGAAGGAGAGGGTGATTTGGGAGAAGAATTGCAAATGGGAGGCTGTGGGTTGGATTTGGGAGGTGCCGTGGGGAGGGCACCGTGGCCGCCGTCCGGCGCCTTTGCTTGAGAAGATGAAGGCCTAGTGCCTCAGATCTAAAAGAGAGAAGGAAATATTAAAGAAAAGCAAAAATTATTGAAATAATACTTATTTAATTTTTGAATTTAAAATTATTGTTTAAAATACGACGTGGCATCCACGTGTGTCTAGTTTGAGATGATGTGTCGCCCCGGTGGCATCCACGTCAACTTAACATCCACTTAACTGACGGTGTACTTAACGACGTTAAAGTTTGTAACGGAAATGGCTAAAGTTGTCAACCTAATTTAAAAATTGTGGCTATGTTTGTGTATTTTTTGAAAAGTGGCTATAATTGTCAAAATCGTGAAAGTTATGGCTATGGAGATGTATTAATCCAAAATAATTCTGAACAACCCATACCACTTTAGAATGGGAAAATTGTCAGAGTAAAGAAAATTGCCATGGCCAACTCACAGTCCATGTCTGTTGTATTGTGAATCAAACTTTCATGGGCCTCACCCATTTGTTTAAATAAATGGGCCGTGGTACTACTTGTCACTAAAATCAACACAGATTATTGGGCCAGGCTGCTGTTTACATGCTGGGCCAAGCAGCAAGCCTAACAGACTATCACTTTAACAATCCCAAAAGGTGGAAGTAGGGGAAAAAATTTGTCGAAAATCATTGCTGGCTATGGGGTTCGAACCCATGCGCACTTATGTGCAGAAGATCTTAAGTCTTCCCCCTTAACCTCTCGGGCAAACCAGCTTACATGTTATTTCTTAGCTTTTTGCTTTATTAAAATCCATTTGTGACATTGAAACTCATTTATTGAACTTGTAGTTGTCATATATGCACAGAACCTGGACATCCCTTGATTTTAAATGCTTCACATGCGATATTAAGTGATTGCGTATTTGCATTATTAGTGTGTGTGGTCGTCCGTACAAACTCTCACTCTCATTACCTCGTCTTCCCCACCAGAGAGTATGAAGTTTTGTTGGGAGATGCATCGAATTTGGCCTCTACGATTCTGGAGGGTACTACCGGTGGCCATGTTACACTCTAGTCCAAAATATGGTTAAATTGGGATAAGAAACAACACGAGAAAATCTATAGAAGATTAGGGCTATTAACGGAATTAAAAAAACATGTTTTGATTTGATTCAGTTTGTTCCGATTGTAATTGAGTTCACTTACTTTTTGCTTTTGTAGCATCCGAAGAATTCAAAATCTGAAGGAAGTATTGTATGTGAGCATCGACACTTAATTCAACTGTACTAATTCAGTTTGGTCTTTTCCAAATTAATATTGGCTATGTCAGATTTGCTCATTAGACCATATTATCATAGTTCGTCCTTTATTCCAGGATCGAAGTTGGCGGAGCTCCGCGCCGGCATCGACCAACGACGCGAAGCATAGGGGGAGAAGGAACCGAGGTCACCTTCCACCGGGGAAAGTTAATTTGCTAACTTGAAGATTCGTTAGCAGATACTAACTGATATCCAAAATATATGAACTAATATCCAAGTACTAAAGTATCTACAGAGCATAGACTAGTATTCAAAGTTTGCTAACTGATATCCACCATGAATCAACTATTATCCCAAATTCACAAACTAATATCTAGACAACACAAAATAGTATCCAAACAGCACATAATTAGTATCCAGATTACACATAAGAGTATCCAGATAATCCATAAGAGCATCCATATTGAATACTAGTTGGTTGATTGTGGATATTAGTTGGTATCTGCTATATGGATACTATTTTGTGATATTTTGAATACTAGTCTGTGCTATCTAGATACTTAACAGACTTGGATATTAGTTCATACATTTTGGATATTAGTTAGTATATACTAATGAATCTTCAAGTTAGCAGAATAACTAGGCTGCCTTCCACCAGCCGCCTGATGTCGGATTTACCGCCAAGGAAGGAGATGAAGAAGACCCTGTTGGAGTCAATTTCTCGCGATCGGGGCACTGTTTGTTGAAGGAGAAGAAGAAGAAGAGGTTGTTCGCCAGGGAGGCAAACTCGAAGGCAGGTGTCGCAACTCTCTTCGCAGGAACGTTGACTTCCTAATACACAACTCCTAATAAAGGCCGAGTGTAAACAATAAAAGGGACTGCAGTATAGTGACACAAGTAATAAGTATAAAATCCACGTGTCTCTAGTGTTATTATTACTCAATTTTAGTTTATTATCTAGCAAATTATATTGAGGTTTAATTAACTAAACTAGTCGACAAGCTAAACTAGGTTAAACTACTAATTACAGGTTGGGAACTCACTTAGGGTATGATTTCCCCCCTAGATTAGAGTTAGCCAAGTTGTAATTCACCCAATTCAATTCAGTTGACATTTACACTGCGGAAAGTTCTCAAACAGTCTGGAGTTTCGACTAAAGTGTTTCAGACCCTCTTGAATAGATTACCTAGAAGGCAGCTAACCTTCACTGGAGTACCCTAACCAAGGCAATAAGATTCAAGCTTCCTCTACTGGGATTTTACGCCAGTACAAAGCAGTGAATCGATTGACTCTCGCACAATCAACTCACTACTTCAAATTCATGTTGCTCTATTAACCTATGCATATACTATCGTTCTAGGTCAAAGCTGAAACTACAGGAATGTGATCAGGATTCAAGCAATTCTAAATAAAAATCGCAACTGAATATAAAATGTTAATAAATCATGAATTCGAGTTCATACAACTCTTCCTAGCATACAAATCTAGGGTTCCTCAAAACTTAAGTGAAGGGAAGAATACAATATAACTTTCCAAGTCTTCAATCTTCATGTCTGGGCTTGTTCCTCGAGCTTTCAAGGCCAATAAATCCTCCAATTCCACTCCAAGATCGCCATCTCTCTTTGGTTAGTCCCTCGGGTGTTTGGAGTCCAAACCCAACTCTCTCTCTTAAAAAATTGAACTAATTATCAATCCTATTCTTTGTTCCACCTCGATTAAATTGGACACAAAGGGTATATTGGAAGGTCTCAAATTAGCTTGTGAATATGATTTTGACTGTGTGGTCCAATATGACTACCAAGTTCCAGTTCAAGCTTGATCTCAAGCATAGGAGAAACCAAGGGGGTTCAGAGGTGTCCTGTGACACTGAGGATTTTTTAGTAAACAAAAAACCACATATATGTATCAATCATGGATCAAACTCATCACCTCTAGGTGATATAAGAGTGTCTTACCACTACACTTTCAGGTTTAAAAACTATCATAAATCACTTTATCACACTATAAACAAAATCCTCAATTGAAATTACCCCAAAATCGATTTCTATGTCTTCCGGAGTTAGTTTTGACTCTACCATTGCAACTGCAAGTGTAGAAATAGCATTTTCAGCTATGAGCTATATTAAGAACAAGTTTCGAAGTCGAATTGTGACGAGTTTGCTAATGATTGCTTAGTTGGATAGATTGAAAAAGACTTAAAAGTGTAGACAACGAATGTATTTCGCGTTTCTTTCATAATGCGAAAGGCATTGTGGTTGGTTATGAAAACAATGATTGTATTAGTTAGATGTTTCTTTATTATTTACGAATGAATTATTTGGATAATATTAGTTTTAATTACATATATTAAATAATTAAATAAGTATTTATATATTTATATTTTGGAAAGAGGACAACATATGTACTTATAAATGCTGACTCCGCCATTAATTTCAAGATTCCACGAAATAGCGCTAGAAGCGTGTGACTTGGATGGTTGTATCCTTACATCCACCACTCTAATATATTAGAGTTTTATAAACTTTTCTCCATTTTGAATTTGTTGTTTTCTCCTTAATTTTTGGTAGGGGTATAATAGTAATTTTTTCCTTATTATTTCCAACACAGACAAAAAATAAAACCCCACATCATTTGGGTTAGTTATTCTTTTTGCCATAGGGAGAGTGTTGTCGATAAATTATAATTGCTTTCTTTTTATTTATTTAATTTAATTTTTATTTAATTTATTTTAATTTACATATATTTATAGTTAAAAATCCATTTCTTATTGTATTGCTTGCTTCCTATTTGGTTAAGATTCGGTGTCTTCGGTAATTTTAAATTGGTTCATAAAAATGAATAAGGGTTTTAATGATCTTCTATTTATAGAGTTGGGGTATGTGTACGGTAATTTTAACATTGAGAGATAATGATTTAGCAATTGATGTATTTTAATGATAAAGAAAATTGAAAATCGGATTTTTTTGTTGATTCAGTGATTGATGTGTAATTTTAAAAAGTTAAAAAGTGAAAGTGTTGGTGTTGAGTTTTGGTTCATTTTTTGTGTTAAGGAATTAGGATAAATTTGAAATAGCGTAATTTTCTTTGTCAAACGATGAAGATGTTTTGACAAGGAAAAGACTATATAAGGTTGAGTTAAGCATCCGAATTCTTTGTCAGGTATCATGGGCTCGAGAATCTATATAAGTTATACAGGTGCAAAACCTATATTCACGAAGACATGCATAAATTACTTAAAATTCTTGGATTTAAGGACATCGAATAGTACAAATTATGGACGAATATGTTTTCTTCTTAATTATAGCACGAGAATGATGAGAATATCATGACATAACTGAAAAATATACTCATATATAGTATGGTCAAGATTTAGATAGTTTTATGGATAAAATACACCATCGATAATCGTTGAGAAAAACTTTAATCGAGATTGTTTATTAACGAACGAACTCAAATATTTCGGTCAATCGGCCTAGTTAAAGTTAAGGTGATATCTAGTAAGTATAATTCTAGAGATGATTAGTTGCTCACCGACAATAAAATCTTATTTTCCAGATACCTGAATTATGGAGTTTTTTTTTTGCCAAAAGATATCATGTATTGATCGAAAAAATAGATAGTTACATCCTGGAAACCAGCCAGGTCTGGAAATCAAAGAAGCGACTCATAGTCGGATACAAAGGGAAGGGTTTCCTAGCTACCAAATGAGCTACCCTATTGTTCTCCCGACCTACAAAACGCACACTAAAGCCAGGCTGAGTACGAAAATAATGAGCAACCTCTTCCAGAACAGCACCCAACCGACTATCTCTCGTGTCGGCTTGATTAATTTTGTCAATAATCACCTTTGAGAAAACTGTAGTGACCTGAATTATGGAGTAAAAGATCTATTCTGTAAGAAAAACCTATGCAAAGTACAAGAGTATTGCAACGGTTATCAACAACACCGACAAAAACACATCTCCCACTCCAAGGATGGAATTAGAAGTCAAAGTTTGGGCATTCCAATTTCCAACCCACTGGTCTGCAGTAGTACTGATGGATGGTCCACCGGCCGGACCAAGTCAAAAGTATGGGCCACCAGAGATTTGAAACGACAAACGTCGGCACGAAAACCATGCACAAAATTTGCAAGTCAAAAGGATAATAAGGTGGTAGCTCAAACCTCCAAGCCGTCCACAATGGAATTTTGCTATGGGAAATCGAGGGAAAATGAACACTTTTATTTTTCTCGAGAAACAAACAAGACCATTGAATTGTACGTTCTTCTTCTGCGTGGACGATGGCTAGAAAGAAAACAAAAAGGCGGGTACGTACGATATTGTTTATACTTCTTTCCCTAACAACTGACCAAAACAGTGAGCATCCATCCATCAAGTAGCTAGCCACGTGTCGGCTTCTGGTGATGCATGTCGACGCTACCAGGAATGAAATCTTGTAATTATAGTTTGGATGAGAGTTCTTATGATTAATACTTCAATCTAATTTGTGGTTCAGTTGAATTATGATGGAGATACCTCTAGTCTTTGTAATCTCAGGATCGAAATTGTATTATCTCGTCACCAATTAATATATCACCATCGATCTATGCCCATAGATATTATCATCCAGAAAACTAATCAAATTAAAGTCACAGGGAAAAGTCACAATAGAAGGAATTAAAAACTCAAAAATTGTGATTCCATTTTTGTCTTTTTTCACTTCTACAACTATTCAAGCTTTATGATTAATTATTAATTAGGAAATGGTCAACCTGCCCTATGTCGTACCCTAATAAGAGAGACATATGGAATGTTAGCGAACATTAGTTAGTTAGATCGTATTGATAAACCTATCATGTATCAATCCTAAGTGATAATTAAGTATTTGGGAATTCCGACAATGCGTTGAAGTTATCATAATTTGATTGTTTTTATCTGCTATAGAAATTACTTAAATGGTTAATTACTTAATGTATGATTATCTTATATAATAGTTGTATAATATCATTACGAAATCTTTATGCAATTGAGGGTCTTTTTAACGCAATGAATATCAACCTTGCGTTATGTAACTTGTTAAATCGTTACGCAAGTCTTACGTAACGCTTCTAATTTGAATTTTATGTGAGAAATAACTGTCATTCCGTAACCTTTACGTAATATATACGTATGTTTTACATAACAGTTGTAAAGGGTCTTACGTAATAGACGACCCATAGTCCAACCCTAATTTCTCGTCAAGTGGATGATGAAGATCTATATGCTATGAGTACTACTTATTGGAGGTCAATCAGTTTGGAATTTTCAAAACCTCCATGTCGACAAGCCATTGGGGAGAAAAGGGAACTTAATTTCAAACCGCATTATTTAATGTTCGTAATAATTAATGAAGTTCGTTTTCAATATTAATCATGGAGGTGGCAGAACTTTATTCTAAAACCTACTAAACTATAGTCCCAAGTTAGGGAATACTAAGTTAATGATCACCCTAATTAACGACAATATCATCATGATAGCGGGAGATGGGTCAAAGGGCTAAAGACAAACTGCTTATTTTGTGAGGTGATTCTTGTTGGCGATGTTAGCTAATAGCTAGGGGTGATTCTTCGTTATGAACATAATAAGTTTCCATGTTAATTTTCATAATTTAAAACCCTTTTCTTCGTTGAACAAACCAACTTATTTTCATGTTTTAAAAAATTGTGTTAAATAGTATCATTATTGTTTCTGTTCCCCCCTGAAATATAAACATAATATTTATAGAAAAAGGGAACGGCAGCGTTTGCACCTTAGTTATTTTTCATATAAAAAAACAGGAGCATAATTATTTGCTGAGATGTTTTTAACAGGAGCTGGGAGGAGAAATGGAAAAAAGGAGGTGAGGGGAGTGGGGCGGCCGGAGAAGAAGAGGAATTCCGTGAATTATGGATCTGAAGGGTAATTATTGGGAAGTGAAAATGGACGGCGAAAAACATGACCACGTGGCTGGGTTGGCTAACCCCACCTTCAATTCAGAAACGGAAATACCAAAGACTTGGATGGGGGAAAAAAAAAAACACAATCGACAAATTTTGTTTCTCTCCCATACTCCCCCAACAATAAGAACTGATACTCGTCATAACTTTGAGCACAATTGACAAATTTTGATTTAGGGTTAGTTTGGAAATTGCACATGTTAAATCGTTGTATTGTTATGAATCATTATTTTATAAATGCATGTATTGATATAATAGATGTATTTTGATATTATATTGTTTAGTTGTTGAGATTAATAATTTATGATCGATTGTTATAAAGTTATTTTATACAGAAATGTCACATTTTCCTTCCACTTTTAACTGAAAAAAAAACTATGAATATAAATGGAAAAATTATAGGGGTCATACTATTAAATCAACGATCACAACAATCTCAACTTTTAGTTGAGATTGTACAATTCCCTTATTTTTGTTGCTTGTAGGTTGGATCCACACAAAACAATAACATTGTTTTGCAACCTGACACTTCCAAACGTTTTATTGTGGACATTGCGTGTATTTAACAAATACAACACTAACAATCGCAACTTCCAAATATTGCCATATGAGCCCAATAGACAAACTTTGCTTTAGTTATAACACTGTCATAATATTTATACTAGCGTGGGCCCCGACCAGTTGGCCTGAGGAAGGTGAGTTATGAAATTTTAGAATGTAATGGGATGCATAGCTTATTGTTGTATAGTTTTTATTTTGGAAACACGTGATAAAGATATTGAATTTTACCAGGAAAGAGGTATGGATGATGCAACAAATAAAAAATCAGCCTTATGAACCAAGTTCGGGTACCTGTTACCTTGTGAAACAGTATTATTCCTGGTGAGGTGGAGTAAGTTTGATAGAAACCGAATTCCATAAAACTGAATAAAAAATCACCTATAAAAGACACTATAATTTAATCATTAGGATATCAAATAATTACATAATATATATTTGAAATTATAAAAATTGGACCAATCTGGTTGGTCGAATTAGGATATCAAATAATTACATAATATATATT